TACAAGAAAAAAAAAATCGATAGACTCGTTCATTTATCCGCGTTAATTTGATGAATAAATTAAATATTGATCGGTCTTCAATTTTCGGTACTGATTTATTCTCTCATTTCTTTATAAGACAAGAAAAATTGATACAAATCACTCGTTTATTCGAGTTAATTTGATGAGTAAATTAAAGGGATAAATACCTGAAAAATGAGAACAAATTGTCATTGTACTTGGACAATTTTCTGACACTGATTTACGGTATTGATCGATATTCGATTTTCGGTACTGATTTACTCTTTCATTTCTCTATAAGAAAAAAAATTCATACGAATCTTTCATTTAACAGCGTTAATTTAATGAGTAAATTAAATATTGATCGGTCTTCAATTTTCGGTACTGACTGATTCTCTAATTTCTTTATAAGAGAATAAAAATTGATACGAATCGTTCTTTTATCCGACTTAATTTGTTGAGTAAATTAGTGGGGTAAGTACTTGCAAGATAAAAACAACTTGTTATTACACTTGGACAATTTTCTTGACATTGATTTATGGTATTGATCAGTCTTCGGTTTTCGGTACTAATTTATTTTCTGACTTCTTTATAAAACAAAAAAATTGATACGAATCGTTCGTTTATCCGAGTTAATTTGTTGAATAAGATTAAAGGGGTAAGTACCTGAAAATGAAAACAAATTGTCATTGTCAAATTGCACTTGGATAACTTTTTGACACTGATTTATGGTATTAATCGATATTCGATTTCCGATACTGATTTACTCTTTCATTTTTCTATAAGAAAACAGAAAATTAATACGAATCGTTCATTTACCCGCGTTAATTTGATGAATAAATTAAATATTGATCGGTCTTCAATTTTCGGTACTGACTGATTCTCTAATTTCTTTATAAGAGAATAAAAATTGATACGAATCGTTCTTTTATCCGACTTAATTTGTTGAGTAAATTAGTGGGATAAGTATCTGCAAGATGAAAACAACTTGTCATTGCACTTAGACAATTTTCTAACGCTGATTTATAGTATTAATCAATATCCTGTTTTCGATACTGATTTAGTCTTTGATTTCTTTATAAAAGAAAAAAAAATTGATATAAATTGTTCATTCATCCGCGTTAATTTGATGAAAAAATTAGATATTGAATGGTCTTCGATTTTCGGTACTGATTTATTGTCTCATTGTTTTACAAGACAAAAAAATTGATACGAATCGTTCGTTTATCCGAGTTAATTTGTTGAATAAGATTAGTGGGGTAAGTACTTGAAAAATGAGAACGAATTGTCATTGCACTTGGACAATTTTTTGACACTGATTTATGATATTAATCGATATTAGATTTTTGGTACTGATTTACTCTTTCATTTCTCAATAAGAAAAAAGAATTCATACGAATCGTTCATTTAACCGCGTTAATTTGATGAATAAATTAAATATTGATCGGTCTTCAATTTTCGGTATTGACTGATTCTTTAATTTCTTTATAACAGAATAAAAATTGAATACGAATCGTTTTTTTATCCGACTTTTAATTTGTTAAGTAAATTAGTGGTGTAAGTACCTGCAAGATGAAAACAACTTGTCATTGCACTTGGACAATTTTCTTGACATTGATTTATAGTATTGATCAGTCTTCGGTTTTCGGTACTGATTTATTCTCATTTTTTTATAAGACAAAAAAAATTGATACGAGTCGTTCGTTTATCCGAGTTAATTTGTTGAATAAGAGTAGAGGGGTAAGTACCTGAAAAATGAGCACAAATTGTCATTGCCCTTGGATAATATTCTGATACTGATTTATGATATTAATCAATATTCGATTTTCGGTACTCATTTACTCATTCATTTCTCCATAAGAAAAAAAATGCATACGAGTCGTTCATTTATCCGCGTTAGTTTGATGAATAAATTAAATATTGATCAGTCTCCGGTTTTCGGTACTGATTTACTTTCTCATTTTTTTATAACACAAGAAAAATTGATACAAATCATTCGTTTATCCGAGTTAATTTGTTGAATGAGATTAGAGGAGTAAGTACCTAAAAAATGAAAACAAATTGTCATTGCACTTGGACAATTTTTTGACACTGATTTATGGTATTAATCGATATTCGATTTTCGGTATTGATTTACTCTTCCATTTCTCTATAAGAAAACAGAAAATTAATACGAATCGTTCATTTATCCGCGTTAATTTGATGAATAAATTAAATATTGATCGGTCCTCAATTTTCGGTACTGACTAATTCTCTAATTTCTTTATAAGAGAATAAAATTAATACGAATCTTTCTTTTATCCGACTTAATTTGTTGATTAAATTAATGGGGTAAGTACCTGCAAGATGAAAACAACTTGTCATTGCACTTAGACAATTTTCTAACACTGATTTATAGTATTGATCAATATCTGGTTTTCGGTACTGATTTAGTCTTTGATTTCTCTATAAAAGAAAAAAGATTGATACAAATCGTTTGTTTATCCACGTTAATTTCATGAATAAATTCGATATTGTTCGGTATTCGATTCTCGGTACTGATTTCTCCTTTCATTTTTCTATAAGAAAAAAAAAAATTCAGACGAATTGTTCATTTATCCGCATTAATTTGATGAAAAGTTAGATATTGAACGGTCTTGGATTTTCGGTACTGATTTATTTTCTTATTTTTTTATAAGACAAGAAAAATTGATACGAATCATTCGTTTATTCAAGTTAATTTGTTGAGTAAATTAGAGGGGTAAGAACCTAAAAAATAAGAACAAATTGTAATTGCACGTGGACAATTTTCTGACGTTGATTTACGGTATTGATCGATATTCGATTATCGGTACTGATTTACTTTTTCATTTTTCTATAAGAAGAGAAAAATTGATACGAGTCGTTCGTTTATCCGAGTTAATTTGATGAATAAGTTAGATATTGATCGGTCTTCGACTTCGGTACTGATTTACTTTTTCATTTCTCTATAAGAAGAGAAAAATTGATACGAATTGTTCGTTTATCTGAGTTAATTTGTTGAATAAGTTTAGAGGAGTATGTATCTGAAAAATAAGAACAAATTGTCATTGCACGTGTGCAATTTTTTGACACTGATTTATGGTATTAATCGATATTCGATTTTCGGTACTGATTTACTCTTTCATTTCTTTATAAGAGAACAGAAAATTAATACGAATCGTCCATTAATCCGCGTTAATTTGATGAATAAATTAGGTATTGATCGGCCTTCGATTTTCGGTACTGATTTATTCTCTCATTTCTTTATAAGAGAAGGAGAATTGGTACGAATCGTTCGTTTAACCGAGTTAACTTGTTGTGTAAATTACAGGTACGCTAAATCCCGTAAGGCCATCAGTCTTTGTAGTATATCTCGTCGGTCAGGTTTATATTACCTGTACATACATATTTTGAAACATTTTCTTTGGATATTATATCAAAGGGATTTTGCGTGTCACGTAATATCCTTCGGTCTACACGGTCATTATTATTTTGATCATTTTGATTTCTTTGGTATTCATTGAATTATCCAGAACGCGCAACTGTCATGTTGAACGACTCAATTGTCGTGTGAAATGTTTCGATTTTCACAAATTCATATAAAATTTTTCATTTTTCACTGATTCACAGAAGTCTTTCACTTTTTATTAGTTCACGCTAGGGAAAAGATTCATGATCGCACATGTTAACATGTTAATTCATGTTATAAACGCGTAACAATGTGCGAGACCGTGCTTGTCAAGTACGCTATTATGGTTGTAGCACGGACATAAACCGCCTAAAAATGGATGTAGCACGGACTGCCATCACATACAGGTTTTACCGCCGAAACCTGAAAGTGGATGTAGCATCGTAGTTCCTCTCTCAAAATGGATACAGATGGCGCCCTTTCCCAGTGCGGAAAGTCGGTGTCGTCGAAAACACCGTATTGGCCGCTCTCACGTTCCTCTCTGACGGAAGCAATATTCGAAATTTACTTCTTCTTCCGCGATTTTAAGTTTTACGTTCCAAATGCTACTTTATGAACGATATTTATAGCCATTTCTTGCAGATTTATAATCATCTTATAGCGTTTCCGCTTAGCTAATAACTGACCTAATAATCCCATAAACTAAACTCCTTATTGGCTTGTTAAAATAACAGGTCTAACGAACTGCTGTAAACTTCTTACCTGTCGTAAAAATAAAGGTTCAATATTTCTAAAAGCCCATCTACAATAAGCAATTAATCATAAGCTATAAGCAAATTGACCAATCACAATTGATTATTTCAAAAATAATCGACTGTGGTTACAACTTATGATTAATAGCTTATTGTAGAAAGTCCATTATGTCCCATGTTTTAAGGGAGCTCGTCTAGTGTAATCAAAATTTTGGTTAAATATAGATCGAGCTAAATTAATTTCTAATATGTCACCAGGTCTTATTAGATCCAATACGAAACAAGCACCGCGTATCGTCGACATCCTTTTCTCGGATGTGTATCGATTCGACGCAACAGCACGATTGAGAACAAAGTAAATGATTGGTTGGATCTGATAATTCACCAGATAAAGCTTTGCACCGGTTGGTTGTGTCCAATCATGCAATGTCGAATTTGAAGTCTCTCCTTTTCTCTACCGCGAAAAGTAGACACACAATTCATTTACAACGTTGGTAATATAAGAACGATCTTTCCCCTAAGATGATTTCACTTTATTGGGATTTTCTTTTCCAATGGAACTTTTCACGAGTTCGCGCTGGAATAGGCCTGTTCGTTTTGTCTGCACTGCTGAACTAGTGCATTAAGTTAAAGTGAGACAAACATAGGTTTTCTCACTTCAACCTGTTGCACTAGTTCAGCAGTGCAGACAAAACGAACAGGCCTGTAATACTTGATCGATATTCTGGTGAGAGCGAATAAATCACCAGAAATTTACTATACAGAGCAGCACCATTGGTAACACTAGCGGATCGTTGCGATTTAGCGCGAAAACGTTGGCTCTACCGTGCGGCTTCATAACGTCCAGCGCCATCAACGCAATATGGCGGTACGGAGCGGTGTTTGATGCGGCGCGTGAGGTGCGTTCTTGGCGTACCCGACAACGGGACAATTATCAACGCTAAATTATCGTAAGGTGCTGCGCGTGATCAGTCGGTGAAGGTTCGGCTTAGGCAAAGGTGTGTAAACTCCATCAAAATGTCGAAGCCGGACGAGAACGCGGACACCGGCGACACGGGGGACAACTCGAACGGGTCCTCGGCGGAGACCACGTCGTCGAGAGGCGGCGATTTCGAGACGAAGCTGGAGACGGACCGTAGTAAGCGATTCGATTACTTGTTGAAACAAACGGAGATATTCTCGCACTTTATGACGAACAATCAGAAGGACAAGGCCGGTAGTCCCCTGAAGATCAAAGCCGGCAGGCCCAGGAAGCAACCGGAGAACCCAAAGCCGGATTCCGGCGATCACAGACATCGCAAGACCGAACAAGAGGAGGACGAGGAGCTGTTAGCCGAGAGCAATGCCAGCGTAGCGCCTACTACACGCTTCGAGTCCTCGCCGCATTACATCAAGTCGGGCGAGCTGCGCGATTACCAGATACGAGGCCTAAACTGGATGATATCGCTCTACGAGAACGGTATAAACGGTATTCTGGCGGACGAGATGGGTCTCGGTAAGACGCTACAAACCATCTCCTTGTTGGGTTACATGAAACACTTTCGAAGCATTCCTGGTCCTCATATCGTTATCGTTCCCAAATCGACGCTCGCCAATTGGATGAACGAATTCAAGAAGTGGTGCCCCACATTGAGGGCAGTTTGCCTCATTGGAGACGCAGAGACTAGAAACACTTTCATCAGAGACGTAATGATGCCGGGCGAATGGGACGTGTGTGTGACATCCTACGAGATGGTGATCAAGGAGAAATCAGTATTCAAAAAGTTCAACTGGCGCTACATGGTGATAGATGAGGCGCATAGGATCAAGAACGAAAAGTCCAAGTTGTCGGAGATCCTGAGAGAGTTCAAAACTGCCAATCGGCTTCTACTGACAGGTACACCGCTCCAGAACAATCTTCACGAGTTGTGGTCCCTCCTGAATTTCCTTCTACCGGACGTGTTTAACAGTTCGGATGACTTTGATTCTTGGTTCAATACTAACAGCTTCTTAGGTGATAATTCGTTGGTCGAAAGATTACACGCTGTCCTAAGACCGTTCCTCTTGAGACGCTTGAAGTCTGAGGTGGAGAAAGGACTGAAGCCCAAGAAGGAGATCAAAGTGTACATCGGTCTGAGCAAAATGCAGAGAGAGTGGTACACCAAAGTACTGATGAAGGACATTGACATCGTGAACGGTGCGGGGAAGATAGAGAAGATGAGACTACAGAATATCTTGATGCAACTGCGCAAATGCTGCAACCATCCGTATTTGTTCGATGGAGCCGAGCCTGGGCCACCGTACACTACAGATGAGCACCTCGTCTACAACTGCGGAAAAATGGTGATACTCGACAAATTGCTGCCGAAGCTGCAGCAGCAAGAATCCCGAGTGCTAGTATTCAGCCAGATGACCAGGATGCTCGATATCCTGGAGGACTACTGTCACTGGCGATGCTTCCAATATTGTCGACTGGACGGCAACACTGCCCACGAGGACCGACAGCGGCAAATCAACGAATACAACGCACCCGGCAGCGAAAAGTTCATCTTCATGTTGTCGACTCGCGCGGGCGGCCTGGGTATCAACCTGGCGACCGCCGACGTGGTAATCATTTACGACTCTGACTGGAATCCGCAGATGGACCTGCAAGCGATGGATCGCGCTCACCGCATAGGTCAGCAGAAGCAAGTGCGAGTCTTCAGGTTTATTACGGAGAACACTGTGGAAGAGAAGATCGTCGAACGGGCGGAGGTGAAGCTGCGCCTTGACAAATTGGTCATTCAACAAGGACGGCTGGTGGACGCCAAGCAGACAGCATTGAACAAGGACGAGATGCTGAATATGATCAGGCACGGCGCGAACGAGGTGTTCGCCTCCAAGGACAGCGCTATCACGGACGAAGATATAGACACGATATTGCAGAAGGGCGAGGCCAAGACGGAGGAGATGAAGCAGAAGCTGGAAAGCTTGGGCGAGTCGTCGCTGCGCAACTTCACCGTCGACGCGCCCACAGACTCAGTATACCAGTTCGAGGGCGAGGATTACCGCGAGAAGCAGAAGATTCTCGGCCTGGGCAACTGGATCGAGCCACCTAAACGCGAGCGTAAGGCCAACTACGCGGTTGACGCCTACTTCCGCGAGGCACTCCGCGTGTCGGAGCCGAAGGCGCCGAAAGCTCCGAGACCACCGAAACAGCCGATAGTCCAGGACTTCCAGTTCTTCCCGCCGCGTTTGTTCGAGCTGTTGGACCAGGAGATTTATTATTTCAGGCAAACGGTAGGCTACAAAGTGCCTAAGAACCCCGAGTTGGGCTCGGACGCCGCCCGCATCCAGAAGGAGGAGCAGCGCAAGATCGACGATGCCCAGCCGCTCACCGATGAGGAGGTCGTCGAGAAGGAGAAGCTGCTCCTGCAAGGCTTCACCAACTGGACCAAGCGGGACTTCAATCAGTTCATCAAGGCGAACGAGAAGTATGGTCGCGACGACATCGAGAACATCGCCAAGGAGGTAGAAGGCAAAACGCCGGAGGAAGTGATGGAGTACTCGGCCGTTTTCTGGGAACGTTGCCATGAGCTTCAGGACATAGACCGCGTAATGGCTCAGATCGAACGCGGCGAGGCGAAGATCCAGAGGCGCGCCGGCATCAAGAAGGCATTGGACGCCAAGATGGCGCGGTACCGCGCGCCCTTTCACCAGCTGAGGATAGCGTACGGCACGAACAAGGGTAAGAACTACACCGAGGAGGAGGACCGCTTCCTCGTGTGCATGCTGCACAAGCTCGGCTTCGACAAGGAGAACGTGTACGAGGAGCTGCGCGCCACCGTGCGCTCGGCGCCGCAGTTCCGCTTCGACTGGTTCGTCAAGTCCCGCACCGCGCTCGAGCTGCAACGCCGCTGCAACACCCTCATCACCCTGATCGAGCGCGAGAATCAGGAGCTGGAGGAGCGCGAGAGGCAGGAGAGGAGGAAGAAGGGCGGCAACATAGGCACGAAGCCGACGTCGAAGCGGAAGCAAGAGAATCTGCCGGCGCCTCAGGACAAACCGCGGAAAAAGAAGAAGTAAAGCTCGCGAGGGTGCGACCGCCATCATCAGCACCAGCTCCTCCTCAACCGGACTCTACTATTCTCCTCTTAGGACTCTCTTCGGTCACTCCCGCGGCCGCGACTGAGATGTGGATCACGGGGTATCCATGCGAGGACGCTTTTTCTATATTTACAGTTTTACTCTCCCTCGCACGCGCGCGCGCGTCGATCTTGCAAACACCGACGACTTCATGACGCTCACCTACTTCGTGTTTCACTTCATGTAACGAAAGAGATACATACACATCCACGTACACATATTTTTCAGACAACTGTCGCCGAGTTTGTCACAGGGTCCATCGAATTGTTTCACACGTTTGTAATGACGAATTGTTATAGATATATTATCGTGATTAGTCCATAGAGAGCGAGAGAGAGAGAGAGAATGAGAGAGAGAGAGAGAGAGAGATGCGTACATGTGTAATGTAATCGGACGTAAGTAGATCTCCAAGCTAGATCTCGCTTAGTGTCGCAGCAATGTCGATTAGACCTGAACACTTTTTTCCCAATGGACATGGAGATAGAATTACAACCATTGCGAGTGCTTTTTTTTTTGTTTAATCACTGTGTGTTGAATGTTGACGGATGTCAGAATATGAGACATGATAGAGAGGATGCTATATTTATTTCTTCGGATCTGTCGAGCCTCGTGAGACGTTTTCATCGATAAAATCTCCCTCTTCCTGTTCAATTCGACAAGCCGCCGTAGGATTAGATATTGTGGAGTATATTTCATGCGTTACTTACTCTTAGCATCCCAAGTGGAACGAGGTGTATAAGTCCTGCTTGGGTTTTATTTTAGTTTTAAAATGCGGCCCATATAATTACATCGTGTGGTTACAACATTCGACTCGTCGGTGGAGAAATTTCGAAATGTTTTTATTGGTACGGTATAATTGATACATGATCCTCGTCGGACCGCGCCGGACGAACATGTATAATTGTAACGTAATTCGTCGAAAGACGAATATTAATCTGAGAAATTACTGAGAAGTCAGCGTATACGCGGATACCGAGATAATGGCCGAAGATTTCTACTCGAACATTTCAGAACATTCGATTAGCGCCTTAATGTGTATGAAAATATCAAATTCACAAACGCTTCTCCTAAAGATGTATACTTAGATAATTTTGATATTTGAGTTTACACACACACACACACACACACACACACACACACACACATATATACACACACACGTACGCGCACAGACAAGAAAGAGTTCGCGCGTTCTCCGAGAAGAACGGTTCGAAATCTTCGATAATAAATAAATCTTATCACGGATGCGAGGCATTTTATTTCGTTCACCCAAACACCTCTCTCGTGAGAGAGGTACACTCAACTACCCGAATTCAATTGCATTCACGTCGCTGCTCAGAGCGAGACACGCGATGTCCCTATTATAAAATTTGAATTACATATACACCAAATAGTCGAATTATTGAGAATTTACGATGGTCGGTGACGATAAAGGCTCAGCAACAAACGCCCCAGGGAAAAATGTAATTTATATAATTATATATGTTAAATATATGTAACGTATAATTATGTAAAATTATATATGATTATATATAATTTATATATATCCCACACACGGAAAAGTAAACGCTATATCAAAAAGGAGATGGAAGAAAACTTGGTCTCATTCTGTATCACGTATCGCAAGAAAACGTGAACATCAAGGACAATCGACGTTCAACGTTCGTCATTGTTGACAAACAAAGCAGAAAATAATAAGAGAGGGACGAGCATCGACGCGTACAGACGGGTCTTAGAATATGAAGTAAGCACCGCTGGGCTGAAACATTTATATTATCTTCGTTAACAAGTTATGCGGGAGAAATAATAAGGTAAGGTCAGGATTAACGAGCCGGGTATAAAAAGTTCGCTTGCTTGCGCACGATGCAAATACAGATCGAAAAATACGACCGCTTGTACGACGTGTTGTACAAGAGAGTGGAAAAACGAGACACATCGTGGATATCGATTTCCCCCCTTCGAACCCCTTCCCCTTCTAAGGCCCCGAAAAGCTCCGCATCGCCACCGCGTGAAGTGTGAACATCCTAATTGTACACTTGATATTTTCCTTCCTTTTTTCCGCGATTCGCTGTCTTTCCTTCGATCGAAAGAAGCGACGAGAGTCTCGCGTGCCGTTAATCGCTCTGGTGGACCGGTTGACAAAGAAAGAGTCATCTAAGTATTTTTAATTGTGTTATCAGTACTTTTAATTGTCATCTAAGCATAATAATTAAGAGTATATATATATATATTAAAAGGCAAGTATACAATTATAATTACAATCGTTACGGCTTACTTTCGCACAACTTTCACATCACACAAGTTAACGAGCTGAAAATCGATGGGTTACACAGAAGGACGCGCGCGGAAGATTCGCGTAAAACTAAAGCAATCCACCGCCACTTTGCCGCCGGTTGCTTCGTGTCCTTTTGCTCGCCCATCCCTCACGACTTCTCTCCCCCTCCTTCCCCCGGCAGTGGAGTACGTTTAGTTTTCAGCAAATGTGCGTCGACAATGGGTAAGGATTATCAATACAGCACATGATCCGTGATCTATAATTATCTATAGCAAGGCTCAGCGCCCGCTGTAAGACATACATTGTATCGTGTTTGTACACTCATACGGCTGAGTGAGTTCAGTTGTCGCCGAAGGACCGGCGCGCGGTTCCGTACGATTGTAATGCAAAATTCCGAAACGAAAAAGAGGAGAACCGAGGGAAACGCAAGAGACGGAGAAGCGTGCTCGGACCGACACGGTTATCGAGTAAATTATTTTTATACAAACTACTACTTTTTACATACGTTCCTCTTTTCCAACCGGGAGGGTCGCTCCTTCAACGATAAAGAGAATTATTATCAAATTGTACTTGTAATATCAAAGCAAAGAGAACGGAATAGTTTTTCGATACACATCTATATGGGATCGAGCGGACATTTTAGTTTGAATCGTGTTTGGACTGAATGCCATATGTACACACAGGGTGGCTCATTTTACTTAATCCACTCAAATATCTCGAAAAATATAAAGGATGCGGGAAAGCATTCTTTCAGACAAAAGTCGTCTGGTTTGAAGGGGGACGTAAGATGGCGATATCGCGCTTTGTTTACAGGTAACGCCGTTTTCGAGGTATTCACTAGTTACCACTTTTGTTAAACAAAAACCTCAGTTTCTTATTGCATGATCTTTTTCTAACAATTAATTTGAACAACTTTCGTCTGGAAGATTTTTTCCGTATCTCTTATATTTTTCGAGATATTTGAGTGGATAAGTTAACACGAGCCACCCGATATATGCAGCTCTCAGAGCAAACGCAATCCCGCAGTTTGACGTGAGCATCGTCGAGATATGGATTCTGAAACAAGTATCGAGTTTATATCTCGTTCTATACATGGTCTCTAATACGCTTTAATGATTAAGTTTGCTACACTTTGAAGTCTGTAGGTGGCAGCAATAAGAGTAGTAATACTGGTGAATCGTGTGGCGCGCTTTCAAGCAGACCTTGTCCCGCCTAAGGGTCTAATTTTCGCGTCCGTCTAAGTACGTATACTACAATATATAATTTGAAATCTACTATTTTTTTTCGTGAATCGTCTCTGGCGGTGTTTGTACGCACTTGCATGCTCTCTCTCTCTCTCTCTCTCTCTCTCTCTCTCTCTCTCTCTCTCTCTCTCTCTCTCTCTCTCTTTCTCTCTCTCTCTCTCGTTCGGCACACAAACGTACGGCGCTACGGCACTGCACACTTACCGCACATCGTATCTTTACAATCTACATTTGTCTGCTTGCTTTTTTTCTGGTTTTTGATTATTCGATAAACGGCATAGTCACACGTGGTCTTCCTCTCCTGCTTATATCTGTCTGCTCTGCTCGCGGCAATGCTTTCTGACGCCTTACATTATACAAAGGTAATATCGACTTAGTAAATCATAGAACAATTATTTCGGAATTTCTGAATAAATGTGCGGATAAAAATTCTCGTTTTATCATCTCTAATATGTATATATATATATATATATATATATATATACGTATAGTACAGTTCACTATATAGTGCGGTTGAAAAAGGTATAAGTTCGTTAGATGACAATGCTGCTCTCTATATGACTAAATATTTCAGGTGTATTTTCATAAATCACTTCTCACGCGCTAGTCTCACACCACTATTTAATGCAGGCACAAAATGAAAAATATCCTTTGCAACATTCACATGTTGTACACAAGTAAAGCAACTCGACTCTCTAAAAGTAGTATACAAGATGGTGATTAAAAGCGCTCTTCATTTACAAAGTAATGGACGCTACTAAACAATTCTATTCAGCACTATACATAATGAAGATATGGAGAGAGAGAGATAGAATATTCTCTTATATATCTGTATATAAAATAAATAAACCTGAAAGATACAGTAACTTGTATGACTAATTATCAGGATAAAATAAAAGGAATGGATATTAAGTCAAATGCCGAGTTTACAATAGCCAGTTTGTGTGTTTAAATAATAAAACATTTATGTAGAAATTTTTACATAACAACAAAGAGAATAAAGAAATTCTCTAAATCGGATATACGTACACAATTCTTTTGTCGAACAGTCTCTTACGTAAAAAAAAAACAAAAAAAAAGAGAAACTAATAATGATAATGATTCTGATAAATATTTCGCAAAAACATAGTCAACCGGCAAAATGCCTTAATATCGCAAACAAGGATCAACTTGTCGCACTAAAAACGCTAAGAAAAAAAAAAAAAGAGTTGCTTCTCTCAAGTCTTTTGATAAGTGTGTGTCCTTGATCAACACCAATCAATTTCGTATCAACGCAACGTTAGCTATTTCGATTGCGTAATTCCGTCTGTTTTATCTACGGGATACAGACAGACATCTACTTGACGGCCATTGTACGCTCGATCGGATAATCTATATCCGGAAATGAAATATCAAATGTCCGCTAAACGTTTGACCGCACACACACGCCAACAGATAACGTACAAAACTATCACTAAAGTGCCATGTTGTAGATAAGAGAATGGCAAATTAACGCTATGTGAAAGAGATTCCGGGGTGATGCGCAGGCTGCATTGCATACAATACAAATTAAACGTCAACAAATTAAGAAGAGAATATAATGCCTGTTGAAGAATTCGATATTTCACCTATGTGTGTACCTTATATAAGTGAGATGGAAAAGATCTAGTTTCAAAGATTTAATCGAAAATCAGGTGCCTCCAGGGGGGTGGATCGGGGGGTGGAGGCAAAGGGACTGGTTACGGACGGCAATGACCTCTCTTTCTACCTCCTTCGTTACCATCCTCGTCCTCGCCGCCCCGTCGCACTTCCGTGTAACGTTCACCCTTAACACTTACGATCTTATTGTCGAGATAGCGTACTAACTTCTTGGGCTCCGTTTTCGGCGCGACCGGACGATGTTCGCGACAGTCGTCGTCCCTGTCGACGTAACTGTACCGCGCTATGATGCGGGATTTGAGCTCTTCGTCGTTTACCCTCGCCTTGTTGCGACCGTTGGGCTGGAAACAATCAACCAACCGTGGAATCGACGTCGGCTCGGCACGCACACATAATGTGAAAACATTAGAAATTCCGGGAATGCGCGTGGTGAGAGTTTACGAGAACTCACCGTTAAAAACGTAAGATTGCTCACGATACTCTGACCCGCTTCTTGACGATGCAGCGCGAGTTGCGCGGCTTTCCCTATATCACCGCCAGCTACCGCTAAACAGTGCCTAGCCTCGGCGGGACTAGCGCCTGGAAACATCTCTTGCAACAGAGCTACCTGATGCCAGGAGGATTCCTAAGACGGCAACGAAGAATCGTCGTTAGCAAGGAGCAACTTGCGACGCTTTATCCGATATTTTAATGCTACCTCCGAAAAGTATTCTCCACTGGAGTCGCTGCCGGCGTCGCTGGTTTCCGACAAATGATGAACTCGCATTCTTTGTGCACCGGCTGGCAAGAGAGCGGCCAAGCTAATGTGACTTAGGGGATCGTGAGGTTGGCAGTTCTCGTTCTCCTTGCTGCCTTGCCTTAATTTACTTTCTACGTCCAACAGCCACTTTGACACAGCCTCTTTCTCAATGGTGGAGAACTCTGGAAGGCAGGCTGACACCATTTCGCACAGTCCATCTACGTCCAGGTTCTCCTCCAGTGCGCTCTCTTCTACCATACTCACTACATAGCTGAGTACGATGTCATCTATTAAGCTGGAACAGAATTGTTGATAAACAAATCACACATGGAACGTCCACAGTGACCCGCTGAGATGTCAATTCCGGGAAAGCTGACTGAGATCTCAGAGAGCGCACAGTTTCCCGAGAGACAAATGGAAGAGAGACGCGTGTACCTCAGTTGAGCAGTGGGCACCTGCTTCCTAACGAAACTAAATAAGGCCTTCTTCACCAATTCCTCCTTCTCATCCATCGTACGACTCATCCTGCAATCGTGTGAAATCGTGAATCCGTGAAATCTGTGATCGTCAGCCCGATATCTCTCGCGAACGCTGGAGCAAATTCAGCGAATATCGACGACAACGCTCGGGTCCGCCGACACCGCGCTCGCGCTTCCCATGAAAAATGCGAAATCGCGCCCGCGGACGCGATCGTTCACGCGAGTGGAACCCGCTCGGCGGACGCGCGTCTCACCGTCGCGGCTTCACGAGACAAGTGCGTTCGCGCGTACGTACGTACGTACGTACGTACGACAGTGGCGTTCAGTCATTGATCCTTTAATATAGGTTAAGGGAAACAAGAGGGCAGCAGGTCTCTCTCGCTCGCGGCCCTGCGCGCCCTTACGCGAACGAAAAAACTCGCGACGCGACGGCTACGACGTACGACGTTGCTGTTCTTTCGAGGGAGGGAGGGAGGGAGGGAGAAAGAGAAAGAAAGAGAGAGAGAGAGAGAGAAGGAGGGAGGACAGTGTGAGAGAGCGATCACCCAAGATGACTTTTCGGAGACCGCGAAGACATCAGTCGTGATTGCGATTGTCAGTGACGAGCGATTATTCGCTCGGCTGCGTATGAGCAGATAGGACAGGCGCGAGTACAGCTGAATAACCCGAAGAAAGTGAATGAGAGAGAGAGAGAGAGACAAAACTCGGCGAGTTACAACCCGGGATCACGGTGACGCGCGGGACAACGCCGGGCCTCGTCCCGAGCGAGAGAACCACTTCACCCTCCAATGCGAGGGAGGCATCACGCGACGGAGACGGGCTGGAACGCGACACCGCTATCGTATCCTGACCTGGCTAATCTGGCTGCCCACGATCGAGATCCTCGGGTTGCGATCGACGCTGAACCCCCGAGATCGATCTCGTATACAAACAACGCTCGTCGATTTGACAGCTCGGCTACGGGAGGGACGGACGCACGCGAGGCGCCTGGCGCCGCCTAGCGTGTCATGTGTAAACTTCGCGTTGCTATTTACTGTTTACACATAGCTGCACACGTACACACACACACACACACACACATTCGGATGCTGCCATCGGTATATTATAATCGGCTGTCGTGAATCTCACAGAGGGTGTCGCGAAAGAATGCGTTGTGCGATAAAATCGTTCTTGTTTTTGGCAACTTTGCCGAATTTGTCGCTAACTCGATGTTATTTAATTTTCCTTTTATTCGATTGTCACGGAGAGTATAAAAAAAAGTTGGGCACTTTTAAATTTGGGGATTTAACGCATGCAGATGCGTCATCCGCTGGACTCTCGATATATATATATATAGACTTGCGGCGGAATATTGTAATATGTTTATTTGCGAGATGTATCTTCACACATTACAATTTACACCTATATTCCAATCGTACACACGGCTCCGCATAAGCATATTGCTCGTTCGCCCGCATGCTCGGTACAACAAATAATTACAATCCGCAATTAATCGACGCACGATACACTCGACCACTTTTACAAACGAAATAAGTTACAAGACAACTCTAGAGTCTAAAATTCGAAATTTCTCTCGTATAAAGTAAAATCTTCATCGCATTCACTTACGACTGAACGAATACGTACTTCGATATAACATCGAGCGGTACTATGTTTAAATTCTTATAAATGCCCTGTCTCTATATCGGAGATGTCATATCGTATATATATTTATATTTATATATATATATATATATATGTATATAGGAAGTTAGCACACGTAGAAGATATTGAAATAAATACATACGCAGTGAAAAAAGATGCGCTGGACTAGCGGAAATATTTTTAACATATTGTACCTTTCAAGGTTTGTCACAAATGCTGTACACTAAAGTAAAAGGTCCTCCATCGTAAACCTGATCGACGACGACGAGACTGAATAAAACGACAAACGTTCTCGAGTATACTTAATACATACATTCCAAAAATAACAATCTCTTCGTGTTTCGTACGTATTATTTACAGTTGCATGAATAGAATTCGGCTACTTTTTCCACACTGTGATAGAAACAATTTAGCTCGATCATCGCTACCGTCGCTAAATCATCACTCTTCTCTTGATTAGATTTATTATTTTCACGAAATTGAGACTTTACGTTTCCGTTTACGCGAGGCAAAAACATGTGTCCGAGTCACCAGACATTATATATGCCTTAACACCACCAACTGTAATATTAACTCACTGTCGATACGCATCGGAGTATAATTTATTCACCGTTCCAAATGAGATCATCTCAAACGCAGATCAATGTAAGTACAATCGATTAGAATTTCCTACCATTTTTACCTTATCCATAGACTTACGCATATGTACGGAGGAAGAGAGAGATTTGCGCTTTCTTATAAAAGTTTTGAAAGTTAAACGTCTATGGCACAGATCATCGTTTAAATCGAGTCTTTATGGCCTCTCATGAGAGTGTTCATTTTATCTTTATACGTCTATGAAGTAATCCTAGAATAGGGGATCATTTAATGCTACGAATGCCCCAAAGCGACGAATGGATCAACTAGATTCTTTTTATCTGACACTTCGAAGCATTCATCATGTCGACCCTGTTCTCCTAGTTGCAAAGTTAAGGTATATATGACGCCTGATGTACAAGAACAATTTCCACATGTCTTCGTAATATCTAATGCGATATCTTCCTAATTCGTATATAATTGTTTGCACAACGTTTTTCGCATGTTTTTTCCAATCAAAATTGGAATGCGTCAAATTGCGAGTCAGCGCTTGCGAACTCGTGTAGCAATCGATTATATGGCAGAAGCTGAAGTGACATACAAAACATTTTGGACATCACAACTGCCACAGAGAGGATTCGGGAGAAATATGATTATGAAAATCTTTATTATGTTCTCATCTGTTAGAGATTAGATGAAGAGTCAATATTTATACAATCGTGTACTACCGCTATAAAAACCGCTGTGCAAACGATAAAGGATAAAAAAGAAAGTATCTATGTTAATTTCATGAAAATGTTTTCAATGTAGAATCGCACGAACGTTTCTTGGTGTTTGTACGGCCGCTCGTCACAATAAAGTATACATATCATCGCGTAAAAATTTCAAGAGTCACAGTTATCTTTTATACACTTATAATTTTAAGTATATCACTTAAAATTCGTGATGCATGATCCGCAATCGTTAAATCTAAAAGTATCCTATATATCTTACTATGTCACTTTCTTCTCCTTCGACGGCTGCGTCGAAGTTTCGCTTTCCGTGACTCCGTCGTCTTCCCCGGCGTCGTCGGCTGGCGTGTAGTCGGGAGAATCTTTTTTACTATTATCCTTATTACAATTCGATTCTGGTTCCTCGGCAATTTCCTCCTCCTGCTGCTGCTCTAGGAAATCGGTAGGTACAAACTCCATTTGGTCCTCGCTGTCATTTAAATCTGGCGGAGCTGGCAGTTCGCAAAAGTGTAATCTCCTGACTTCGTTGCCAACTTCTTCGCCACCTGGATCGTCCTCTTCGTGCAGATTCATAAGCTTGTCCAAGTCCGAGGACGGCGTGACGGCCTCCTCGTTATTCTCGGAGAATATCTCGGTCGGGCTGAGAGGTATGTCCAAGGGCTCCATTTTCACGGTTGGACAGGGTGACGACGGCGTGACGGGCCGCTGCAAACGTATTTTGGTAAAAGGCCTTGGTTCTAAAGGTTCAGACTGTTGCCGCTTCTGCGCGCGCTTAGGACTAGAAGGCGTAGAGACTCCCGAGGGCGACGCCTTATTCTCTTTGGATTCCGTAATGCCTCTAGGAACTACAGGTTGCGACGACAATGGCTTTGATTGAGGTATGAGTAGCGGTGGCTTTGCGCTCTGTCGATGAAACAATACAAATTAAGTGAGATACTGTGAATGTTAACAGTCCTAGATACAAGTGCAATGTAGAAGACTAGTATTTCAAATACTGAAGAGACTGATTAAAATGATTCAGCTATACTTGAAAACAGAGAAGAAAAAGGCCCAAGATGGACCAAAAGCTCTGACATATATTTGCACGCAGATGTTGAGTTTCTGAATAAAGTTACAGTATGCAATGATACTAATTGCGGTTCGGACTCTAATATGCTTAGACTCAATTGACATGCTGCACTGGTTGACTTACTTGGGATGATGGACTCGGACCAGCCAATCCTTTCACTTGCAATGCCTCAGCAGCGTTCAACAATTGTGAGAGTTTATCATGGGCGACATTGACCTCCCCACGGTACATGAATTTAACCAGTGCCTCCACTTCCCAGAATTTCAGATCCTTCATCAAGATGATGGGGTGTTGGCACGGATTCTCCCGTAACAAATCTGCCAAATAGTCGCTACAAGAGGACAGGATCATCTTGTGACACTTTAAGGACCGCCCTTCGCACGCTAGAGTCACATCGACGAACTGTTCTGAATCCAGCAACGACGGGAAACTGTTCTGCATGTTACTGTGGTAACTATTCCACCTCAAGCAAACCTGAAACACAATTGGATGAACATAAGCTTGGTAAATCACTACACTGTGTGTACATTATATCTCCTGCTTGTAACACAGAGATGCAGACTCTACATACTTCTGTGGGTTGTTGATGTACAATATTGTGCGGTAATCCTTGATTAGTTTGTCGTGGTGGCATCTTTATGGTTGTAGGCGCGACTTGTTTCACTTTCAATGGAATAGTTTTTAACACAAGAGTCTTTGTTGGTCGTGGTTGTTGTTGCTGTTGCTGTTGCTGCGGTTGCTGCTGCTGGGACAGTGGCGCTGGTGCAATGTTACGAAAATGAGGTCTCACCAAGGACTGTGCTATCCTTATAGTTTTAGCAGTCGCGTTTCCTTGGGACGTTGACTGTAATACTGCAACAGACAAGTAAAGGTCTCGTTAACCTCAATTTTCTCAAACAATTTCAATATTTTGACCAACTTGGTACAACAGTAAATAGTAACATTTACAGGAAACATTTAGAGATAAAATATTAAAGAAAGCATACAACTCATTGTGCATGAAACTACTACACGAGTGGCACTCGAAGAAACGACTGCTGACGACGTTTCAAGTAGCATCGATAGCGCGTAGAAAATTTCATTAAAATTTCAAATTCAAAAGCTGCATTATAAAATCGCAATGTCGATTATTACCGTGATATCGTCTGCCGATCAATCTGCCGCCGTGATGTACTCGCAGATGCCGGTGAAGATTCGTTGTGCCACACTGACGCGGGTTCGCGCCACCTCTAACCACAACCGCCCCGCAGATACGGCACTGTGCGCGCAACGGATCGTTAGTGCACAGGTCGAAGTGCGCCCAGACAGCACTCGGGTTCGCCATGGCGCGCAGGCTGCCTGTATGGGAGCGCACGCGGTGCGTGATGCTGCCGTGTCTACCGGACGACGATGATGACGAGGATGACGATTGTGTTGGTAACAGCGTCGACGTTGGTGTGCGTGCCGGCGGCGGCGGCGGCGACGCGGGCATCGAGTCGTCGTCGAGATAACAATCTTCTTCATCTTCCGGTTCCTGCTTCATCACGACGTCTTCCTTGATACCGTCCGTGGAGGCCGTCACGATGATGCTGCGTTTGTGCCCTATTGGATCCCGACACGAGCCCGAGTACTGTCTGTGGAACACAAACACACTCTGAGAGGAATGTCAATGAGATTTTTACATTTCGCGAGTAGAATCTAAAACAGTGCCGTCGTCCGCCGTGGATGCTCATCGATTCAGCCGGTTCTCGGTAACTCGTCAACCGCGAAAACAGAATGTGACTTACTTTCTTTCTCTCTCTTTCTTGTTTAGTGTCACGTCGCGCGGGAAAAGGGCGAACATATCATCGCGGGTCCAGCATCGCACGGCTACGGCACTGCGCGCATACTTTATCGCCCAAACGACGATTATCGTCGGCGCTTTTTATAGAAACGCGCGTCCCCGCACTAAGTCCCCGCACTAAGGCGACATCGAGAGAGCCATTATGAGACTTGATGAAATATCGCAGCGGCGACGGCGGCGGCGGTAACGACCACGACGACGACGAATAATGAAGTTGCGAATAAACAAGTTTAATTCTCACTGGAGTATCCACGTCTACTTCAATTTCGTGGCGCAAATTCACATAATCGCATGTATCGGATGTACCTTGTTTGCATTCAGAAGCTGGAATCGCTATTCCAGAAACGTAGCGAGGTTAGAACAGCATCCCGGGGACGCACCCGGAAGACCGATGGATTCCACGCAGTTTGTCCACGCTCTTTACGCTCAAACGTAAACTAAAGAAAGCACGTGCTTCGCGTACGGCAAATTGGAACCAATATTTCAAGTAAATCAAGCAGAGAACACTAACGCGTGCGACTCGCTACGTCACTGGCTCGCTCCGCTGCACGCGCGTCTATACGCGCCATTTTTCTCTCGCTCTCTCTTCCTCACCTTTCTTTCTAAACCTGCTGTCGAGTGCACCTGTGCTGCACCAGAACGCTCTTCCCACTCTTCCCCTCGGTAGATTCGCTCTTTCTCGCTGAATTGGTGTACACTTTCGGGACTTGAAAAGACAGGTATACAGCCGAGACCTGTTGGAGAAAGAGGAAAAGCGAGCTAGTGCAAGGTAGCGCAGTGAGAGAGAAAACGTTCGATCATACACCTCTATTTCGCTCTACGCGAAGAAAGTGCAAGCCAGTTCAGCTGAAAAGAATAGATCCATCTCTGTCTCCCTCCCTTTCCCTTTCTTTCTCTGACTTTTATTGTGCGTGTACGTAGGGCCGCTCGGTTCGGCGTGTCGACGTGAAACGTGCGTAATCCGCGGATTCCGCGAGCTTCGAGAAAACGGTCTCGTCGCACGCTGCGCTGTGTGTCGTCGCCCTGTCTCGTTTGTCCGCTCGTTCCCGCTCTTTCTCTCTTTCACTCACACACACACACACACTCGCGCGCGCGCGCGCACACACACACACCGACTCGCTCTTTCTCTGCGCGCGTTTCTAGCCACCCACTTCGTCCGTGCGTACGCCGCGGTGTTGACCGTTCGTTCGGGAGGCTCGCGTTGTTCCGCCGCTGCGGACCGGCTATAAAGTAGCAACGACGGAAGCACGCGACACACATTGAGCCACGCCAGCCGTAGAAGCGGATCCCGACGACGGCCGGAGGACCGTCGCGACGTGCGTTATGAATGCATCGAACGGCGGGAAGGCTCGCTCCGCGCTCGAGCGCGCGAGTAGACTCGACACGCCGCCGCGATCGGCGAACGGACGTTCCTCGCGACGCACTACTTCCCCGATCGATCCTCGCTCCGTCTCAAGACAGCGCAGCGCAGCTCGGCTTGGCTCTCGCGGCTTAGCGTCATGTCGCGTAGCGCAGCATCGCGTCGCGTCGCATCATGTCAAGATTCTTACCTATCGAGTATCTCTTTTAATCGCCGAGATAATCGAGGGAGGAACGATCCCCCGCGAATCGACGACAGTGATAGCAACCGCGGGTATCGTCGCTACGTGGAAATCGACGATCGCGCGTATTATGTCTGTCTCTCTCTCTCTCTCTCTCTCTCTCTCTCTGCGTGTTTCTCTTTCTCTCTCCCTCTCTCTCTCTCGCCCTTCCCTCTTTGTTCGCGTCTCTCTCTCTCTCTCTCTCTCTCTCTCCCTCTCTCCCTCTCTCTGTCCCTCTTCTCACAGCGTTGTTACGATAGATCTTGCTGAAAATCACAAGACGAGGATCATCGTCGGCGCGCCACCCTCGGCGCCTTTCCCGGCGTCAAATCGCGAGAGGCTCGTGAGATCGTGAAGATCGCGCGTACGGATCTCGGGTGGCGGCCCACCCGTAGCTACTACGCGGCGGCGGCACGCGGTCGTTGCAGGCGCGATTTTCTCCGAAGCCGAACCCGGGAGTGACTAAAATCGAAATCGGTGAACGAACAGGGGCGCGTCGGGGCGCGCATGTGCGACGGCGTCGCCGGTCGTCAACGCGTATTATCCGTGCCGTGTGTCGACCGTCGCGTCGCTATCGCGTGCGCGCGCTGCGTCGGCATCTCCGTCTCGCTCTCGCACACGCGCTCGCTCCTTTCCCCGCTCCTCGCGGGACTACTAACCGAACTGAAGTTATCGACTCGAACCGCGCGATGGTGACGCGCGCGCAATTCCGATCGATCGGAGAGGGTCGACAGTGCGCGGCAATCGTCGGTTTGTTTGCGTGGGTTAGGTTGGTTCTGGCCTCTCGTTAGCCTGGGCTAGGTTAGGTTAGGTTTGGTTAGATTGAGCTTCGTCGACCGCATGACAAACTGCTCCGTAAGAGAGGGAGAGGGAGAGACGAGCAACGAGAACGAATTTTCGTTTGTCCGAGCTTCTTTCGGATGTATGCCTCGTGTGTCGTTCGAGCAAGTCGTCGCTCTCTTCCCCTCTTCTGTTGGATACTAAATATGTAACTACATCATTTAGGCGGTAGGACGCGTAATACGATGCAGTTGAATGCGGCACCTGATCCGCATGGAAGAGAGAACGTGTTCTGTGCGATGATGTCATAACTGTCGCTAGTCGTGAACGGTAGACGGTAGAATGCATAAGCAATTAGCTCATTATTTTAGTAATTAGTTCTGTCCCGTGCGACGCGTTTTACAGCGATGCTATCTTGATTTCGTAAATATACAGTGCGACCGGATTTTTAACAAACTCTAAGAAAATCTGTTCTAAGAATTCTACGCGAGAAATACGTGTGTATTTTTTGGGATTTTATTTAATTTATATCTCTTTTAATTTTCCTTCTCTTTGGAACAAAAATTTAATATCGTATTACTCAATCGACAAATATTTGAGCTATGCCACTTTGAAGAGCGAAATCTGAAATAATCCTGGCTGATTGAATCACTGGGTGGCAAGCGGAAATATAAATAAATCGAATTCGAAAGACGTGAAGTAATGAGAGTGATGTTATCATTTCTACCTGGAATAAATTACGCTCATTGGTCTTTTTGCGCTATATAATGTCAGTAATTTTTTTATTACTTTCATTATGATGCACAAATCTTCATGTATATTGGATGAGTTCCTTTTCTTCCAGCTAATACTTGCTAATAGTTGCTTAACTATGAACCTTTATTTGCATGCTTATTTTACGTACTGACAAGATTTATTGCCATTAAACTATTGTGACATCAAATCTATCCGAAATATGAATAATGAATAAAACATCTGACAGTTTCTTAACGTCAACTAAATGTGAACTAACAAATGAGCATGAATAATGGGACTGATGTAACGCCAATGGAGCAGTAACCAACATCAGTGATCACCGACCACTTGTTCAATATATGATGAGGAAAGATACTTTACAATGCAAAGTATCCTTTTTGACACTGATACAAATATTTAAATAAATATCCCTATGTACATCACTTTTACATACACATTACATCTGTCTACATACGAGTGCTGTTTATATAACACACCATTGCATCCCGTTGATCTCATAGGACATCAAAGAGGGAGATACTGAAAACACTCGCTCATAATGATTCATCGTTTTTAATGTAATTTGTGGTAGTAGCACATAGTATAATGTTAATTAAATTAATTATATATTAAATATTGTTTTTGTATGCACTGTGTGTGACCGAGTAACAATACAGACGAGACTAGCAGATGGTGACCTTCGTAGCGCTACCCCTCTCTTATTAATGGCGCAAAATTAGAATTATTTGTCGTTTTTTCGCGTTACTAATTTGTTAACATGTTAACGCGAATACTCCTGTTAACGTTCACTCGCTTGTCTATCTCGATTGAAACGTCTCTCTCTCTCTTTCTCTCTCTCTCTCTTTTTCTCTCTCTCTCTCTCTCTCTTTCTCTCTCTCTCGTTCCCGAAGTCCTACAGAGCTCCAACGATCGTGAAACATAAGGGGAAGCCCGCTCCGCTCAGGTTTTGGGTTAAATAATAAAATTATACCGCGCGTAAGTATTTCGTTATACACAAGAAAAGCTGAATAAATAATACACGAAGCATAAATATGATCGTCATCTTGAAGGCATCGGCAACGATTCGCGCGCGCGCGCACTCGCGAATCTCTGTGAAAGCGCAACGCGTCCTCCGCACAGTGTCCGCTTTAACGATATGTCATAGGATGGAACGTGAAATTGACCTTTCCTCTAGTCATACCGCGCGATTCGTCTCACGGTGATCGCGATGAGTCTGTCTTATATGTACATGAATCTTATTTCGACTTGAAATTTCAGCTTTGGTTTTCGCATCATCCCCGTCACCTCCGGAGCGGAACAACTCGATGGATCGATCGAGCGATCGTCCCACTCGATGTCGAGGCGGGTTGCCAATGCCCTCAAAATTCGTCGAACACTGATCCTGTGACAACGATTACGCGTGTAAGATACATAGAGATATTTCATTAAAGTAGTCTGTAACGTAGCGCGCGCAGCTCTCTTCGAGACAAGTTTGTAAGGGATTTTCGCGCCGTTTCGCTATCGTTGTTCTGGACAAGACACGTTTACGGCTAAGATTTTCGCGTAGCAGTGGCAGTTGTCAAAAAACGCTATTATACTTGGTTATCGTATTTGTTCTAAGCTAACGTGCCCTATTTCCGGTTACCGTTCTATTTGATCGCAGCGGCTTCTTTCCCTCTCCTTTCTTTCTCCCTTTTTCTCCCCTTCTTCTTCTTCCTTTCTTCCTTTCCCCCCCTCTCTCTCTGCCTCTCTCTCTCTCTCTCTCTCTCTCTCTCTCTCTCTCTCTCTCTCTCTCTCTCTCTGCCTCTCTCTCTCTCTCTCTCTCTGCCTCTCTCTCTCTCTCTCTCTCTCTCTCTCTCTCTCTCTCTCTCTCTCTCTCTCTCTCTCTATAGTGACTGTTTACGTCTAAGTCGTAGCAATTGTCGTTTCTGTACGCGTAACTACGAGTCGTCGTGCGGTCGTAGCAAAATATCTATCTAGGTATCTTACGTCACAGAGTAAAAAGAAAAGGATGTCAGATACCGACAATATAAAGGCACGACGGATTCTTTGATGCGTCGTGCTGCGAGGATGGTGGTTACTAGCGAGCGTTGTTACATGCCGAAAAACCGACTAGCTAGACTAACGTACCGGTGCTCGCATCAGCAACGTCGATCGCGCGTACACTGTGACAACCTGGCTGTTTTTTTCTTCTTCTATCTGTTAGAAATTGACGTTGTGCAAAGTATCGATGTACATACGATGACGCTAACGGAACAATTGTGGCGACGCGCGCGATGCGTCTTTACCTTTATTCTCTAGCGTAATGAAACACGCAATGACGATCTCACACATCGCTTCTATATATATATATATATATTTATATAATATATATAGAACTTGACGACCCAACACTTGATCGATTCCGCAAGACGGTCGTTTCGTCACGGGGCAACAAGAAATATAACATTCGGTAATACAATAATTACAATTATCACATTACACTCATATATGTACATATGTATATATGAGTGCAATATGTCGGGGGCGTGTTACTTTATGCGCTTGCGGAATTCTGTTTAAACCGAATCGGTAACCGACGCCTCTCCTCGAGAGAGTACCACACACCTGTTAACCGGCGCTCACTTACTTCTTACTCGTTAACGGATAGCAACATCGAGAAGGCCAATCGATGGATGTGAAGGTAGCGCTTTACTGGGGTGGCTGAGCAATGAGGTCGAAGAACAAATCGCACCTTTAAATAACGCTCCGTAGGTAGCGGCCGCTTCGTGTTACACTGATCGCGATCGTCGACCGGGATGGTTCTCAGCCGTCAAACAATCATGCGGCACATGCGAAGTACGATGGACAGCAGCGAGAAGAATGCCCCTCGCGTCACCGGACAGCGTAACAACAGGACGCGTAGCATTATTAACAGCATCCCGAATTGCATAGCTCTGTGAAGCCAGTACAGTCTGCAACAACGGACAACGGGCAACCGCGACGTTGAGTCCAGGAGTTTGGGAGAACGTCCATGAGAAGAGGTAAGAGCGAGAGAAAACAAAACAAAACAAAAGAAAATGAGAGAGAAATCGAAAAAAAAAATGAAAAAGAACAGGCAGAATCAGACATCTTACTTCGTAATGTGTGAACGGGCGGCTGGCAGTGTGTCCGGACTCTCCTTCAGGATGAATTGTCGTATCCCCAGGATGTAATGCTCCAAGTACGACGTCCAGTCGATCTGTTTGACGTCGAACATAAATATCTCCCGATCCTCTGGACTGAGTTGCTCGCCCAATCGTCGCACGTTGTCGTCCCTGAAGTTCCACTGGTTCGTACTGAAGTATTCCAAGCACTTGGTGGCCTTGTAGAGTTTCGTTTGCAGACGAACCATCACGGGTCGCGTGCCTTTGAGCCGGGCAAGGATATCTAGAATGTGCGCTGGTAGCGTGTGCTGTATCGTCACGCACAGTTTATGCAGAAGGGCTGAGTAATGGCAACGGCCGCCCGGGTACCAGACCAGATCGTTCATCGGATGTAGCCGGCTGTATTTGAACGACATCTGGACGAACTGTTTCCACGTGATGGGATTTTGCTGGCCGGTGCAACAGTTGTAGATAGAGATCGTGTCAGTGCGGTGAGTGGCGGTTTTCCATGCCGCGCAAATCATTAGATTGATCACCATGTCGACCGGCACCAAGTCGGCCACCATGTTTTCGTAACACAGCATATTTCTGCAAAGTGACAATTTAACGATTTACGCTCGGGCGACACCAATCGGGAGATTAAAAGGGTATCGGATGCCGGAACACCGCAGTTTTCCCCATTTCATTTCCACTGTTTTTCTACCTAGTCATATAAAATTGCAGATGAAGTATACTCCATGTCACGTCAAAAACAAATTTTACTCAGCAAACCTTTCTTTCGTTTGTGATATAACATGTTCACCCTGTAAGAGCAATTTTATACAACCCAATAGAAAAACAATGCAAATTACAACAGCTGCGTCACGTTGGTATCCAGCATCTCCTTAACAAGCATCTCGTCACGCGCGGTGTACCCGGCAGCATCGATCCGCAGCATGCAGCGCGCCGTACCTGAAGAAACCTTTCCCGGCGGCAGCGATGATTCCCGTAGGTCCGTTGCAATTGTCCACCCAACCAGCGACTGGTTCTCTGAACGATGACAATACGATCGACGGCCTGACAATCGCTATCGGTAAGGAGCCCTTCTCCCTCTGGAGCATTCGCTCGGTTAATGCTTTGGTAAATGTGTATGTATTCGGTCGGCCAGCGATTAGACTTGGCGTCAAATCCTCAACCATTTTATCGTCCATCCACTGTGTCAGAGCGATCACTTGTTCGGGTTCTTTGCCCAAAGGATAAATCTCCTCGGCAACGTCGTTCCGGTCGCAATTGCAATATGCCGTTGAGACGTGAACGAGCGCCTGCAATCGAAAGTCTCGTTTTTGTCACGGATTTCTATTACGATTGTAAGAGAAAAGATATATATATATATATACATACATATACATACATATATATATATATATACACACATATACATATACATATATATATACATATATATATATATATATATACTGCGATTGCTCGCGAACACTCGAGTCTCGCCTCGGTGTGCCGATCGCGGCGTGTTGTGCGCTCCTAGTGACAGCTACGTGTAAAGATATGCATAGGTGTACACATTAATAATGCGATACTCGCGCTCATTCATACAGGATCAGACGGAAACGCAAAGAAGGATCATCGATCGATCGATCGATGAGTGCCGTTAAACTTTGAAGAGACAGATCGCGCGACATAGTAGCAAAGTGCAGAGGACAAACACACTCGCATATAAGCCGGCTTCTATTTACCTTCGAGGCTTGCAGTAATTTGACCAATCGAATCGTATTTCGCTATTAAGCGGAAACTGTGGGACTAGCTGTCAGCTAATTAAAAATCGATGATCGTACGCCACGAACAAACGAGCAAACGAAGCATTTCGAAAGCGCACTCTCGCGTTTCTCGATGCAGCGGAGAGGCGTAACAACCTTTCGTAGGAGAAATACGCTGTAACTTATCGTGAAGAGAGTCGTCAAAATGAGATTCCGATACATAATGCATCTCCCTGTCTCCGATCGGTCGATTTCGATCTAGAATCTGCGACTGCAAAGCAAGTATCTCGGCTCTACGCGGCGGTTCGTACGGCGCCGCCACCCCGGAAGCACGTTTCGCGGGGGGGGGGAGGTCGGAAACGTTCATCCTTACCTCGACGTTATGCATCCGGTGGCACAATTGGACCAATCTTTTGGTGCCCAACATGTTTATGGTGACCGAGAGTTTCAAAGCCTCGTCAAATTTCACGGTAGCTGCCGAGTGGAAGACTACCGATACGGACCGTATCAACGTATTCTGATCGGTTTCCGAGATGCCCAATTCCGGTTCTGTGACGTCGCCGGCAACAGGAATGATCTTCGAGAGCTCGCCCGGAAAGTCTCGCCGCAATTTTTCAAACAGCTGTCGAACGAAAGAAAGAAAATATGAAATTTAGTCCATCGAAGGACCGGTATATGTGGAGCAAAAAAAAATCGTCACCGGTGCGTCTAGTAGTTCTTGCAACCTCTGTTGCACATCTTGACTTTTTTTAGGTCTCATAAGAAGGTAGATATTTTTGATATCCGGACACGACCGCAGTAACTTTTCCACTAGGACTTTGCCCATGAAGCCGGTACCACCGGTTATAAAAATCGACCTGTCCCGGTAGAATTCTCTTACGGACATATACTCATTACTGGACATCGTAGCCATTTTAGAGATCTGTAAATATATGAATATTGATCAAGAGAAACTTTATATATACATAGCATATAAAAAATACAAACATACACATATAGATTCTAGTAAACACGGTGGTGTCGAATGACATAACAATAACGCAAGTTTTATCCGCTACTTGGGAACTGGTAAGATTGAATAATATCTCACCTGTTATATGCGTTACACAATCACCGTTGGGTGGAATTTCTGTTTTCAAAATAGTCCGTTTCGTTCTGCTTGGTAAGATGAAAATTATAAAAATTATATTACAAAGGAGACAACATTTGTCGATAATAGATTGGATGTTGAGCAATTAATAACTAAATATCTGACGGTTTGAATATATTCACAAATTATAAATATTTATGCCACGAAGTAGCTCGCCTTTAGGAAAAAGTTTGAAATAATGAACCAGAATATATCAGAAACGAAGATGCATCATTTTTTTATTGTTATATCACAGTTTGCTGTGCGAATGTTGTTTTAGGTTGCCAGATTATCACGTTAATTTCTGGCGGTTCCAGGAGTGAAAGAGAGAGAGAGAGAGAGAGAGAAAAGGGGGAAGGGAAATGTAAGGGAAGAAAGAGTGAGTTGGAGTGCAAAAAGATGGCAAATGGGAAAATGTAAGCAGTAAAATTTAAGGTGTAAGTAGCTTAATCAATCATAGTTTCGTTGTACCAATTGCAACAAACTACCTGCTCTATTCGTGCTTCTTCCTCTGCCTCTGCTTCTTCAAATTATTCTTCGAATCAACTTCTGTTTTATTCGGTATATCTGAGAGATGACGCAGGAAAGAGTAAACGGCTCTCAGAGACGAGGATGCAGCGTCTGCGACGAACGATGCGACGTTCCTCTCTTGCACACGTATATGTCGTATTGTGATCTTTCGTGCGGCTTGCTACGATTGAATCCAGCGGCCGTCGGATTCATTTCGTGTCCTTTGCAGTTACAAATCTGTGAAGCAGAGAATGGTATTTTATAAGTCCCTTGTTACACACCATTGTACGACGAGCATCTCTGTAGCACTTATAGCACAATAGCAATTCTCTCCTCCTCTCCCTCCCCCTCCCCCCCTCTCTCTCTCTCTCTCTCTTCCTCCCCCTCTCTCTTCTCTTCTTGAAGCATAAGTCAGTTGTTGCAGTTATTTAAAAAAAAGCGACGCGCGTTTTTTTCGACTCTCCTGCCTACGCCCGCGATTCATGTCTCGCGGGAACGCGACTGCTTTTCACGCAAACAAAGAGACAGATTACGCAACGCAACGTAATTATAAATACATCGAACGTGCACTTGCCGGATACGGTCGCTGCTTCCCGAGCGGTTGTAATAAGAGAGACAGATGGGAGATCGATAATCGTCCGTCACGAAAGGGCGTATATAAACGCGCTTTGCCAGCCAGATTTGTGAGCGAGCAGCGCAGTCTAACGTACCGTAAGGGGGTTACGAGGATGTTCAGCTTCAAAAAGAACGAGCTCGTGGACAAAATCGGATAATCAGATTGTTCAAAGATTTCGAAGAGAACGACGAAGAGTACACATGAACACACACGCACACGCACGTACACACCGAAAGCGGCGGAGGGGCACAGTCGTTATCTCGTCACGTAATTTCAACGCGAGTATCAGCTTGGCGCAATGTTATCTTCCGGCATGGCCATCTCGACGGCGATTTATCGGAAATCGAAGGAGGAACTTCACGACTGAAAAGTCGGAGAACAAGCGTTAACGGTAAAACTACAATATAAAAGAGCGCGGGCAGTCCTACGGTCGAGGAGAGCGGATCTATTTCTGACCCGCAATTTCTTCGCAGTCGATATCGCGCTACGTGCAGATAATTACAAGCGACTTACCGGCGTGTTACTTAGCAGATTCACAATGCGACATTTACGTAACCGTCGTTTTGAACGTTCTCTCGCGACACGCGGTAGGAATAAGTATGATTCAACGCGCGAGAGAGGTCGTATCTTTCTCTTCAAAGAGGCGAATCCCGTAGTCGGTTTTTCATTTGTCGGCTTCGCGAACAAACAAATCGCGAACGTCAAACTCGACATTGAAATCGACGGACTTTTGACTTCTGGAGTCTCGGCAAGGATGCTACGCCTAAAAAATGTTTCAAGTTGTTTTCTTGGAAACTATGAAGAATGATGAGATCTGGTTTTTTTTTTTTTTTAATATATAGAGAGTACCGAATCCTTGTATCAGAAGACAGGACAAGGTCCCTTTATTTTTCCTTTTTTTCTTTGTTTATATAGAGTAGCATACAAATATTTATATCTTCGAGTAGTTCGCTGTGTATAATTTTGGAATTATGGAAAGCTAAAAACTTGTTGCCTTCTTAGAAATCTGTATAGATAAAATCTATATAGATAAAAATAATATATATATATAGGTAAACAAAGATATATATATATATATATATCTTTTTCTTCTATAACTTATATTTAGTTTATACGAAAAAGAGATAAAAGAAATTCCATGAAATGTTTTGTTGCTTATTTTATTAATTATTTAAAATGTCTAGTTAAATATTTGGTAATACTACTGCTATGTAGACATAGATGCTGTTGCTTTGCAAACCCAAATTATAATTTTATTATAATTATTTTACGCAAGTTCGCAAATTTCCATGCAGACCAAAGTTCATCTGCCAGGACTCTCACCAGACATTAACTATGCCAAACCCTGGCAAAGCTAACCTTGGGTTAGAACACATGTTTTGAAACCTTTAAAAAATTATATCGATTTATAGTAATTTTTTATTTAAAAATTAAATTAAACTAAATTTAAAATATGCATTTTAATGAGTACAGGACGCAACTAGGAGAATTTCGTTAATCGAATTAGGTAAGATTTTACAAAAACTTGTTGCCTTCGTGGAAATCTGTATATATAGGCAAAGAAGATGTATATATAGGTAAAAAAAGAGATATATATATATATATATATTTTTCTTCTATATAACTTATATTTAGTTTATTACGAAAAAGATGATGATTTTTGCAATGGTCCCTTCAGACGTTTATTATTTCTTACTGCCTAACTAATCAACTTGATCCTTAATATAGAATGCAAAAACAGTTATGGTATTTATATATTTGCAGAATTGCGTGCTTTTCCCGCATTCGCAGTGGACAAATCTGTAATTGGATAAACATTGTGACAACCGTTTGGCTCAATATTAAAAAAAGAATTTGACAATAAGAAGACAGTACATAAATAGACATTAAATAGACAGTGTATAAACATAATCACAATAAATAAACATTTGGAATAATTAATACAGCAATACACACACGCATTGTTTAAACAACCATTGACGAAGACCGTTAGCGAGAGTTTGAATTTCATATATCGAGCTCGTTCGAAGGTAACATTATGTTTTCTTACGTCAACGACTTCTTTATACGTGTGCGTGTATTTCATTTAGCATGTTCCGCAAAACTGAAGCAACATCGGTGTCGACGGCGGTACAGCGGTGCAGCGACGATTTGCCTTCTCCCGCCCTTTTCGCCCTTTCCACCTCTTTCTCAACACTCGGCTCCAATCAGTTCAACACGTCACTAACTGTAAAGTACCTTTCGTTCGAATGATAATAACAACCCGCGTCCTACGCGATACGCCACGGCTGCGCGTCGGCGACGTTTTTACCGCGCGGTCCGCTCGTAAGTGTGCTCGCATGCACCGATGAAGAAATCGCGGTCTTGTGCTTTTTCCCCAAGAGCTGATCGCTCTAGCACCGTTGGCCCGATTTTGCGTTACATTTCAACAGCACATTGCGCAAAAGGAATGCGCTGAAAAAGTGGAAAAGAGCCCGGCCGACGTCCGGCTCGGCACGGCACGGCACGTGGGCTAATCGAAAAAGCGGCGCGCTGTCAAGCACTGCTCGCGCGAGAAAGTGCACACACGTCAATAAATTATCCTAATAATCGCTATTTAATGGTCGCTTTCGAAAGCCGCCGCCGCCGCCGCCGCCACCGCCGCCGCCACCGCCGCCGCCGTTGCGAATATCTCGACAACGAGGCGGCCGAGCGCGAGAGAAGCTCTCTCGAGCGCGCCGCGCGATGGGGCGCGATTCCCTGGTCGCGCGAAGACCCGGTCTTAGACCGCGCGCGCGCGAGTTACATCGGCAGCTTGTCTTGCATTAGACAGAAACGGATACGAGCGCACGACGAGGCTTCTAGGTCACCGTCCTAGCCTCGATGCAAGCGGCAGAGAAACCGTGGGCGTCCGGGGGGGCCCGTTACATGAAGAGCCGTTATACGCGACGACAATGGACACGGACGTGAGTGCGAGAACGCGATCGCGGGATCGCACGATCGTGACCGCGAGACTGAGGCGCACGTGACCGCAACCGTGAAATGAAACCGATCAGCCAGTCTGCTCGGCGGACCTCCGCCCCCCCTCCTCCCCCGGAGGGTAGGTCTCACTCGGCCCGGTTGCGCTTCTTTCCCTTTTTTCGGCCGTCACTCTCTCCTGCTTCCGGGCCTTCCGCCGGTTCCACCGCGCGCGCGCGCGCGCGAGTCCTGATGAAGCATCAGTTATCCTCCCCGTTCCCCGGAGAGCCCTTTTTCGCGCTCTTCTGGCTCTTTCGGGCTCTTCCACGATTTTCGAGGGAGTGGAGTCAGCTTGCTCAGGGGTAGAGGGGTTGTTTGAATTACAACGTGGCGATGAAATTCTTACGACCCTTATGATCCGGAAGGATCACAGCCTTCCCTCAGCGAGGACGAGTCGGTTTCGTCGTCGCGTTTGGACCCGAGCGTTCTTTGGAACTCCGGATGTGTGTGGAAGCGAAGGAGCGATATACGGGGACGGTCTCTCTTTCTGGTTTCCATTGCATATCGTCGCGCCGAGTGATCATTAGCATCGACTGCTACAATGCGGCGAGATACTATGGCTTCCGTGAACGTCGGCCGGGAGAATTATAGATTTCGCCCCGTCGCGCGAGCGCGCGTTGATTGCGGAAAGAAAGGCCGGAGGATCGTGGGCGGCACACTTCGGGGAGAAGCTGCGCCGCGATGTTTTATTCGGAAGGATCTATTTCAGAACCGCAGGAAGCCACATCCGAGAATGCATATCAAACCCCCCCCTCCAGGTGTCCCCGCTAAATTAATCGCCAAGTCCGAGAGAGTCCTTGTCACCACCCAGCGACCGCATGCGCTCTACCTGTCGAGATGTTGCACTTCCTTTTTTCAACAAAGATTTAGCTCCCAGTTCCTCTGATCGTCGTGAATCTACCGATTCACCCGCATGGATTGTTTTACTCGAATCTTGTTCGGGCCTTTTGGACGAAAGCTTTCGGGGTGGGATGGAGGGGAGGGGGGCGGGCAAGCTGTGCAAGCACGATGATTATTATTGAGATATTAATTGAAGAAAATTGGCGGATGAGACGAGCTACATAAGGCACAGCCTCAAGAGACACTTCTTGGGCCTGTCTCCTGACCTCTTGAAGGATTCGCCTTCGACAGGCTCGGGAGTTGGCCTGCACGCCGGACCAGGCACCGCATCCCTTAGTCTAGAGCCAACTCTTCGTTTCTCCTTTGTTTCTTGTACATTGATCTCCCGCGATTAAAATCGTTTCGACATCCCGAGGATCGTTTGATATCAAGTGACACCTGCAAGACACCGTCGGTCGACGCGACGCGACGCGACGCGACGCGACGTTCCGCGCATCGTTTGCTCCGAGACGCGGTCGCGAGCGAGTCCGTTCGCAGGATTAGCCGCGAGAGACTGGCTGAGATTCCGGATGCTTAACGCGGAATGCGCCTGGGGTCGGCGTGATAGTAAGGCAACGACGTGGATCGCGTTTTCATAGCGGGCAACAGCACGTCATCCGGCATGCACTGACATGCAATTGGCGTCCGAAGTGTGTTAGCGGGACATTGACTTCCGAAACGTGCGCGTCACCGCGCGGCACGAGCGTGGCCGAGAAGCGTGACAAGAAACTCTCTTGCTCGATTGACATCGATACCGCTGAAAAAGTAATCGCGATTAAACGCCGATTAGCCGGCGATCGGCTCTTCGGGCGCGGCGCGTATCGCTCTGACACGATCCGAGAGAGAGAGAGAGAGAGAGAGAGAGAGAGAGAGAGAGAGAAAGAGAGAGAGAACAGCTCTACGTTTCATCGTATATTTTATCAACGCTCGAAACTCGTCCGAAATATTAACGATGCGTTCCCACTGCGAGAGAAATCGATTGTTCTCTCTTTTTCTCTCTCTCTCTCTCTCTCTCTCTCTCTCTCTCCTTTCCTCCCTCCTCCTCTCTTTTAATTTATTAATTGGGCCATAAAACGCATTTAATGCCTTGCAAACTGCGTGTGCGTAAATACATGTAAAAGCATCGAAAGATAAATCCGATTATTATTATATATGTATGAGATATTATGCGCATGTAATTGATCTTCTCAGTTGCGGCTCAATTTGCGCTTCATGCATAAGGCACAAAAAAATAAATTATAGAGCGCATAAGTGAAGTAAAACTGACGGAATCAAGTCTAGTGCAAACACGAAGAAGATTAATCATTTCGCGACGAATAATAAGAATAACTTTTATCGTATGAAGAAGAAACACGTTCTAACTAAATATATATGTATGTATATTTTTGTTTCCGTCAAGGAAAACATACATATATTAAGTTTGATACATATACAATATATATTGATAATACGTTAAGTTTGATGTAAACAGGAAGAAACGATCATTTCGCGGGAAATGGCCTTTTGTCCGCGTCAAAAATATATATAAATAGAAGACAGCTTCAATTTATATATATTTTTGTTATGCTTTCGTCAAGGAAAACATAGATACACGTCAATACGCGTCAATACGCGTCAACACGTCAATAAATATATTTATCATACGTGCTTTTTATCATGCATATGTTTTGAACATTAAAAAGCAATTATTAATATATGACAATATGGAATAATATCTGCAGACACGTAAACATGGTGACTCACCTTTCATCTAAATACGTCGAGATTTGACAAAAATATCTTCTTACATTGTGAATGACCATGTAATATGCACTTCAGGCATGAATCGTGTTGTTTTCGCTTATAAGGAAACATAGAGAACGCGAAAATTCAAAAATTCTGAAACTTTGCATAGAAGTAAAGTAGTTCATCCGTAATACAAAACTATTTTTTGTTCGTGCGGAATTCCAATCTGAGGGGGTGGAACCACCCTTCGAGAAAAAAACCATTTTCATTTTACGCGTATATCTTTTAAAATACGAGGCATATACAAAAATGGTTCATATGAAAGTTGCAATATATCTCATACTCTTTGCAACCGTGTATTCAGATTTTGTAAAATTGCAAAATTTTTGAAATCCCATCCGCTCTCCTCCAATTTTGCAAAAATCTGAATACACAGTTGCAAAGAGTATGAAATACACTACAACCTTTATACAAACCAGTTTTGCATATGCCTCGTCTTTTAAAACAAAAAACACAAACAAAAAATAGTTTTGCATTACGGATGAACTACTTTACTTCTAACTACAAAGTTTCAGAATTTTTTTAATTTTCGCGTTTCCTATGTTTCCTTGGTAGAAACGTAGGCAAGACAGCTTATAAAATAACAACAAAATATAATGTTCGACTAAATTTCATACTGTGTGCTGCATATCAAACATGCGCCCGTTAAAATATCGTGTTATTTGGTTTTACGTTTTTTCGCTAACATTACAGACGCGATAAGTTATCTACGCGGTAAATAATCTACAGTAAGTTCGAATTGTTAAAGTGCGCAAGCTTCGTGAAAAATTTAAAGAAGCACAAAAACGGTAACGAAAGCGAAGAAACAAGATGAGAAAGCACTTGTTAAGACACCGCTTATGCGTCTAAAGATGTCAAATCATCCGCAAGTAGTTGCACACGTCATTATGTCTGCTCTTCATTATGACTCACCATTAATCGACGTTTAATATAACGAAACAGAAGCAAGTTTCACATATGCATAATTTCGTGCAGAGTATGATATATCACTCGCGACTGAGGATATTATTTATCTAACAGACGAGTAATTTTGTTTTTTAATATTAATCAGAACACACATGCGCACACGCATGTATGCACGTACGCACGCACGCACAAATAAATAAATAAATAAAAGAATGCTGTCAAATTTCATTTTTTCTTCTCTGCGTTAAGAGGTAAATTTACATATCGCTTAAAGCAACATGTGGGAAAAATCAATCATTCACCCAAAAAAAAAGTAATTTCAGAAAAATCGGAATCATTTAAATTTTAAAGGATTTTATTCTTATATATGGCCTCAAGAGGATTCCGTTAAGATTAAGAGAAAAATATTATACACACATTATTCTGAAAGTTAGAGGAATTATATGTTGTATGTATAATGCAAATCTTATTGATTTTAATATAAATTTCCTCTTATACACTCATCATTTAATCTTTTTTTAAGAAGATTATTATTTGCTCTTACTGTACTTTATTTTTACTGGTTATATTAGTTAATTTGAAAGAATTATTATAATGTATAGCGAGTTCTACAATGAGTAGGCACGAATGAAATAAGATCATCATAACAAATAAACTTTCAATCAGTTTTGTTATAGGCTTCATAGCAAAGATGTTCATCATAACCAATTATATGAAACATAGTTAAAAGGAAGAATATATTATTCAACTTCTTGCAATAGATTATAAACTGTATTTGACCAAATATAGGTAAATTATCTTCATTATATGTTACAGCAACACGCATACCATTTTTAAAAAACGTTCCAAATATTCTATAATCCGTGAGCATATGATTATTTTTTTCTTTCATGTCTGGAGGCAGAGCATGAGACTGAACAAAAGAAGCCGACATTCAAATCTCTTTTTATACATATTCTTCTTCATATAAGAAGAAAATTAATTGATATAAGAGGAAAACAACTAGAATATTATCTAATAAATTTTAAATGAATTTTAAATGAAATGTTTACTTTAATCGCTTTATCGAAAGAGGAATTCTTTTTCTGTAAAAGGCTTCGCTTAGAATATGAGACTATGGCAAAAATCACTTTACGAATAGAATATTTTTTTCTAGGCGTTCGTATGCGCTATATGACGATAGACTCGGCAAACAAAAAACTCATTTATAGCCTTATCTCAAGCGTCTAATCTGAAATGTTTGCTCTGACAATTCATGCATAATGTTATAGCCGGCATCAAAAGTAAAAGAAAAAGTTCAAAAAATTCGGTGTCACCAGCGGACGTGCGTCACTCAACGGTTGAGCGACCGCTGGCACAAAAAATGCTCGATTACTGATTATCGATCATTGTTACCGTTGACTGTGCAATGTCTCGTGAGAAAATACACGTAATTTCCAACAGATCCGTGCGTGCCGTGAGTACGAGTACGAAACGAAGAAGAGGAAAAGAAATAATAAAAAAAAAAACAAAAGAGAAAAAAGGACAAGGGGCAAATTAGAAACTCATGTCCGCGCGCTTCGGAAGCTTCGCGAAAATCTCCGGCGACGGTCGCGAGGTCGGAAGTGTGCCAGTAGTCGCCGTTACCGCGCGCGATCGAAGCGCAAAAGTGTCAATCAATCGGAAATGATGTGCGTATTTCGGGCGGAATTGTCGCTTACCTCGGCGGCCACATCGCGCGTCGTTTTCGTGTCTTCACACTAAGCTCGGCCGAAAAGAAACGAGAGTTTTAAGTTGGCCGGTTGGCAAGTATCGTCGATCGAAATGCCTTGCGTGGAGAGGCGCACGCATCTACTAACTCGCAGGAATGCTCCGTTACACTCGGTCGGCGATGATAAGGCGCGGTGAATCGACTTCCTTCGTGAAACGAAACATGAACTGAGCCCACCTGCAACTAACGCAAGTTCCTTATACCCGCCGGCCTGATAGAACGGAACGTTCTCTCCCACTACGAGTATCGCGAACTGTACACCTCGCGCCAATGTGCGTTACATGACCCGATCCTATCACACACATGTCGGTCTTTTTGACTCTGTCGTGCAAAAGCGATGACAAAGAATGGCCACGATCACGATCGTAAAATGAATATATCGCTGACACGAGACGATTTTTGATTTTTTATCGGTCTTCGCTATTAATTTACAAACAAATACGCGCAAACGCCTTGGTTTGAAATTTATGGGCCAAATGCCGACTGCATACACACACACACACACATAAGGTTAAATTAACTCCGCCGATTTTATTCACATAATTTCGTTCTTTCGTTGCGCACACATCCAAGATCTTTTCACGACTACTCGTCGTCAACTCGCGAGCGTTTTGGACTTTGGGAGAAAATCAGGTTGCTGATGAAAGACGAAAAAGAAATTCTATGTGACATTTGATGAAATCGGAATAAGATAAGAAGGCTCGGAGATATGGAACATGTGTCCTTAAGGCGAGATAAGCGTCCTTGAATTTCGAATAATTATTATTTACATCAATTATCCTTTCACTCGTGGGATCTCGTTCTGCGATCGTATGACATATGACGTATGACGTATGACGTATGACATATCGATGATAAAAGATTATGGTAACGGTTCGCAAAAGACGGATCATTATAATAGTCTCGAACTTTCTGCTGTTGTTCCTCCTTGCTTACGCTGTTTGCCGTTTAGTTTAACGGGGCAGAACGATGTCGGGGCTAATGACGTCAATACGATCGTCGTCGTCTTATTGTCAGTGCCGGCATGCAACGGTAATCGTGGAGGAGACGATTTAATCCAACCTTCTCTTCCACGTTTCATCGTGAACGTCGTTGTCGTGAGCGCCCGATTGTCGATAAATCGCCGATAAGCATCGCTCATGTAAAAATTTGTGAGATATCTCCGCTCCTGATTGCTAAAGTACTGTACACTGTAACGATATCGACGTGTCCATCTATCTTCCGTGGAAGTGGAATAGAACTTATAAAAAAGAAAAAAAGAAAAAGGGAGAAAAAAGGAACAAAGACAAAGTGTCTGGACGCAGAGAACTTTTCTGGAAGATGTTGACATTCGTCAACACTCACTGAGAAAATGTCACAAGGTGAATGTCCCAATTAGCGACGGTGTCGCAATTAGCGACAATTGCATCCATTTTCCTTAATAAATCAGCTGGCACGCGATGTGAAAAATGTTACTCTCTAAATTTCATATTAACTCTTGCGATATATCGATATTGCGGCTTCTTCTTAGCTACGGATATATTTTCAGCTGCGCGATACGGCTTTATTATTCAGTATTGTTACAAAATTGTTACAAAAGCGATTCAGACTTGTTCTTAGGCATTTAGAAATATATTTCCAGTCACCCCCGATGCGATTTTATCATTCAGTAGAAATTTTTCCCATGCACGCGCTGCGCGCGATATAGATAGAATATAAGATCCTGCTGCAAATTATTCCGTTCATTGACGGCATTGATTTTATTAAAATTAATTGTCGTAGTGAACGTGATTGCAAATGTGTCGTCGAATTCTACGCAGAAATGTGAAAGTTGTGAGAAAAATATTATCAAGTTTGCTAACAGTTTCTAGTGTAATAACAATTGCGTCGTTCACAGTGTAGCACGTCAATCATATATAAAATTATATATACAATAACCTGATGAATAAAAATCTCAACTGATGTTTGCTGTGAATATTAAACAATATGACGATGCATACTGGGGTTTGTTATGAATTAAACAGTGACGAATATTAAACAATGTGACGATGCAGAAAGAAATATTAATTCCCTTTTCTGCTGCCGTGTCGAATATATTGAACTTGGCAATAATTGTGCGTCATTAATCGCAGGCCAATTGTCGAATTCATCGGATCGGTCGCGCAAATTATTCAGGCCGTCGCTCGGTAATTATTTTAAAGCGATGATAAAGTTTAACCGGAAGGCTCAAGCTCGCGAGATGTGACCTTGGAAGAATAAATAAACGGAAGGATTTATTGCAGAATAAATCGCACAGTTTTGTAAGAATTATGGACGACGAGCGGAGCAAACGAAAAATTGACATAATTTATATAACGATATCTTTTAATAGGAAAATTCAGCGATAAAACTATCGTCGACTTACGACAGAAAAATTATTTGCGCCAAGAACATACGACTCAGCGTTTGAATTGCTGAGTTGCAATTCGATTCATTAACATTTATGCAACAAATCAAACGAAAAACCGCAATATATTACACGCGTGTGTTTTCTACGTGCGGTAAACGCGAGAGACGTTGAGAAAGACATCCGTTTGCCATCTAAGAATACCCCTCAAACGGTTCACGTAGTGTCGCAAATTGTCGCGTCTCAATCATGTGATTTCTAGGCATATTGTAAACATATTTAAATCTCTCCAGACGATTGTGACACATTATGTAAGCGGCCGCACAAACTCTCCCCAATGTGTAGCCAACAGAGCGAGTCATCGTCAATCGAATAGACGCGGACGGGTCGAAAGCAAGTCCGTGACTCTTTACATAAGTCACTTTGTATACGTTGTATCGCAACATTGAGATCGACGTTACACAATGTACAGAAAAACAAAAATTGCGAGCAAGAGACGAGGCGAGACGAGACGAGACGAGGCGAGGCGAGGAGGGGGTGAGGGCGAGACGGTGCGATGCGGTGCGGCGACAACCACTGCAACGATGCAAGCAACGCAGTGCGCTCGAAAGTCCTGCGAATCGGTTCGCAAGTATCAAAAGAAAAGAATGTCCGATCGATCGGAAACGATCGGAGCGCGCGCGTCGGCCATGACGATAAGGGGGAATTCACCGGGAAAGGAGAAACGGGAACAAAAAGAAAACTGAACGAAATACAAAGGAAACAGAAAAGGGACGGGAGAAGAAACACATGCGAGTTTTCGTGACTCCTTTGAGACTGGCTAGTGGAGTCATACGCGGAAATGACGCGCTGTATATCGATCAGGTTTCTCCGCGGACTTATCGATACGAGATTGAAAAGAAAAGGAAAGAAAGAGGGAAAAAATAGGAGAAAGAAGAAAAAAGGAGAAAACCTATCAAAGCGTAAAATCGCAAATGACCTGGCGTCAGGGGAGGGAGAAAAAAAGAGACAGCAGCAGCAGCAGAAGGAGAGGGAGGGGGAGGAGAAAGAGAAGGAGGAGGAGGAGAAGGGTTACAACCCGCAAGAACGGAGCACTCGGTATATATCGCATTGAACAGTCTGTGCCGCCGCCTCCTCCGTTTTCCGCGCCGCATTACGGTTAGCTCGCGGAAAATCGCTCCTGACACACCGGAGTCCTCCTCCTCCTTCTCCTCGGACCTCTTCGCTTTCGCACTCTTGGCTTTCGCACGATGACGAAGGAGAGCGCGAGGGAGCAGGGAGTCACGTATGCGCGTATGTACATTGCGGAACGTACCTGACGTTTCTTAGCACCACTATCTTACGCGATATACACAGGACGGCCCGGTTGCATCTGCTCGGCCCGGTCGCCTCGAGCTAACAGGGGAAGGTCTGTTCTCTTCAATCGCGCTGTGTATACATACTTTCTGTACACTTGAAACAAAATATAACGGATATCTATATATATATATATATATATATATATATATATATATGCATATATATATATATATATATATCTGCAAGAAAATTAGCAAGAGAGAGAGAGAGAAATACGAGAAAGACATAGGCTGAAAACAAACCGCGCGACGTCGTCTCGCCTCTACTTGCGACGAGATCCGTGATCGAACGGAAGGGCGGAGAGAGAGGAGCGTAAGGCGAGAACGAGAGACTACGCAGACTAGACACTTAGAGGAGACGAGGAAGACGGGCAAGGCGTACGGAGCCACGCTCCGGAGCCGGCGCGAAGAGGCTGCGCCAGCCGGCCGAAGCGCAGCGACGGCGGAGGGCCGCGCTCTTCCTGCGGCCAGCGAGCAGCCGAAGGGCGGCTCTCGCGATCGGCACTCACCGTTGTCTGCCGGCGTCGCGACGGACGGAGAAAAATCGGACGAGCACGGGCGAGAAGCTCGCGTAGCGCGCGAGCCACGGCGGAAGCACCACGTATCGGTTTCCCGAGAGCCGCGGCTCTCTCCCGGCTGGCCGACGAGGGACGCGGAACGGGCGGACATCGCGCACACAGCCTTGGTCGATCTTTGAAGCGAAGCACCACCACCACCACCACCACCGCCACCGCCACAGCCGCTGCCGCTGCCGCCGTCGCCGCCACCACCACCCCCGCCGTGCGCGCTGTCCTCTGCTGTGGTGCCTCCACCGCCGCCGCCGCCGCCACCACCGCCGCCACCACCACCACCGCCGCCGCCGCCGCCGCCGCCGCCGCCGCCGCCGCCACCGCTGAAAACCCGCTCCCGCGGTGGAAAGGGTTGCGTGTGTCGGCGCGAGTCGGACGGAAATTAACGGCGAGCGCGACGCTGCGCGCCGTGCTCCTCCTCCTCCTCCTCCTCCCCTCGGCCGAGCTCGCGGGAAAGCGAAACGGAAATAAAGCGACGGAAGAAGGCGCAGAGAGGGTGAGAAGTAGTCGCATACGGTAATAGGCGCGGCTGTCGGCGGCGGCGGCGGCGGCGGCGGCGGCGGCGGCGGCTGCTGCGGCGGTGACTCCTTCCCGCATCGGCAGCCTCGTATATCGCAAAGAATCAATGTCGCACTCACCTACGCGGTCGCGGGGCCTCCACCTTCCTCGCGCGATGTCCACGCTGCTCACCGACAACGCTGGCAGTATCCGCTTCAACACAGAATCGCCGAATTCTCGCGTCCTCGCCGCCTCGCAGCCAATACCCGTCGCATGCCAACCGAGTCCGCCATCTTCGCTGAACTGCCAAATACCCACAGGCCGGCCAACTGCTGCGCGCGGGAAATCACTGCGCTTTCTCTCTCTCTTTCTCTCTCTCTCTCTCTCTCCCTCTTTTCCCCTCTCGCTCCCTCATCGTGGCCGCTCGTCCTGCGCATCGCGCATTTCGCTCTCTCTGCAAATGTACATTTCTCATTATTGCCATAATCCTTTCTTCCGTTTGTCGCCGTTGCTGTTTGAACCCCCGGTGTTGCACCACGCCGGAGGGAGTGCACACGAGCGCGCTGCCTGTCGCCTCTCCCCGTCGGCGCATTTTCCGGCCGAACGCGGCTTTACCGCTCCCCGCGGTCCCGATATTCGTATATTATAACTGGGAATAAACAATTAGAGATTATTACGCTGTATCTCCGAATTAACAATTATACAACGCACCCAGATACGAAGTACACCCACGTACACCCGCGTATACGATACGCACGTATAGGCGTGTTCGGTCTGAAGTTCGCGCGAAGCGAACATCGTCGCTGTTGTCCTCTGCACTTTCGATCTTCGATCGGAGGTCTCATTGTTTCAAACTGGTAATTAGAAGAATCAAGAAACCTCGGAGAGCCATCGGCATGAGAAATAATGTTTTGTGTCAATGCCGATCGCGCTTTTTACATGAAGATGCATTCTCGAAGAGATGTCGTCAGATTCGCTAAATTGCCGTTTCGATGTATTCGGAATTCCTGGTAAGGAGCGCCGCACTTGGCTCGCGTGAAGGTTAAAACGCGCTTCAAATGTTAAAAATCAAATGTTAAAAAAGGTGTTAATATGCAAAGTATTACTGGAGCTCACCGTTATGTTTGCAATTGCAGGGGAACAAGCTTGGAAGAAAACGTGCCTCTTTCTGTGGTATTTTATATTTCCAGGTAAGTCGCGTCTCTCTCTCTCTCTTTCTCTCTCTCTCTCTCTCTTTCAACTATCGTATGTCATTATCGACGCTGTGTTAACTTCGCGGACATATTCCAATATTTATCTTCAAATATTATTACCTTCAAGATAGTACGAGTACGTCAGCGTTACATTGCGAAACATCGTTTTCGATCTTTCCCATCGAATCGCGGCTTGTCGTCGACCTCCCGCTAACTTCTCACTCGATTCATTCAGACATTAATCGAGATATGACGCGGTCGATTGTCTCACGCGACCGAGTTGCTGCGAACACTCTCGAGTCTATTCGTGGCACATCTCGATAGCGTGTGTCGAGGCATCGTAGCGATTGACCTCCGAGGCCTTTGGATATGGTTTATATCACCACGAAATTTACGCGCAATTTTGAAATGTTGGGACTACGTACGTCTTGAAAAACAGGGACACGATCCCTGTTTTTATTACACTTTTGCTTTACTTTAGCATTCTATTATCTGATCATCTTAATGTATCGTACAATGGCGTTGGGGAGTTCGCCTTAATAGGCATCTGGAGCCAATATTGAGAGAGAGAGAGAGAGAGAGAGAGAGAGAGAGAGAGAGAGAGAGAGAGAGAGAGAGAGAGAGAGAGAGAGAGAGAGAGAGAGAGAGAGAGAGAGAGAGAGAGAAAGAGAGAGATACGTTCACTGAGGCCAGTTTTTTATTGGCCTTCGTGACTGTTGAATGCGGTTTTTGTTACAATAAAACCACGCATAATTTTTTATTGTTGAGACTGCACACGCGTTGTCCCTATTTTTACTCCACCTCACCTTTAACATCTGATATTTTATTATCTCAACTTAGCATAGTGTGTTGGGAAATTTAAGCCTTAACAGGCATCTGGAGTCAATATTGAAAGAGAGAAAGAGAGAGAGAGAGAGAGAGAGAGAGAGAGAGAGAGAGAGAGAGAGAGAGAGAGAGTAATTATCAATAAATTACTGAGATCCGGTTGCACCAACATTATTTTGATTTTAAGCAAGACTTAAACATAGATCTACCTTTACCCATACAGCACAAAAGTTGCAGCAATATTTCTGCAACGTTGCTGTAATATTGCAACAATGTTACTGTAATATTGCAACAACGTTTTCTCAACTTTATATGCTGTATGAGTTATTTTTCTTCCTAAATAAATAAAAACAGACACATACGAGTATATCTAAATCTCCGGGGGTGCAGAAGACACTTTTACGAAGATCCGGTTAAACTAACCGTTTAACCTTGCAGGATTCCAATTAAAGCTGCTGTGAGAGAAAATAAAAAGTGAGGAGCAAAGCAGCAATTTTGGTTGAAATTTTGCAAGGTTATCGAAACGGTTAATTTAGCCGGAGCTTGGCAAGAGTCACCTTTAAAGTGACCTTAAATGTATTATTACAACGTCTCGCAGCCGCGCGTGTACGTCGTCGAGACGTCTGAATAACAACAATCGAAATTAACGCTATGTTTGTGAGCCGATTATACGGACAAATGTGTATGGAAAGACCGAGCAGGAAAGTCGATAATGTCAACATGTAATTATATCTTTGGAGCTTTAAATAACTGAAAAGCATTAACCCTCCGACCAAGTTACCGACTGATTTTTGCGGCGGAAAAATGTACCGAGATGATCGAAAAGCAGCAATATTATCGACCTGTTACTATCGGATATCAGATGCGATAATATTAGATTTCGCTTTTTCCGCGTGATTCTGTAGAGAAATCGCACCGAGAGAGAAGCACTCAGGAGGTATTGTTGTCTCTTTCTTCCGCGGTCCAAAGTTGTACAGTCATCATCGAGAGTATCATCAGTGGAGATTAGCGGGCAGATCTGCAGATCTGCTTGAATGTGGCTGTCGAATTTTGCCGGCGAACTCTACGACAGCTAGAACACGAACTTAACGCGTCGTGCGTAAAGGTCATTCTACAATACGTGTCGTAAGTTGTAAGCCGTAAGAACTGGCCAATTATAGCTGATTATTTTTGTAATAATCGACTGTGATTCGCCAATTCTTACGGCTTACAACTTACGACACGTATTGTAGAATGACCTTAAAAGATCGATGGTTGATTGATGGCGTGTGTACTTTAGCTGCGGCAGCGAACAAAGCCGGAAGTTGATGCTTCAAGACTGAGAGGCTATGTAACTGCACACTTTCGTGTTGAGAGCATCGTTCTATCCTTATCGCTCGTTACCCGCTGAAGAAAGATTGAACGACGTTCCAGCGCGAGAACGTGCAAGCAAGACGAGCATAGCTCGGGTAAGAAGCCGTTTTGTTTAAGTCGCTTTCTCATGCTTTCTCACTCTGCCCGACGGGAGTCCCGAAGGCTCTTCGTCTCCGTTCACGAGGTTAGCTCGCGCGATCGTCTTGCGGGTCTCCTCGCGAGAGAATTTCCGCGGGTATATTGCGTCGAGACGAAATGCAAGGCGTGGTAAAACCGCTCGGAGTTTGCTTCGGTGGCACATATTTTGCGACGCGCCGCTCGGCGTCGGATTACAATTGTGTTCGTAAAGGAATTTTTCGTCACTGTTACCTATCGACGTAGTTACGGCATTCTATCGCGTCTTATCGCGTTACCTCGGTAACCCGGTGATTACATTTTTATTTTCCGTGCGTCCTTAGCAGCACGCAATAACCGGTTACTTTTCCGCGTTATTTAAATGGCTAGACTCTATCCTCTTCCGCATATAAAACAACATGGCACGACCACCGCGGTCGTTTTCACGCGCCGCGCTCTTAGTCGCTATACACCGCGAAAGCGGTTTAATTCTTCGTTATTAAATGGAAAGTTTTTCCCCGAATGCGATCAGAGCTATCCATCTTGATTACACCTGCACGGAAGAAGAAAGGATTAATCGAATTAACGCGCGCGACGATGAGCGGGTCAAGAGCGTTTCCATTGGAGGGAACGGGGCATTTGGTTGAGAAAAATATTCCCAGTTCTCATCAATCTTCAATCCGGGAATCTTTTCAGGCGAAACGCGTTCAGCCCGTTTGTCGCCACGTTAACTCAATCGACATTTTTCCTTCGTGTAAAACTACGCGTATCTTCGATGCAGGTTGTAAAATGAGATGTATCTCGGTATAAAATCTTGCATAATTCAGTGTAATTTATGAGCAAGTTCAGATGGTATTGGGTGAGTGCAAAAGTTCGTGCGGAGTTTCAATAGATGGAGTTATAAGCGTCGTAAAGTGTTGTCATTAATACTTCCATCTACATATTATATAACGTTGGAAAGGTGACGTCTTCAGCTGTTATTAAAAAAAAATCATTTGTTTTCATACAAACTGCTTCGAGAAATATCACTTTAAAAATGAGTATCGATAAGGTGCATTTACGGCATATTATGCTTTACGAGTTTCGGAAGGGAATAAACGTTGCCGCCCAATATATATAAATCGCATGTTTTTTATAGAGACGCATTTAAATAAGCAGCAAGATAACTTAAGCCCGTGTCACACTACGGATTGAAGATCAAGGATTGCGGATTGAAGATTAGATTTCGACAAATCAACGAACTTCGGTTTTGATTTGCTTTATTCCGATTGGTCAAATTTCAATCTTCAATCCGCAATCCTTGATCTTCAATCCGTAGTGTGACACGGGCTTTACGGCATTTACGAATGCCCGCGAATCTCAAACAATAGGCGATTTATCTTTTTGAGCGCCACACACCTGCAAATTTGATCCGTCGAACTTTGTCGACTTGTAACTCGACTTAATCGAATACGTCGACTTAACTCGAATTAATCGATATTTCGACTTTTTTCATTATAAAAAAAAAACACAAAAAATATTACGATAATGATTTAAAGCCAATAAAGAATAATAAATATTTAGATGTTCACACACCTTTTACTTCTTTCTCAAATCTTCCTGAAAAGCTTACCTCTTTCCTGTGAAGTTGTTGTTTAAATCTTGTTTAAATTTTTTCTTTCATTTCACTCAGAAATATAAGAAGAGAACTGTGATTTTCTTTTTTAGTGATTCTTCGTAGTAGTTCTTAGTAGTTTCTTTTTAGTAGTTCTTCTTTAGTGTTTTCGAAATGCGATCCAACGTAAACCGATATTTCACCTGTATTTTTCTTCGTCGGCTTTTCTCCATTATTATAAGATTTCTTATATTAAAGAACTTTTTTTATATTTTTTATATTAAAGAAAGAAACTAGGTTAAAATTAATTAGTTCGAAGTCAAGTTATAAATCAGCAAATATTTATATATATGATGACTTGCAACCGTATGTTTCTGCCCGTCAGGCATGCTAACGCTTAAGTTGCAAATTTTTACAGCAGCGCACAGTCGCGACAATTTGAAACGAATTCATGCAAATTAAACGGCATACATCAATAATTGTGTCGCAACTTAGCGTGTTACTAAAAAGCACGCTTTATGCATAAATTGTAAAAAGTATGCATAAAGTGACGCTTTTTTCTTTTTCTTTTTTGCATATATTGCAAAAACATATGCGACATTGACATTATACTATATGCTTAGTAAATATAGTGTAAAGACGCAAAGTGCGAAATCGGCGAGCGCATACTTTGGACCGCGGATATACGAGGATTTATCTCACGTCACTCGCTAATGTTATAACGTACAATTTCCTGCCCCATGACTTATTTACGCAAAGCTAAAGAATAAATAAAATCGATGATATAACGAATAATCTCTCGTCTGCCGCAGTAAGAATGTTTTTCTCCTGTACATTTCAAGATAAAAAAATGTTGGAACCTATATAGCTTTCCTCGACGGTTAGACGCGTTAATACACATATTTTGCGTGCCTGCTTCTACGTTTCATAAGCAGTTTTTAGAGGTACATTAATTTTTATTCCTCTTGCTTAACATTTCTCAAACATAACACCAGCATTGCAAGAAATATTCTGAATTTTTTACATATTTTCATGTCATTCCAGCATTTCCATATCATTAACATTGTGCTCTCTTGAGATTGCGTAATAGTGCGAAGGAGGGTACGAAGGAAGGGGCAATAGTACACAGCTCGCCGCGATAACGAGCATCGTAGCTCTCGCAGTCGCATGACAACCGATTTCCGCGTCGTTCGAGCTCGTGTGCGTGGCGGCTCTAGCTACTTCAGGTAAGTGCATTCACACGTATTTTATGTATCACGTGGAACACAGAGATAGAATCTATCCGTTAAGGAAATTTCGTCGCTGTTAAACGCAATGATGTACGGTAAATGCGTATTATTGTGTCTGGGGAAGTCGGTAAGTAAGGAAACGACATCGGAAGGTTAAGGCTACGTTCCGATATTCACTACCAGTACTGAAAATATACATTTTGCATCACCTATACTATAGATTTTCAGTGCTGGCGGTGAATATCGGAACGCAGCCGAAATTATATAAAAACTGTACACCCAACGTCGAAAGTATGGTTCGGATCAATGGACAAATACGGAAGTGACAAAGTAGTCTGACCAATTGCGTTCGAAAATTTCAAAATGATTTCTTAATCATTTTTGATAGTCGTCAGTTGGTTGACGTACTTCTTTCTGAACGTCTCGAGCTAGTAACTAGTCGTGTAATTGCTGATTTTGACTGCGTTCCGATATTCACTGCCAATACCGCAAATATATAATTTGTGTCACATATACTATAGATTTTTAGCACTGATAGTGAATATCGGAACGCAGCCCAAGGATACGTTCGGGGGGGGGGCGCTAACACATCATTCTATCTTTGTCGTTCATTAAATATGCAACAAGAATAGATAACACGTTAGCACTAATTTTGCGCTGATAGCGCGCTCCTCGAACACAGCTTAAGTCTTCTTCGTATAAATTCAATTTCTTCGCGCAAAATTTTATATATATATATATATATATAAGTTCCAAGGAAAATTTACTACTTTATTTTTGTATTTATACATTTTTGTTTTATACAAAATAATCGCATTATTGATACTTGTAGTTGAACTATGTGTCTTTTGCTAAATAACGCAGGCAGCATTTAGTACCGCTAGTTCTAAGCAGAAAAAACAACGATGGCATCGCACGTAACGGATTTCTACAGTGCGAAGAGTATATTTATTACCGGCGGTACCGGTTTCGTCGGAGTCTGCTTAATAGAGAAACTCCTGAGATGTTGTCCTGACATAAAGAACATTTACTTGCTAATACGTCCGAAAAAGGGGAAACTTATCACAGAAAGATTGACAGAGTTGACAGAGAATTCGGTGAGTTGTCAATTGAGACAACTATATTAGATCATATCAAAATAGACAAGAGGTTTATTATTAAAGGTTTATTATTAAAGTAGACGAAGGTTATTTTTTTTTTTCAAACGTCCCTCTAACTAAACTGGATGTGTTTATAATGTAATAAGTTAGAGTGAGACAGGTATATTTTATTTTACTTTACTTATTGCATTAGTATATATTTGGTTTAGGGAATTTTTTGGAAAAGAAACTTTAGATTATTGAATTTAGATAGGCTAGAGACTGAATTTTATGAATAAATATTATAATGTATATATAAATGTATTAATGTATCTCATATATATATAATAATATAATATGATATATTTTTTTTTGTTTTATATGTAATTTTATTTTATATGTAGGTTTTTAATAGGCTGCGAGAAGAGAAGCAAACTGACTTATTCAAGAAACTGATCGCAGTTGCTGGAGATGTTGGTGAAGAAAACTTAGGCTTATCTGTGGAAGATAGGGCAACTTTAATCAGCACAGTGCAAGTTGTTTTTCATTCTGCCGCCACACTTGATTTTGAAGCTGATTTAAAGACTGCGGCAAATATAAATTTATTGGGAACTCGGAGAATTGTTCAATTATGCCGAGAAATTAATGATTTTAAAGTAAGTCGTTATTTTGTTTTTTAATTAAGAGAAGTAAATTTATATAAACTAACAAGAATCTTGACATATGCAAATATATATAAAAAGGGAAAGTATTTAATATAATAAAAAAACTATTTTTGATATAACAAATTCATGATATATATGGTTTTTTTCTTTACATATGTATATATATATGGGTATGTATGTATATATCTCAAGATTTTACTGGTTGGTTTTCTTCTTTTAAATATATATATCTAAAAATTAATATTTTATGTATAAATTTTTGCAAAAATTGATATGGTAACTCCTGAATAGGATTTATTTATATATAAACTCATTCCATTTAATGACAGAATTTTAATATTTATTGTTTAGGCATTGGTACATGTTTCTAGTGCTTATGTTAATTCCAAGCTGCAAAATGTTGATGAAATATTATATCCGGCACCAACTGACCCAAATATAATTGTGAAATTAATCAGTGAATTAGATGCTGCTACCTTGGGAACAAAAACACCGGAGATACTGAAAGGTCATGCAAATGCTTACACATTCACCAAACATTTGGCTGAACATGAAGTAGCAAATGGAGAGTTACCAGCGGTTATTGTACGTCCTTCAATGAGTGAGTTTATATCTGTTATCGAATAAATATGTGACTTGTCATTATTACTGTATTTTAGATTTAATTTTATGTATATAGTAATAGGAGCATGGAAAGAGCCTATTCCAGGATGGACGGTATCGAAAAATGGACCACAAGGTTTTTTGATGGGTGCCAGCAAGGGTGTTATAAGAAGAGTGCCAGTGGCAAAAAATCTTACTTATGATTACATTCCAATAGATATAGTTGTAAACAGTCTTATTGTTGCAGCGTACTCTGTTGATCGTGATAGGTAATTCTAAAAATGGAATACTTTTTTTGCTATAGGAAAAGTATGCGTCTACTTTTAATTCAATTCAATTCTAATCAAGGTTTTCTGAAATATAACTTACAATTTTAGTGATAAAAGTTTAAAAATATATCATTGCACGTCAAGTACATGCAATCCTTTCCAATGGGACCAGGTGCAGAAAGAAGTTAATATATACTTGCACAAATATCCATTAAAAAGTGCTGTGTGGTATCCATATTTAAAATTGTTACCATCACTTTTGTTATTTAAAATTTCTGCCTTTTTCTTTCATTTTATACCAGCATATATCATGGATACAATCACACGCTTGACTGGAGGCCGTCCAATGTAAGTCTTAATATCGCATGTAAGGAATTTAAAATTCCTTATTTTTCATTTTTTAATAAATCTAATGTCTTCTCTATGTTTCCAGTTTAGTCCGCCTGCATACAAATGTTAACAAATCGTTAATTCTTCTTGAGCAATTTATTTTCAATGAATGGATATTCAATAATCCATGTATGTTGCAATTGCACGAATCGTTATCTCCGGATGACAAAGAATTATTCACTGTAGACATTAGGTCGTTGATATGGAAAGACTATTTCTCCGATTTAGCACAGGGAGTGAGAGTATATCTCAGTAAGGAATCCTTGAAATCTTTGCCGGAGGCACGTTCAAAAGATAAAATGTAAGTATATTTTACTGTACAAACTTCTTAATCGGGGAGGAGAGGGGATTAATTACTGATACTGAGCGTTAATAATTACTTTCGTATTTGTGTTTACAGATTGATGTTTGCGCATCTAGGCTTGCAAGTTACTCTGTTGGGTTTGATTTGGTGGCTGGTTAAAGTCTTGTTTGCTACAACATGGACAAAAACTGGTTTAATTGTACCGATAATTTATCTGCTTTTTGATCAGTTATAAGTGTGTAAGGCAACATTTAAATATACATTAAATATAATATATAAGCGATTCAAAATGGTGAAATATATTCAATGTTAAAAAGGAGGGTTCAGTATTTAAATGGTTCAGTATTTACAGGATAGGTGATATTCACTAAACCAAATAAAGAATTCTTAATAAATATAGGTAGGGAGATTCACGCAAATCGCAAGCGATTTTCGGTTTTGATAATACTAATGATCTGTCTATTTATTATACACAATATGGAAATAAAATATTTTATTACCATATTTTTCTTTTGGTATTTGTAAAAAGCGTTTTACATGTGTCCTTCTCTCATTTCTATATTCTCATTTTAGATCTCTCGAGTGATCAACATTGCAAACTTCCTGGTTCTGCTAAAATTATTTGACAAGTATTTTATTTAATTAAGATTTCCTGGTATAGCACAATTGTGTCATTACTTGATTGATTTAACTTGAAGTCTTATTAACTTGAAGTTTTATTATTTTTCTGTAATGTTTCTAACTAATAGACTTGTTGATCAAGATTTTTGTTTAAAAAAAAAAGAAAACTACTTTGCAGTTTTGAACGACATTAATACTGTGATAATTTATATAGCTAAATTTGTCTTGTTTCTGTGGATCGAGTAGATGATACTGACTGCTCACTCGTCTTCTTTTCTTAAAATTTTTCTATCAGGCACAATGTGAACTTTAGTCCTTCTCAGCTTTCACAAATCGATATCCGTCTCGAATTACGATTATTCTTTATTGAATCCAATATTCTTGTTATCTCTTTATTACTTAATACTTCTTCATTACCAATTTTTTCCTTTTTCTTTTATTCCTCTAGCTCTTTTTCCTTTTCATTCAATAACCTTTCCATTGAGACATTTTATCTGCTTCTTTTTTGTTGAGGCATCCCTTTTTTCATTGGTATTTTTCTGTGGTATGTATCACACACATCATCGACTTAATTTTTTTATTTTTTCATATGATATGTAAGACTGTTTAAACTATGTAATTAGCAAAACATAAGTAGTTAACGTTTGTTTATTGAGTAATAATAGATAACAGTAGTAATAGTATGTCATAAAATATTTATATAAATGAAAGCTAAGCATTTGTGCATCAAAATAGAAATATGGTAACATAATATCTAACTTTCATGCATATGATAGACAGAAGAAAGCAAATGACTTTTACCACCTGTACTAAAATTAAAAATTGCTTGTAACTCTAATAATGTTAATTATTTCCAATTTCCGTTACAAATTTCCATTACAAATTTTGTAGTCAATTTAGGATATAACATGTTAAGGTAAGCGAATATATAATAATGTAATATTTTAAACTTTTGCGGTGCAGATAAAAGCTTGATTTTGCTTTCAGATTTGTGTCGTGTCCGTTATTTGTTTCTTTCCCCTGTTTCGTTCCCGTTGCAGTTTATTCGGAGAAATCCCTGAAGAGGAAAAGGAACAAATTGACATTATTACAAACTGTCATGTTTCCTATTTATCATGCTAATGATGAACTGTAGGTTTTTTGAGTACTATAGACGCGTATATGTGTTCCACGTATGTAAGTGTGTACATCTTTGATGAATCTGTTATGATCCCGATACATACATTTTATCAATTGCTACCACTGACACTTATATTCATGTTTTTTCACGTGCTTAGCGGAGGTAATAAATAACATTTCATTTATCCAAATCTATAGCTTGCGATTTTTTTTCCAGAAGTTATTTCGATTAACTGACAACGGTGCAAATGATTTCGCCTTCAGCACCGATATATGCCATTTAAAGCAAAGAGTGTGCCAATTTTCAGTAAGAGAAAAATTACAACACCTCCGTTCATTCAGCTTGACTCCACGTGCTCGATTCACACGTGTTTGTTTGCATACAATACGCTGACGTTTCCCAGTGAGAAATGATTCGTCGATCGACGTCGATTTGAAGATTCGATATCGATTCGACATCCTTTCGACATCGATCGACGAATCATTTCTCACTGGGTTTGGTCGCTTTCAACGCTCGCCGACGTAAATGTCTTCAAAAATGATCATTCGTTGCATTATATACAGGGTGTTCCGTAAGTCGAGGTCAGTCGCTCGAGAGATGAGTGGGGAACCACAAACAAGAAAGAAAGTTGATACAAACATAGGTCCAAAAATGCGTTGTTTTCGAATTATCGCCATTTTTATGTTAAAATTTGAAATTGCTTTGCTTTCGAATTTTTTTGGTTTTGGAATTTCGATTGTTTTTATGAGTTTCAAAACACAACTAAAGTCAAATAAAAGTTGCGGGCCTTCTTTCTAAGGAGTCCCGAACTCTTTGTAGCACTTCCGGATTTTCTCTAATGTTTCGAACACCTCATATAATTTTTACGTTCACTCACACACACACACATACACACGACAGAGAGTTTGGAGTCACTAATAGGGGTGACGAACTATCTCCTGTCCTGATCTCTGCCAAGGGATACTAAGCGGGCTGTACCTCCACGCGGTGCATCCTGGGTAGTGCTAAAGCAGCCCGCAACTTTTATTTGACTTTATTTATTTTTATTTATTTAGTTATGTTTTGAAACTCATAAAAACAATCGAAATTCCAAAACCAAAAAAATTCGAAAGCAAAACAATTTCAAATTTTAACATAAAAATGGCGATAACAACGCATTTTTGGACCTATGTTTGTATCAACTTTCTTTCTTGTTTGTGATTCCCCATTCATCTCTCGAGCGATTGACCTCGACTTACGGAACACCCTGTATATCGCTTTCCAACACACACGCCGCTATGAAGCCGAATAGGATATATGCGAAAAGGATATGACAGAGCTGAACATGAAGTATAAAAAACTTGTCCTTCTATGTCTCTCTCTCTCTCTCTCTCTCTCTCTCTCTCTCTCTCTCTCTCTCTCTCTCTCTCTCTCTCTCTCTCTCTCTCTCTCTCTCTCTCTCTCTCTCTCTCTCTCTCTCTCTCTCTCTCTCTCTCTCGCTCTCACTGGTAATTAAACTTTCCGCTTGTAGAATATTCCGTTCGTATATTTATATGCATATGATCACTAAGGAGTGATCAATACTGAAATATTGTTAACAATATAAACAGGATATTTCTGTACCGGGATATCCGCAAACACGACTCAGTTATGCGCAGATTCATGGATACTACTCTGGTACCCAAATATATTCATGGATATTATCTCGACAACCAGAAGATAATTACAAAATAATTTGTCTAAAATTAACTGTATACTCGATTATCCATGTAATTAGTATTCGAATAATTGAAATTGACAGCAGTATTCTGGATTATTCTGCACTTAAAAGTCTAGTACGACTTGACGCGATTTCGATAGTAACGACAATTCCATACGTCATAGTTGATTCTTATCAATTTACTGTCTCCTTAACAGTTATAGTTTCCGATTACGTATTTTTGTAATTAATAATAATGTTGAACTTTTTTCAAACTTACATTCGATGCGTTAATCGTGTTGTATGTGTAGCATTCGAAATCGCGCCGTGTCGTTAGATTTTATTGTTACTAAAAATTCGCTGTTCTCTAAATAGTGGCCGTTTTCCAGCTATGACACGCTAAATTACACTGTGTTACACCGTGTAAGGTATTTGTTGGAGCGCAGTTTAGTTTCTTTATGTAACACCAGAGTGCATTACGGTTTGTCATTCTTATTTTTATGAATATCTTACGAATCAATACATATATAATAAGCATATAATTCTAAAACAATTAAAGGAATAAGTATTTTTCAAAAAATCCATTACATTATTGCACTGTTTACATACAAATAGTTCTGAAAGGAAGTAGAAGGAGGATGATATATGAAGAAATTATTTATAATTTAATATTATATAATTTTAACAAAATATGTAAATAAAAAAGGTCCTAATTATTATTTTTATATTTATCTTTAACTTTCGTTACAGGTTCCATTATGTTTCTTCGTATAAATCAATATAATATAAAAATACATATAACAATATATATATATATATATATCTATAATCTATAAATCTAGGCTACACGTCTCTGTTCAGTGTTATATCTGGGAATGTTCGCCAAATGTGTCCGACGCTCTAGTTATAACATTTGAAACTCGGCGTTAACAAATCTTCGGTAAAACAAAACAACTCGAAGCCTGCTCTAAAACCTCGAAACCTACATCCTCCTAGTTCAAATCCATATGTACCCTAGCAGTCAAACAATCGAAGTATGAAACTCAAGAGGGTTTCGAGTTGGTTACCAAATAACCCGACACCAGCTGTCTTCCAATATTCACTGCCAGTACTGAAAATCTATAATATACATGACACAAACTATGTATTTTCAGTACTGGTAGTGTATTTTAAAACACAGCCACCATCTCTTCACCGGTCGTTATAAAATTTTATTTCAACCTAAGCTTTATGACATTCTGACCTTTCCAGCTGATCGAAACACATACTTCGCACTTCGTACGTACCTCCCTACCCCGTAAAATCTTCTTGCGTTCCCACCTACAGAACCTACCACCACTGTACTTTTCATGCCTAATTTTTTCGGCCAATCACGACATCCGCCCAAAATTATGAGACACATCCACTCTCCATCCCTAAAGATTCATGTCTTTAAGAATTAACCGTCTCCTCCCACCAAATCTTCTTAACTTCACTCTTAATTTCTAATAGCTAAGATTTCTTCCTACTAAGGTCGACCAGGACCAATAATTAAAAATATTAATCAGATCTTCGACACCATTGGACTCTCCTCCCAGGGTTCCACCTCGTTTCCAAGGCCTCATCTTTTTCTTTGCTAAGTCTATTTTTGTGGCTCCTGTTTTCGATCATCAGTATAAGAATTACAATTCGGCTCTGGACACACTTTCTGCAGTTTTTTTCTCAGTTATTTTTACACACTTCTGCAGTTTTTTCTCTGTTGTTTTTCTACGCATCTCCCGCAGATTTATAATAGTATTTCCGCAATTTTTTCTTAGCTTTTTTACCTATTTTACTTTCATTAGGTAATTATTCCACGCAACATAACTTGTGCACAATTTACGCTTGGACAAACCATGAGCAACCCAGCAAAACGCAACAGCTTAAGAAGTCAACTTCCTACATAGAAGCCGATTTGGACGACCAATTCTTCTATTCAGGGCTTCTTTGTCGCTTCTTCATCTCTATCAAGACAGTACCTTAACCCTCCAAATCAGTAAGTTATCTGTTTCTTTTTTTTTTCTTACTTAATTATAATTTCGATTTGTTGCTGTCGGGAGGGAAATCTTATTCTTCTCCTTGATTCTTCTCTGGATCCTTTCTGCTTTCTCACCGTCGAATTCTCTATTTTCTACAATGTACACACTCCGTTACACAACATACACGCTACCGACCGTCTGTTACAAACATGTCTAATTTTATACCGATTATGCGAATCTACTGTATAGAAGCTCATTCCGGCAATATTGGTTAAAGTCATTTCAAATTTGCTCTTAATTCAACTCCAATAAAATATGCCGTTAATTTTCTATAATTTATATTAATTTTATTTTATTATTTAAATCACGTTCCCTCCTTTCCAATTCATCCCCGACTCCAACTATCAACTCGCGGTCCAATCCCAGGTAAAGAGATTTAGTTCTCTGACCTAAAAGTAGACCATCCGCCGTCCGTACATCGCAATCGGAGTAAACGCATCCCTCTGGTCCCTGACCTGTATCGCGCATATCCTCCAGGTAGAACAGAAAATCACGATGACATCAAAATGATGAGGAAAACTCTTTTTCTCATCATGATTTGGTCATTTTCTTGTTATTTTGATGTCATCGTGATTTTTTGTTCTACTTGGGTACGTAAGTACGTGCGGGACTCGCAAGCGCGAGTACATGTTGCGTCCACCTCCAGGACGTAACAATAAACGATAATTGTTTTCTCGCCCAAGCATCATAATGTTTGATAGTAGATGGAACTTTGAATTTCGGTCAAGCAACTAGTTTTGTGAGCCACTCGCGTCCAAACTGGAACTGGTTTAAAAACCTGTAAGGTCTTAAAAAAAAGGAGAAACTGTAAGGTCGTTGAATCGCTGGGAAACCTCAAGGTGAATATACATTATTTTCCTTTTTTATGCAGACAGCGAGTAGTGATGTCACGAGTCGAATTTCGATTCAAATGTAGTTTGTGTCTATAATATACGCTCTACAATCTTGTGTATGTACGTATTAAAGGAATATAAGAGAAGGAGAGAGAGAGAGAGAGAGAGAGAGAGAGAGAGAGAGAGAGAGAGAGAGAGAGAGAGAGAGAGAGAGAGAGAGAGAGAGAGACGATGAAGATACGCACATGTATATGTATAATGGAGTGGAAAGCATTATAAACTTCCTATTTTTAACTTGCAGTCTCTCAGATTAATCACCGTCAGGAGAAGATATCGCTGATATATTTAGCTAATACTCAGAAAAATAAAGTTCGATCTCGCGAACCTTCCGTGCACGTAACGATTTTTCGGACAATCGGACCGATGATTTCGAGTCGTCTCGCTTTTTGGACGTATATTTACGCCGACATTCGAAATATTAAGCTAACGAGCCTATAAGTAATGGATCGATTGACTGACTCGCGGTATTTGTCCGACGTTCGGAGGAAATCCTTATCTAACATTTTCAAACTCGCCGGACGTGAGAGAAATTAATTTTATACTATGTGATAAAAATATTGAGTTGCCACAGGTATATGGTTTGCCACCAATGGAACTCGATCCCGCCACTACAACCCGACGAAGAAGTGTAGTAGGAGAAAGTGAGGGAGCCTGAGACCCTGAGAATCCGTAATCTCTGTCGCACACAAACCTTCGCGGGTTGCATCGTGCGGGACAAAGACGAAGTCAACGAGCTCAGAAATGACCGTACGGCCGTGTAAAAGGATAAAGTCGGAGTCATTGGAGGATTTGCGTTCAGTCCGTGCTATCGATTGGGACGATATGGACCGATAGAAGAAAATCCCTCTCCGCACGTAACGTCGAGCCGCTTTAGTATGCTATTTTTTCCGAACGCAAATAGAGAGTCCAAATTTGCGAGGATTGAGAGACCAGTGGTGTGAATTGCGGTCGTTATCTGTTCATTCGGATTCATTATCTAACCGATTCTTTGCCGTTGCATTTTTTCTGACGTGCGGCAATTTGCTGGAATTTCGGATACTGAGCCAACGATTTTCATAGGTAAAACATTTTCATCTCAAGCGATATATATATATATATATATTAGAGATGTGCGAATCAAGAATTTTTATGTCGAATCGAATCGAATCTCATTTTTTAATTCGAATTCGAATCGAATCAAATCTACGAAATTTCATTCGAATTCGAATCGAATCGAATCATTAAAAAATTTAACATGACTATTAAACATAATGATGGAAGATTTTAATATGAAAGGGGATATTGATATTGTAATATCATCTTACAGTAAAATATATATTTAAATATTTAAATTAATTTATAATTAAATTATTAATTATAAGTTGAGTTAATTACAAGTTAAGGGTTCAAATATACAGGCCCAGATGGCTCGTTTTGTACCTGATGCATGTAAATATAATGCACGTTAATATATTTTATTCGTAATTGAATCTTCGATTCGAAATTTTCGAATTATTCGGATTCGAATCATAGGAATTCGGATTCGAATCGAATCGAATTTACATTAGATTCGATTCGAATTCGAATAATTCGCACATCTCTAATATATATATATATATATCACGTAAAATATGCAAAATTTAGTGCGCGCGCGATCTTGTGATCCGACGATTCGTGTAACAGCAATTTTACACTGCGTGATAACACTGTGTGACATCACGGATGAAGTGAGGTGCAGCTCCCAGCGTGCGTGCACCCTCCGGTTTGCGTCGACTTGTAAAAAAACGTATATATTCCGCTCGACATTTTTCAGTTCTTTCGAAAATGGCCACAGAACCGCCGTCGATAGCTGATTGGTTCGCCAAGAAGAACGTTCTCGTCACCGGAGGCACCGGATTCATGGGGAAGGTTCTAATTTCGAAATTACTGCTGAGCTGTCCCGACTTGGACAATATATTTGTGATAATAAGGAAGAAGAAGGGCGTTGATTCGCAAACAAGGTTACACCTCATGCTGCAGGTATCGTGTCAAGTTCGATTATTATGTCAATAAGGAAGAAAATTAAAGTTACAAGTTGTTTACTCAACATTAATGAATCAATTCGCTGTCGCAATTATTGTAATTCTAACAACCATTCACCGAGCGTGACGTACTTTCATGCATGATTTCGCGCTTGATAAGCGCGGTAAGGAACATTAAGGCACGATAAACAAACCGAGTTATGTAAAAGAATACCCAGTATTCTCATAATTGCAGTAATAACAATTGCTTTGTTATGTAACAAAGTAACAGTTATGTAACATACCATATGATTTAGTTTTGTAACATCATTGTAACGTCAATGATACTTTGTGCTTACTGGGATATTTATATATTTCACCTCCGCCGTGGATTATATATGATCGCAAATGCGCAATACACAATGCGTTCGTTGGCGTATCGGGTTAATAAAAATAATGGAACGAGCGACGTTGCGATACCCTCTGAATGTTTCATCGTTAAAATAACTCGAGCCAACGATGAAGCAATGCACAATATGCAATACGCCTTTCCTAACACCTCGCAACTACTTGCGATTGTTTCCCCTTGAGAATTACAATTTGATTTTAATAATTCCTTCTTTTTCCACTCTTGCTCCCCCGTTTCACCTTTATACACACACACACACACACACACACACACATACACACTTTCTCTTTCTCCCTTTGTCCGTCTGTCTCTTTCTTGTCGCGTAATATAACTTCGCAATACCCGGTAACAAAAAACAAATTAGTTCACACATTAATATTTATCGATTGCAATATGTGCGAGCAGCATTAGCGCCTTGCATTAGCTCAGTTCATTAAGATTTAAAGAAACTGCATTCGCGGGCAACGGCATGTGGGTAGTTGCAACACTCGCGGCAACTTCGGTGAAACCTCTTGTCTGGGAGATTTCTTAAAAAGGACGATTGGACTAACGATCTCTCACTTGTAGCAACAACGTTTCCACGTGCGTGGCAATTAACGTGCATTACCTTGTATGCCGACCTTTTTCCACCGTCGCGGGCGGAGAACGACGGATCCGCACGAGTCTCCTCCCGATGCATCTCTACGTCGCGTACCTCGCATACACATCTACATATCTCTCCGTTATATGTCGGCACGGAACGTTCAGGATCGGTTCGGCGTCTCTCTCGCGTTGTGCGAGTCGAAATTTTTCTGAAAATTACAACCGCTCGAACGGGACGTGCTGTACGTATGCTGTACGCCTGTAATTGTACTTTTCCTTCGAACGGCTGCTGGTGGACAAATCGAGTCGTGTACCGTAAATCACCTTGGCACCAATCTCGTCGTCTGAAATTTTCGATTTCTTGCATTATTTCTTCGGGAGATTTTCATTCGAGCGCGAAAGAATTTCGGAAGGAGCTCCTTGTCTCTCTCTCCCCTCCCCCCCCTCTCTCGTCTCTCTCTCTCTCTCTCTCTCTCTCTCTCTCTCTCTCTCTCTCTCTCTCGTCTCTTACTAAATCATACTTACATGATTAATAGCCGTTGACAGTTTGTACGCATATTCGTTCTCCTTCGTTTTATTCCGCGATTTCGATTATTCCCGGCCGAGAATAGACGCGCGTTTACGCCGCATATCCCGTGCGTGACCGCGCGGCGGAATTAAGGAGAGAGAGAGAATAATAGTGTTTTCCCGACACAAGACCGTTTCGCTAATCGAGCTAATACGACGGAAACACGCTAAACGGTTTTAAATGAAACCAAAGTGAAAGCGCGATCCGCGCGCGCGCGCACGCGCGCGAATGTTGTGTGAGTACTTACATCGTTTGCTCGTCAAACCTGATCGCGCCGATCCGCGCCTTCAGGTCAGCTTGACGCGCACTGTCGCGCGTCGCGAAAGGTCTCGAGACGGAAAATCTGCTTGCAGCAAGAGCCATTCAGGAACCTCAGGGAAGAGTATCCGGAGCGGCTGAAGAAACTCACGGCCATCGTCGGCGAGACGACTGTACAGGGGCTCTCTCTGTCCGACGCGGACAAGGAACTCCTTTTGAGTCGGGTCTCCGTCATTTTTCACATGGCCGCTGACATCAGGTTCGATCAGTCACTGAAAGCCGCCGTCAAGACGAACGTCGCGGGCGTTGTGAACATCGTGGCGTTTGCAAAACAGGTAAACAGCCCGTCTGAGGCAAGAAAAATAGAACACAAAAGTTAGAAAAAGGAGTAAGAACGAGCTCGGACTGGAATAATTTGGAACATCGCTCGGTTCGGTTGAGTCGACGTCGTTATTTCGTCGCGCAAAATTCATCCGCACGATGTCGATGTACGCTTGATGATAGAATACGAACACTTTTTCTTGTGGATGCAGTTTGGAATACAGCCGACAGTCTAATGAGAGAGAGAGAGAGAGAGAGAGAGAGAGCTTGTTTCTGTACAATTACAAGAAGTCTCTAAGGTCTCTCATTAAACCGTGCGATCGCATTCAAGAAAGATGTACTTAAACCGTATAGAGACCGAATGTGCACTGGCTTTCCAAGCGGTTTGAATATTTTCACTTTCAAGTTTGGAACGCAGCCGATGATGCAATGAGACAACTTGTTTCTGCATAATTCCCGCAAGTGTTCTCATTGGACATCTGCTGCTCTCCGAGTTGCATCCAGAGAAAAGTATTCAGACCGCATCTTGTCGTTAATCTTCTGCAATTTTCTGTAATGTCGAATTTCCGATCACGATCACAAGTGGAGAGCCAAATGTCGTGTGTCGATTTAATAATCGGAGAGAGAGAGGGGGGGGAGGGAGGGAGGGAGAGAGAGGGGAGGGGAGAGAGAGAGAGAGAGAGAGAGAGAGAACGCAAGAGATGTAACCTAACGCAGCATGTACATCTTTCCACAGATGCCTCTTCTCGAGTCGTTTATACACGTTTCGACATCTTTCTGCCAATGCGGCGAATCGGTGCTGGAGGAGCGCGCTTATCGAACTTCTGTCGCACCGGAGAGCATCATTGCAATGGTCAATACAATGACGAACGAGGTGCTAGAGATAATGACGCCGAAATTGCTGGGCAGTCAACCGAACACGTACGCCTACAGCAAGGCGCTCTGCGAGGACGTGGTGTCGGGATGTGGACTACCAGCAGGAATCATACGGCCATCGATAGGTAAAGAGAGAGGCTTTTGAATTACGGCATTACCGATTCTTGTGGTATAGTAATATTATGATAACACATGATCGATCTGGCTAGTGGTGGCGTCATTGAAGGAACCAGTGCCCGGCTGGGTGGATAATTTACACGGACCAACCGGACTGATAATCGGCGCGGGTAAGGGAGTCATACGATCTATGCTCTGCAATGCGAACTTGATGGCCGATCTCTTGCCCTGCGATATAGCCATCAATGCGACAATCGCACTAGCATGGCAGGTCGGCTTGAAGAAGCCCGTCGAGCCGTTGTTTCTCAATGTCACGATAAACCAAGAGAATTCGATCTCCTGGAGCGACGCTCTGGAAACCGGCAGGAAGCACACACTCGCTAATCCGTTCTCGCGTAAGGGTACAAAATCATTCGATTGCCAACGTCATGTTAATGTTCAAAATTAACACGATGTTAACCGGATGCGTTTTGAAAGCGAAATCTCTGATTCTTGCAAACAGAACTGGGCTCACAATTTTATGTTAATTTAATTAATTAATTCTTAATTAATTTATTAATCCATTTATTAATCTATTTATTTAATTAATTAACTTTTATGTTATTACATTTTAAATTCCATATCTTTTATCTCACATGAATTTCAATCTCTATCTCTATCGACTGAATTCGCGCTTCTAAGAACACCAAAAATGGAATCTCTCTGTTGGAATTGTTGCGAACCAAACTTGGTTCGCAATTTCGTATTAATTTATGTTATTACGTTTTAGATTGCATGTCTTTTTCTCTTACATGAATTTCAGCCTCTGTCTTTAGGAACTAAAATCGAGCTTCTAAGAATCAGAAATACCGGTTTCCTTCGATCGAAGACGTATTTGGCTTATTCTATCGTATACTCTGTCACGCGTTAGTTCAACCAATTTTCTTCTATTCTGTGCGAGTCCGCGAGATATTGACACTCTCTACGTAACGTTCCTCTTCTTCTCTCTTTAGAGCCGCTCTGGTATCCTGGTGGAAATTTCACTTCCTCGAGAATCCGCCATTGGTTCTCCGTCTTGCTGTTGCATCTTATACCCGCTTACTTGCTGGACACTATATTTATCATCACCGGCAATAAGCCCTTCCTCGTACGGGTGCAAGCCAGAGTGAAGTCCGGCTTGAACTTGCTTCAATATTACACCACGAAGCAATGGATATTCCGGTAAATATTCGTTTACATAAGTATAATTATATAAGTGGCTCGAGAAAAAAAATGTGTGTCCCTTTGAATTTTATCGAGGCTGTTATTTACAGCAATGACAATCTGCGTGATCTGCAAGGCCGACTATGTCCTGCGGATAAAGAAACGTTCTACATGGACACGAACATCATCCATTGGGATGAGTATATCTTGACATACATCTTAGGTACAAGGCAATACTGTCTGAAGGACGATCCCTCGACGCTGCCACGTGCGAGACAGGTTCTCATGTACCTATACTTCGCCGACTGTTTGCTCAAAATATTACTCGGGTGTTTCATTATTTGGTTAATGTATACCTGGATGAACTCCGCTAAGTCCATCATGGCGATGCTAGTCGAGTGAATGAGTACGAAGAATATAAAGCCTTACACATAAAGCCTTGCTAATTGTAACGTCCAAAGGTAAAGGAGAAGAGCAGCGAAAGGGGAATACGAATTGCGCGCTGTAAAACATGTTTTTACCGAGCCTGAACCTTTCTGACTTTCCCGAACTCGCTTTCGGCGACCTTGTGCTAATTCCGCGCGTATTTAAACAGCGGAATAACAGCGGTCGCGCATATTGACGCAACTTGTCAACGAAAAGAAATGTGCCAATATTCCAGTACTTGACATACACTGTATTGTACTATAGTATACTATTTCTACATATCCTAGAGTTATATATACGCTGCACTAATATCGTGATAACGATGTAAGATCTGTAAAGTGCCTGATCTGTAAAGTGTATGATGTTCCACTTGATATTTACTCATTTCCTTTAGAACTTGTGCTTCAAACGAACAATATCGATGCGTTACGTCAAGCTTCGTTCGCTCGACGATGTAGCGAATATAATAAGATTTAATGAGTCTCATGGTTTAGCAAGGTTCAGCGAGGTACTTTCTCCGAGTCGAGACAAATTTTATGGAGGAAAACACGCTCCGTTAGAGCGAACAGCGATTTTTTTCAGTCACCATCTAAGTGTGAAGTTGCTCGAATTGAGGAACAACTTCACAACGCTTCAATATAATGCACACTTTATATGTTTTAATTGTAAGATTTTTGTTTAAGGTTTTTTATTTTGCTACGTCATTCGTGTAATAATGGTATGGGAGAACGTTGCGTACATTTTGTTAAATCAAGTGAAAATCAAGTAAAAAATCGTACGCTCTGTAGGCTAAGTACATTTCAGAAAGAAAGAAAAACGGAATAAAAGTTCTAAATTGATTTTAAATTGGATTTAGTTGAGATAACCTCCTTCCTATTTTCTCGTCTCTTTTCTTCGTGTTTCCCCGAGCTGTCTTTGACTTCCTGCGAAGCGACGTGAAAGCGCTAAAAGAACACAACCGTCTGCAATGAAGTGAGAGACAAAATCCGTATTCTAAACTCTCTTTCTCTTATCGATAAACGGCGGTTACGATTTAAACGGCACGACAAGTGGGATTTTATTCCGAGCGCTTGTTTTATCGAAATTTCCTCAGGTAAATCAGTAAACGCAAATGTGAGACCTGTTCTGCATGTGTTTAATGCTTCTTGGGTCACTTCTTTGGATATTTCGGACACCCGTTAATTCCCGTTAATCGTGCTAGCTGGATTAAAATAGACGACTTAAGGTAGAAGCTCAACATGCCGCCATTATGTATAAATATGGCACTAAATATGCTCTCAGGCGCATTTAGTGGCTCTATCAGCAGAGCGACAATATAACAAATATGCTATAAATAAAGTTCAAAAATAATATGCCACTCGAGGGAAGATGTTCCAATGTCTTTCATCTTAAAATTTCGATAAAGGTGCACTGGGAATATCGTCAAACTCATAGTGCCGTTTAAGGCATATTTGTCAGCAATTATTAATATTTGAGTGAGATTTAGCGGTATATTTAATGAATGAAAAGTTCAGAGTAATCAAAATCAAACATCACAATCAAAATCGTTTAAGAAATTCCGCCTCATTATATTTCTAAATGATGAGTTTCTTGCGCGGGATTGCATCGCGCAATATCATTGATAACGTGACAATAATGTTTCGAGCACACGGCTTACAACATCTTTCAACAAGTTTGCATACTCGGTTGCAAACGGCTTTTCTCTTTTTATGCATGTTCGGAAGAAAACGGCACACGAGTTATAAATAAATAGCGGATTGATTGCGGATGAGTTGTTGCTCGTAAAAGGATTTTCGTCACGATTCTCACATATCGTTATTAAAGTGTTGTTCAGTAAGAGTGTGAGCAGAGAGAGAGAGAGAGAGAGAGAGAGAGAGAGAGAGAGAGAGGGGGGGGAGAGGCAAACGGAGAGATAGAGAGATGTAGTTATGAAAGGAACTACGTCACACGTTCGGACAGCGTTAAAACAATTTCATCAGTGATGTTTACATCAAGTATACAAAAAATTACTCTTTGTGAAGTGGAAGAGAGGAGAGCGGGGAGTGAAAATCGCGAAGGAGGGAAGCCCGTGAAATTTCGCTTTGGTGCTAAAGTCCGGAGTTTTTGTTTCCGGTTGCGAATGTTTCTCTTTGCTCTGTAGAAACGCAAAATTAAACAAAAACTTTCTCATTTCGCATTCCCGTCGTTCTCTCGTGACACACCGAGGTCGGTTTTCTCAGTTAATTCTTCTTTTCCGGGGCATGCAAATCGCAAGGATAAGTGACTCAAAACATAGGTGTGTTTTAGGATTCCGCTACCAAACGTCCACCGTGATACATCTTGATGAGTTCGTTAATATTTATTAGAAAGTACAGAGATGATGTCCACTGTGCGGTTAAGATGGCAGCAGTAGATAATTATAGCAGAGGCATGAGATTGCAACGATTTATTTTCTGCCGAAGGAGGTAACGTGAGCGACGAAACTGGAATGCAAAAGAGAGATCTCGGCGGAGGCACGGATAGAAGGTGCCACGCGCACGCATGCGTGCACATGTGCGTGCGTGCGTGTGTCTGTGTGTGTGTGTGTGTATAAAATAAAATGTTAAACTTCAACGTTTTTTTAGATTGAGGATCATAACTGTTTTTTACCACGTTTGAATTTGCATACATTTTATCTCTTTTCAGGAATAAAACGCGTTGCAAAAGAAATATTACGATTGCTCAGCGATAAAATTAGCTGAGCAACCGCAACGACGAGGAAAAGATTCCGACGAATGAGATGAAGAAATGGTATTCTAGCCGTTGTTAGCAAGAGCCAAGAGGTACGCTACTCCCGCGGTGTATACGAATGTTATCAACTTTCAGCGAGATCCAGTCTCCGCGTAACGCGCATTTCCGGGACATTTAACGGACATCCGAAAGAAATAAAACATATTTCTTAGACTGTTCTAGCGGACATTTATGACGTCCGGTTCTGGAGGAAATCGTGAAATCGCACCAGAGTGATTCGGAAATCTTCTCTTCGGCGCCGTGCGTTCTCAATTACTGGCCCATGCGACCATGCGCTGCTCTATAGCTGCGCAAATAAACGCCTACGAGAATGGCCAGTTGGCGGCAATTTCGTCGGTCGGCGAATACCTGTCTGCGAATGTACGGCGCTCCGTCGAAGTCCGCCGCGATACAACTAACGAGGATCCGTTTAGCGTGCGCAAGAGTGTAAAGCAATAGGGGTCGCAGGCGAGCGCAACAGAGCGATTACGTAAGATTAGGCTCGCGAGTAAAACGCGATTCGCTATAAGAATGAACCAATGGACGCAGAAGCATCAAGTTGTATTAGCGAACTTTCTCGGTCTACTACAACCGGATCGCCATCCGAGCGAGGACGACCGTCTATCTAGCCCGAACGGTTTCACGCGCGCACTCACGTCGCATTCGTGTCACGCTCGGGCCCGCCGCCGACCGTTTCTCCGTTTTACAACGCGCGGTAAGTGTTTGCGCTGCAGAGCGACAGTATCTAGCTGCGAGTATCCCCGCATACATTATGCGTCCGCGTGTTCGGCCGCGAGTTACAATTGTAAACGCGAATATCAAAATTCGCGCTGGCGAGCGAGCGCGTGAGCGCGCACGTGTGCGCCAACAGAGTGATACATGTCAACCCGTGAAAAGCACCACGGCGAAAGTCGGAATAACTCGTCGGGATAAGTCGTGAGTGCGTGCAGCTGCCAAAGTATTTTGTCGAGTGACTTGCGGATCGAAAGCGCGCGCGAAACGATGGGAAGTAATTGGCGATGTTAACGAGTCGTGCAGCGAATTTGTTTGCGCGAATTTTTCACGTCCTGCCGAAGGTGACGCAATAAAATGCGATGTCGAGATCAAATAAGCAAGTAATCATGGGGCGCGTAATGGTTTTAAATGCTGTTTCATCGCGTTCAATTATAGATGCAATGACGACCTGCATCATATCGTGAAACAATAAACCAGTGACGTAGTTTCAGTTCAGTCTTTCGCGAAGCAGCTGAATAAAAGTCACGTCCCCGCGAGGCATGTGGAGACTAGAATAATATCTTTTTGTCGTTCAAACAGAGATGATTTTTCCTCGCGCTTTGTCTTGAATCGAGGCGGAAAGATTCGCAATTGCTCGCAACGCGGCAGTTTTCAGAAATCGCTGGGGTTAATTTGACCATTTAACGTGGTTCGCGAAAAGTTAACTGCGATCCTTTGGAATCTCCCGATCGTATCTTCTGATACGATCCGATTCGATAGAGCGACACGAAATTTTTCAGGCTGTCACTTGACCGCGACACGTGACGGGACGATTTTCTCGTGATTCGTGATGCTTGCTTGTTGTTTTGCACGTAGGAAATAAAATGAGGCATATCTAACAAGCTTAATTATATTACAATTATGCAATGTTTAAAAAACGTATGTAAAACCAACACGCGCTATGAGGATAGTTTTTGCTTATATTTGTTGAAGTAATTGGCAGAATTTTTATATTATTTTTTTATTATTTTTATTATTTTATTATTTTTATTATTTATTTATTATTTTTATATTATCGCAAATATTTCTGGAAAATATAATCTGCTGAGACATATTCACGACTGATGTCAACCAATGCAAGCTATGAAATCCAGTTTTCTATTCGATATATTAATCTCGCGTTAACTTGGATATCGCTAAATTTCTGAACATATGTTTACGTTCGACAAATGCAATCAGTGTGGACAATGGATGCATGGGCGTGTGTGTCTAATTTGCAGAAATCAGCTATAGCTGATCGATAATTGTCGCTTTTATAATTGCAAAATTGCTTCAGCTTATATCACAAAAACGACAGTTTGCGATTGTTGCAACGGTCATTTGCATCCACATTCCCTCAACCAAATAGGCGTTTGGTTCGTCTATTACCACGCTAATTCAACCGATCCTTTTTCTCTGCGCAAAATCATATAAATATCACGGGAATATCTGGAACAATAGAATCGTGCTAATTGAAGCAAGCAGATGTATCAATTTCCGACTAGGGGAAAAATTGCGGTAATTGTTAGTTAAAATCACTCATGTCGCACGGAGAAAGGAGGTCGGTTGAATTAAAGTTACGCCGATGAACGCGTTTTGGCTGGAGGAGTCGCCAATTTCTCAAAACGGTACTTAATAGCCGCGATCGGAGATCGGATTTTTACATACTCATCAGAAATTTTCCGTGAAAAATAACGACTCGATAAATTGTAAATTCGAAATAGACAGCGTTCTTTTTAATTACTTATTATCCACATGCGAATTAACAATCGAATCTAAATTGCAAATTCTAAGCATACAATGCTTCTGCTTATGCATTTAGTCGCGTACCGTTGAGCGCTAATGTTATTTTCAAACTAGAGCTATTATGTTCGATGTTATTATGTCAATTGTATTGTATGCATGATCATGTATTGCACTTTGGATCATTTCCTCTTTCGAAACAGCGATTCATTCTTTAGTTGAGTCAGATTGCGTTCTTCAACTATAACGGTGACTCGCGATAATAAAATTTCTAAATAGTGCGCACGCACATGGAAGAAATGGTTTGGTCGAATAAACGCAATAACGAAGGAAACAAACGCGTGGAAGGGAGCAGAGTCGTTGGTCCTTGCGAAGCAAATTCCGTTCTAGAAGAACTACTTCCATCGGCCAAAACGCGCCTGCTTTGTTCATTTTCACAAAGTGTAGACGACCAAAAAAATATCATTTCGTGCGGTTTAGATATATCGCCACGTTGATTCGATCCTCCGATTCTTTCCCTTCGTGTCCCTTCACGTCGGCCATCGGTTACTTTATAGTAATCGCGCGCGCGCGCGTTGCAGGTGAACACTTAGACAACAATACATCTCGAGCACGATGGAGCAGACGGGCGGAATCGACGAGGTGACGGACAGAATAATGGAGACTTTCGCCGGACGCAAGATTATGGTGACAGGCGGCACGGGATTTTTAGGGAAAGTCATGATCGAGAAACTGCTACGATCTCTGCCCAACATAGCACACATCTACATGCTCGTGAGACCGAAGAAGGGCAAGGACACTAAGCAGCGTGTGGAGGAGATATTCGATTCGCCGGTAAGAGCTGGTGTTAACGTTACCTGAAAAGAAAGAACAGATTGTGCGAGCATGCGTGCCTCATGTGCGTAAAATTCATAGCCGGACGAGCGAAATGTCTGACATATTGATCTTGGACGACGTCTTTCGGGACGTGTCTAAGGTGTCTTCCAGACACTCTTGCTCGTCCCCGTGTTCTTCCACATTTGCAACAGGTCTGTTAGTTTTAGCTGGTGCCGCGTGTTTATTATTCGTAGAGAAAGAACTTATCGCCACTCTTCTTTAAAGTGAGAAATAAACTCAGACAGAAACACGAGATGCTCTAGAATCCTCATTCAAAATGCGTCCAAGATGCGCTGAGGAACGATGTGCTTTGGAACGACGTCCTGAGGTAATCTCAGGAGGACTCGCGCAGCGCCGGCTAAAGAGAAACAAGCCTGATAAGAGGTGCGATTGGTCGCAATTGTCTGCTGTTTTACCGCTCGGTCGATGCTCTTTCCAACGCCGTTAACCTTTCAGCCGCGGCGATTTCTTCAACTGAAAAATACGCTGCTGAATACGGCACGATGTTCGCTCGTCGCGTCACCGAAGCCAGGTGCCAGGTGCTCGAGCAGTCTTCGCTAAAACGCGCTTCGTACGAAGCGCGATTTATAATAAATAAGTAAAATAAAAATTCATGTAACAAATAAGAGCGAAATATATGCAAGGCATATCTGTACGCCTGTAGCGTACAGTTGGAAGACTAAACATCCGAGCGAAAAGATACGCGTTTCTCGAGCATCGCGCGGAGAAACTCGAGCGCCTGCTGGCAAGCGCAAGTTCACCCTTTAAGTTCACTCGTATGTATATGTATAAGCAACGAAGCGTAAACTCGGCCGAGCTCGGGCTTGGGTATCGTCCCGCGGTCTTTCGACGAGTGCGTGAAAAAGAGAAAGTAACTAGTCCCTCGTGTACGTAGAAGTTATGACTTTGCAAGTTGCAACATTAATGCCCTGACGACGGTAACGCGCGCGATGCCGCAACAGGTACATAGGTCTGACGGCGATGACTCGACGACGACAATAAGGACGTTCCGTGCAGCTTCTCTCTCCCTTTCTCTCTCTCTCTCTCTCTCTCTCTCTCTCTCTCTCTCTCTCTCTCTCTCTCTCTCTCTCTCTCTCTCGGGGGATGGAGAACCGATACCGTGAAAGTATACCGCGACCGGATTATCAACCACGTGGCGACACGTATATTTCAGGGAGGTGAAAAAAGGGGAGAAAGGAAAGAAAAAAAAAACGGAGTCAAGGCCTCGTCGAATATACGGCGAGACACGATGATTATTAATGTCGGTCTTATGTTCCGGCATCAGTGAAAGTCCGGATTGCGTTTCGTGCTATGTTATGTCATGTCTTGCGAATTCTAACGTAACATCGTAAATAATACGCTACCTCATGCATGAGACATAATACATGTCCCGTGTATGTACGATACGTGTGTATACGTGTGTGCGTGCACATGTCCCAGAAATATGCGTAAATTAGGCGTCGCCAGGATACGGTCTTGCCTCGCTCTCCTGCTGCTCGTCCGAGCTGAAAGAATGGAAACTGTTACATGGAGGGGAAATTATCTCGAAACTAAAGCGATATTTATTCGCAGTGGCTATCGATAACGCGTTTACCTGCCTTACGGAAGAAAACACTTAAATATTGAGTCTCTACTACTATTCAATTGTTCGAATTTACTCTCAAATGTGGGTATGTATATTCAAAAATTTGAGTATATATACTCATATATATTTATTCCGTAAGGGCTGTACCGATATATTTGGTTTGTTATCTATTATTTGTATAGTTTTTCGACTTTCGCGGCCAATGATACAATCAAAGTGTGTTTCTTTCGGATGGATACCGTGTCGTAATTCAGCTTTGTACCGTCGACGTTTCGCAAACATTGCAGTTTGCATTATCAGGGCTAGGAGCTGTGATACTCGATGCAAGAACGTGGTATCCGTGGGAGAAACACACCCTGATCATTATTTGTATATATTATATTTTACTTCCCTTACAGAAATTCACTACTGGCTACTGGTAGTAAATTGGCCAGCGATGATAAGTAATTTTATCACTCGCATGAATAATAAAATTATTTCTATCACTGATCAGTTCAACCAGTACAACCAGTAATTTCATTTCCTGTTAGGGTCATCACACTTTATAGCGAGAAACCTAAATCGTTCTCACGTGAGGAAACGTGCATCTTCTGGAATCTATGGCTCTTCACGAGAGCGATCGGTTATTTCGATTGAGTGAAAGAATTTGGATTTATTTAAATAAGTTTGATTAGCATACTCGCCGAAAAGAAATATCTTTTCTCAAATACTTCTCTTGTCAATGTACGAGCAAGTTTCTACTCGACGCAATTCTATGTAGGTCCATATGCCCCCGGGATCTCATCGGTGCACTTCAACCGCTTCGATCAGCAAACACAGTCAATCATTATGCGCCGGGAATTAATCAACGATAACCTTGTATAATGATATATGAGATCTTTTTCTGCTGAAACGTGCCATTCTGAAAACCGGTTTCTAAATTGTAGAAATACAGAAATATAGAAATACAGAAATTAGCATAAGATGCGTCAGCGTAGTAAAAAATTCCAGACCAGAAAAGCACGTGTCGCTGTGAACTTTGTTATCTCAGGAAAAAAAACTAGTAAAGAGGAGACTTCCCAAGGCTATATAATTCATGATGAATCAACAATCTTCTCGTTTTTAGTATTCATTTCGAGCAGGATCAAACAGAGATCGAACAACAGCACCTTTCTCTCGACTGATTCGATTTTAATTCGAACACGATTGCGCTTTGTTACTCTATTTACATAAAGTAACATGTCGTGTGTTGCATTATTGATATGAATAACAGTTTGAAATTATTCAGCTGTTCGAGAGAGTCAAAGCTGAGAGAGGAATAGCGACGCTTCGGGAGATGGTTACGGTCGTCAACGGAGATGTACTGATGCCAGGACTCGGTATATCCCCGGAGGACAAAAAAATGCTCTGCGAGAATGTCAACATCGTGTATCACGCAGCAGCTACGGTCAGGTGAGCTGCAGTGAGACAAGGAGGAGAAGAAAGGGGGAAGAAAGATGAAATCGTTCATGACAGTTGATCCGGCGCGTCAGCAGAATGGATAATAACAGATTCTTCCGTAGATTCGACGAGATGTTGAAGACTGCCGTGCTCATGAACACACGCGGCACGAAAATGATGGTAGAGCTGGCTAAAGAGATGAAGAATTTAGCTCTGTTCGTCTATATCAGCACGGCCTATTGCCATCTCGAGGAAAAAGTAAGTCGCCACACAATCTCGTGTGGCGTTTGCAAGCTTGCGAAAATTCCCTGTATAAAATGTCGAATTGAAACATATTAAAAAGTATTGACATTTTGAATACGTGCTGAATTCTGCTTTCTGATCTGAGGAAAGGGATGGAAAAATATTAGTTCGCATTAAATTTCACCGCGCTGATATGCGAGACGGCAGTGGTGACTGCTTCGCGTTAAAAAGGATTCGATTCATTTCGAATATGCCTTGCATTCGATCGTAATCGATAATTTTCAAATGTGAACTTTCGCATTGTAAAGTATTCGCTTCTTCTCCTAATTGTAATTTCGGATTCAGAGGCATACAAGATTTTCACGTTCTATTCCCCCGTCGCGTTGGAAAGCTTTGGCCCGCGATCCAATCCGAGATTTCCGTCGGAAGCAGAATTCACGACGAAATCTCGTGAGTGCGAAACAATAGTACTTTTAAATACGACATTTTAGGTCAGGGTTCGCTTTCTCCTGTGCGAGAAGGATTTTCCGCGTGTAGAATTTTATCTCACACATACAAATGTCGGTTTCTTCTCTCGAAACATTGACCTCTGCGCCAGGGACGTTTGATGAGGAGCCCTCTCGGGCTCTTTGTGAAACGGCGGAGCATTTTCGCGCGCAAAGTTGCCGCGGCGCATTTACCTGTAAATAACTCGCAAAAGGAGACTAATTGATAACAACGGTTGGTCTTGAGTAGATCCTGCGCCAAAGAACGTATCCTCCGCCCGCCAATCCGGATAGCGTGATCAAGTGCGTGGAATGGGTGGACGAGGAAGTGATCGAGGCGATGACGGATAAGATCCTAGGATCGTGTCCCAACACGTACGCTTTCACGAAAGCATTGGCCGAAAATATCATCGAGGATTCCTTCCCGCATATCCCGTCGATAATCTTGAGGTACCGACGACGCCTTCGTGCTCGAATTTTCGCGATGTTAGGGCCGTACTTCAGAGCAAGATACTCTCTCGAGTACTCGCGACTCCCATTTAACGATACGTCGTCGTGTCTGCGTTAGGCCCAGCATAATTATTCCCATATGGAAGGAACCGCTCCCTGGCTGGACTGACAACATCAACGGACCGACTGGTCTGTTAATTGGCGCTGGAAAAGGTGTAATCAGAACGATGTATTGCGACGATAAAAGATACGCCGATTATCTGCCGGTCGACGTCGCTGTTAACGCTATTCTCATCGCGTCGTGGAACTTTCTTTACTTCAAGGATTACGAGAAACGTGTTTACAATCTGACGAGCAGCAGCGAATTCCAGGTACTGTCTCGCGACGTGCGGCCTTCCGATAAAATATCGGCCAATTGTTTCACCTGTTTGTAGATCTCCTGGGGAGAAATAATAGATCGAGGTCGTAGGATCACCCAGCGAGTACCTCTGAACGGAATCGTGTGGTATCCGGGTGGCAGTATGAAGAAATCGCGGCTCATGCACAATATTTGTATGGTGCTGTTTCACATGATACCGGCCTATATAATCGACGCTCTTATTTTCCTAGCCGGCTATAAGCCCATGTGAGTCCTTTCTCTTCGTACTTGGTACTTTGCCGATTAGTTAACGCGCGAAGGAAGAACCTCAGGCTTATTTGTTGATAACTTGTGTTCAGCATGTGTCGTGTGCAGCGTCGTATAAATAAAGGATTCGAAGTCTTCGAGTACTACGCCAATAATCAATGGGACTTTGAAAATTCGTACATAATCGATATAAGAGAAAAGTTGAACAGTCTGGAATTTAAGAAGTATCAATTGCACGGCAACGACATGGATATAGACGCGTATTTCGAAACTTGCATTCGAGCCGCCAGAGTCTACATTCTAAACGAGCCTCCGGAGACTCTGCCGGCCGCTCGTCGACATCTGAGAATGTAAGTTTGAAAGTGCATTTCACACAAACACCGATCTAACAATTTTCTCTTTTTCTTCCACAGCATGTACTGGGTGGACGTAATCGTGAAAACATTATTTTTCCTGTTTCTGTTTTACACCCTGGTAAATTCTAATGATTTTACTAGGACGATAGTTGTCGACAGTGCGACATACATCGCAAAAGCGTTAAAGTAACTCCTTTCACCTCTCTTTACAATCTTTCCTTTCTCCCGCGATATAATTTCTAACACATCGTCGAACCACGATTTCGTCTTTCCTATTGATCGCAAGGATCGTATCTAAATAAATTAAATTATCAGTGATTTATTACTTAATATCTAAAAGTCACGCCAGTGAGTCTCTTTGAATAATCCTATGTCTAATAAGAATATAAGAATAAAACATGAATAAAAATGTTATTCACATGATAAAAGACCGATTTTATTTTTTGTGAAAGAAAATTCTTTTACATTTTCTTAAACCGATTCCTGTACTGGTGGCTCGTAACCCTCTGGCCTGTCGATCTTGGAGCCGCTTTCCCCGACCTCCTCGCTCTTGTTACTACCCCCGTCTCCGTGCAATTCCAGCAATTTGCTCAGTTCGAAACGTGGCTTCTTCAATACTTTCACCTGATAAAATTTCAATTTGCTACAGCTCAACGTTTGTGGAAGAAAATCATAAAGTTTACAAAAAATACGATTTACTAATTATCTCTGTTAAAAAACACCGACATTAAAAAAAGAATTACAAACAAAAGATAAGAAAAAAGAATTATACGCTTGTGTACTCATAATCACCAAGGAGAATATAAAATACTAACCTTACGGATATAAACATCATGCAAAGGATAAATTCCCTGCGAAGCCTTCTCGATATCCTTGGCTGTGGCATCAGGAAGCAATTTGCTAACAACACCCTTTAGGTCGGTCTTAGTTACATCTTCTGTGATAGTTTCAACCATCTTTTGTCTAATTTTTTTTACCTAAGTGCAGTTACATGTTATATAGTACATAAAAATTAAAGCAAAAAATAAACGATATACCAGTAACATTTACAAAATGACCGGATAAATTGGGAATATTAAATACAGATTTTATTTAATCAGTGATTCTAATATTGCCATAGATATGAAACAATATACAAAGCTCAAGATTTTATATTTTAATCCAAAAATTTAGAATATCTCAGAAAGCACAAAAGACCTATTCAAGAATATTTATAAATGTTATGTGTAGCAAGTTCTTTTATCACTACATACTTGAACGTAAGTAGTGTGGTAAGTGACTGCATTGATATACGCAACATCTCTTTTCATTACAGTAAAGACTGTAATAAATGTGGATCTGCGTTTTGCGTGCAATTGAACTGGGTACAAACCTGTGCATGCTGAGCGTAGCAGGTCTTCCTTGTGCTAAGTTGATCTTTATTTGTGAAACCAATACAGAAAACTCGTAACAGATAACCATCTGTAGTTTTTACATCTACATTGGCTTCAATCAGTGTTTGCCACTTTTTTACCATTGACCGAAGCTTATCTGTTGTTAAATCCATGCCATGGAAATTGGTTAACACATTGCGCCCCTGAACATCTTCAGCAATCAACCTAAATTTGCGGAAGGATCTTTCCGCATCTTGGTCGCTCTGAAGATCCGCTAGAGATACTTCAAACACTCGGAACTTAAGACCCTCCGAGGCAATTTCTGTCAAAATAAAATTAATATTTACATTGTACATGTTGCTAAACAAAACAAGCAATTAGAAATACAAAACAAAGATATGCAATAAAAGGAAACTAATATAGCCAAAAAAGATTGAGATTTTTAATAGTTATACAAGAGTTTAAAAGTAGACATTCTTACTGGTGCCCTGAGTTCTATTAACCAAGGTTTTGCCCACCTGCCGGTTGGCAAACATTGATGGTGCCTTCACATCATACCAATCTTTACGTGTGAAAGGGTCCACACTGAAACAATATCATCACATGAAATAAAACACATACGATAAAACGCGCATGATGAAATATATTAATAATGAAACAATCATTGTGGAGATCAATCGCACGTATTTACAATATGCAGATTTTATAATTCACAGATCTCCGTGTTACCATGTTTTGCCATGTGTTATCTGACCTAACAGTGGTTAGTTTGCATTCACTCCAGGAATATTGAATTGTCAGAAATATTTAAAAAACAATAGACTGTTACATTGTTTTGCTGTCTTAAAATACAACATATTTGAAAATATATATATATATATAAAATATTGATCCACAGTACAATCATACAATGAGCGACGGCGTGTGAGGATCCAACATAACCAAAGGCATCACGCAAAACGGTAACTCAAAGACAAGCTTTTCACGAATATAGAGTACTTAGATATATCTTAAATAAAATATATTTTACTTACATCTTCTTTTTCACTCCTTTTTTTCCTCCTTTCGAGAGTCCCTTATTCTTCCCTACCGCCATGATTTAAGGCTCGTAGTTAAAAGGATCCTCGAGCCTCAAACAATAAAATCGTTAGACAGACTGTCTTCTTCTTCTTCTTCCAATATGGCACTGGCATAAATGGCATTGGCTAATGCTTACGGCCAGCGCCGTCCCGTTTAAGCGGCTTCCAGCCGCTGCATATAAACATGCCTTGTCGTTATAAAGTACGTATTATAATATAGTTATCAATATAAATTTTCAAATAAACTAAGGATTCTTCTTGATTCTTTTGCAAAACTGTCCCAAAAGTTTCCAATCAACTTCCCTATCTTCAAAAATAATATCTTCCATTTTTAATGTAGCAAGCGGGTAAGATGCCTCAGCGAAAAATAATCTCGTGCGGAGCTAATCCGCATCCCTTGCATTTTCGTTACACGATAATAGATGATCCACCGATTGTTTCTCCCGGCCGCAAAGATAAATGGGCGAATCGATGATTCCTTTTTGATGAAGATGCTGCCTTAGACGGACGTGAAAAGTCCGTAAACGACAAATCAGCGATATCGTGCTCCTTGATAAAGTCAGCGGCACACGGTACTTGTTTCGTGCTGGATTGCTTGCTGGATGAAAATACTGCGTTCTGATTGGTGCATTTCCATCCATCTTCGGAAATGTACCAATCACAACGCAATATTTTCATCCAGCAAGCAATCCAGCACGAAATGCCACTGGCTTAAGCCAGCCATATTTCTTGTACGCGAAAAGACCTTTTAAGCCCGTATCAGACTACGGATTGGGATTGAGTATTGGATTGAAATTTAACCAATCAGGAGTAAGTTTACTATACTTGAGATTATTTTCTCTTTTTCAATTGGTCAAATTTCAATCTAATCTCAATCCCAATCCATAATCTGATACGGGCTTTAGGGCCAGACCAAATGTAAAAGCTCACTTAGCGCTCAGTGAGCGGTTGTAGTACTGAATGCACCCATTATGTCATACCACCAATATTTTATTTCTCGCCTTTCGTTGTGAGTTATCGCGCAGATCTTTCTCGAATCGGGATGCGTCCCGAAAGTCATTAAAAAAATGTGACAACTTTTATGTCCACGGCTGTACATTTCTACTGTTCATTCGTTACTCAGGCTGCCTCCCCATGCGGCGTAAAAAGCGTATGCATAAACCGCGTTAGCCAATCAATTGTCTCAGCTGTTATACGCAAATCATATGAGATGAATGATTGGTTGTCGCAAGTTACGCATTACATTCGCTCCATGGGGAGCCAGCCTAAGGCTGCTTTCACATGGAGGTAAAATGCGTATGCATAACTTGCGACAACCAATCATTCATCTCAGCTATGGTTTTCGTATAACAGCGGAGACAATTGATTGGCTAATGCAGTTACGCATACGCTTTTTACGCCGCATGGGGAGCCAGCCGCATCCGATACTCAATTGTTGTGCAACTGTTGAGCTTCGTGAACGCACCCATTGATTACGTATGAAAAATAAACATCTGGGCATGCGTCATGTGAATAGTATAGAAGAGGTTGTAAATATATATATAATATAAGCTATATTAAAGAACGTCAAAAAGTATTAACAAGTGTGAAAAAGAAAAGAAAAACATTAATAATGCCAGCAAATTGCTGTATAATGAAATGTAAAAGTACGTGGGTGAAGAATTCTAAAATAAAATTTTATAGGTAAATATATCAATAAATAAGTTTTATTGATAGAGGAAACTGGGATTTGATATCAACATGATTTACTATAAATATCAAGAATCTGTTTAACTTGGAAAATTATAAGAAAAATATACACTATTAATTATAATATTTTGCATAATTTATTTTTAGAAGGTATAGACAATTTTATATTCAAACATATAAATTAGATGATATTTCTACTAACGTCAATTAAATTTTAACTTGAATTTAAGTTTTTGTCTAAATAAAATTTAGATTGTTATGATTTAACTGATTGTAGTAGAAATGGGTATATGAAACATTATCTTTTCCCATTATATATTGTATTTTTAAACTAATTTTTTAGATTCCCACTCCAAAATGAGATAATAATGAAATATTGGATTGCGGCTACAGGACGCAATAATTGGTCCCCATATGCAAATGCACGAATATGTAGTTTGCATTTTAAAGATACTGATTATCAGAATAATGTGGAGCACGTTAAAAGAAAACGTCTTAAACCTGATGTCATCCCAACACAAAATGTACATGTAAATATTTTGAACATGCTCCAGCAAAGTGCATTTGTTTTGCAAATGTTCGATCAAAATATTTCAAAAGAATTAGAGCAAGATGAAACATGTGAAATTGAGAAATGTAATTAAAATTTTTTATTTATCATATTAATATATTTATCATGATTTATATAGTTTGCATAAAAGTTGCAACATTTTCTTACAATATATTTATAAATACATAAAATTAGTAGTATTGTGAACATTAATGAATGATAATGTTTACAATTCTACTTATAAATTACCTTAGGTTACTTTTTTAAATCTTGTATTTAAGAATTAGACAATTCTTTCAAACTTCTCAAGATATGAACTTATGTACAGCTTTACACAACATATGCACAACTTACTGTTTTTAACTTTGCATGTTAAGAATGCAAAAAAATATTCAAGAAGATATCAACTTTCATGTAAATGATAATATATGAAATATTAAACCACAATTATTTAACATATATTATCATAACTTAACATATATATTATTAAATATTCTATATTCTAATGTCATTAATATACAATATATGATATATGTAGTAATGTTCAAAATAGTAAAAGTATTTATTATAGATGATAAAAATATAAATCAGACTCAAGAGGAAATTATGACTAAATGTAATAATAATGATACTTCAGCAAAGTTAAAATGTATGTATAAATGTACTTAAAAAGAAAAAAGTAATTATTTATATATGAATTATTTACTTATTAATTATTTATAACATATTACAGGTTTCAAATGTACATGTTATAATAGATTATTGAGTGAAAATGAACAATTAAGAAAGGAAATAGAAAAATTTTTTAAATCACAGGAGGAGCGTTTGAATCAGCAAGCAAGCATGTTTCATTCATTAATAATTCACAAAGAAACTATATTAAAAGAGAAATTGAAAATAGCTAGGAATAAAAATAAAACTTTAAATAAAAATATACAGCAGAAAGGAAAAAAATATTACAAAGCTAAAAATACTTATACATTTAAAGGACAAAAATATTTAAGAGAATGATGCTATTTTTAGATTTATAAACAAATTTGAGAATCTATTAATCTCCTTATTATACTAAAAGAGAAAAAAACAAGTATTCACAGGTGCTGTTATTGTGAAGAGGCAAAATAGTTATTATTATCATGATTTGTGTAGTTTGCATAAAAGTTGGAATATTTTCTTACAATATATTTATGAATACATAAAATTAGTAATATTGTGAACATTAATGAATGATAATGTTTATAATTCTACTTATAAATTATTTTAGATTTAGATTTAGATTAGACTTATAAATTACTTTAGATTACTTTTTTAAATCTTGTATTTAAGAATTAGACAATTCTTTCAAACTTCTCAACACAACTTTACACAACTTATGCACAACTTACTGTTGTTAACTTTGCATGTTAAGAATACCATCAAAAAAGATATCAACTTTCATGTAAATGATAATTGTATATGTGTATATGTGAATTATTATGTAAATAATATATGTAAATAATAATATATGTGATAAATTGTATATGTGAAATATTAAACCACAATTATTTAACATATATTATCATATATGTATTCTTATTCCCCTAAAACCTGTGGTTATTGTAGACACTAGTCCTTTTTTATTTTATCGCTTTAACACAGTAAAAATAAATGTTTTGATACATAAATTAAGTATTAAGTAATATTATTATGTATTATATATTAAATAATATTGAACATATTAAATATTTATCTTTAAAATAATTATTAAAATTAGCATAACAAAATGTTTAAATATTGAAAAAACTTATTTGAAAAACTTATTTTCAAAGTGTTTTAAATATTCTTTTCTTATTTCTATTTGCAAAATTAAGATAAATTGAAATTGCTTTTATTAAGTAAATTACATTTTTATAATTTGATACTTGATATAAAAAAAATGAATTTTAACAATATCTTATTAAGATAATTAAAAAGCAACATTTACAACAAATATTTGCATAAATTGGATATTTGACTTTTACTTTCGGATCGTCATTTGTTAAAATTAGCTTCTAATGCAGGCGTTGATTACAAGGAATTTATAAGTGGTGCATATTTCATTAATAAAATAGGAAAATACTACTTAATTATATATTTTCCAAAACAAATTCATTTTTAAACTTAAGAATCGTTTGAGTAGTCAAGTCGAGACGTGGATTGGCTATCGCGATATTCCCTAGATAAAAAGTAACTTCGTATTCAAGATAAGGTAGTAGTCGTAAAAAATTGACCATTCATAGTTGATTATTCTCTTCACCATCGACATCACCGCAAAACTTAATGTGAGTTTTTCATGTAAATTAAATGTTTCTAAAAAAATACTAGAATATTCGAGTTACCATTGGTTCGTCTTAATCGCTGAGTGCTTCAAAAAGGATCGAATAGCGTGCCAAGCTGTTTTGCTGTTGAACGCATCGTTGGTCAATCAATGTGATTACATTCGTTTATGGGCCGTATTCATAGTCCGGTCTTATATTTAAGATCGTTTTAAATTCATCTTCAGATGCTGTATAGATCATTTCATTGGCTACAGAATATCTGAACGTAAACTCAAGACGGTCTTAAATATAAGATCCGATACCTATAAGTATCATCAACATTTGCTTCATGTTATACGTTATCGTATTTCTAAGTTTTTAAGATTTGTTCCGATAAAATACATTTCGTTTATTGTATCTTTTATGAAATTTTATCGAATATATCATTGTGCAGTTTGATTATATCGTTGCGTATCAGATTCATTACGCATATGTGTAGTTGGGAATGAAGTTTACGATTATGAATTTCATATTATGTCCTTGATCATAATTTCGTCATAATTAATTAATCTTCATTATTCATGTCTGAATATATAATTTGAATATACAACTGATTTAATTAGCGAATAAATATGAGAATTTCCGAACACAAACAGAACGTACCGAGAGGAAGATAGATAGCTCTCTCTCTCTCTCTCTCTCTCTCTTTCGACAAAGAGAGGGAGCAAGAGTGGAAGAAAGTAGAGAGAGCTAGAAGGAGCTGATGACTATTAGTTGACTTCAGTATGCTCGGGAGTTTTGGTTTTGTAATGAATTGTCGTTTATTTTTTTTTCCGAACACAAATGCACGAGCTACTGCTTGCGTTCTTCCATAATAGTCTCCGTGTGGCAAATGAAATTACGTGCTTTCCATAGCATGTATCATCACTCGACTGCTCATCGAAAGGTTCTCTTCCATTAATTGGCCTACATAATCGTACTGACAATTATGAATTTGCAAACGCTTTTCCAAGACTTCAATCCAAGGTAATTCTTACATTTACTTGATACGATCATTCCGGACTCGCGACCAATTCTATGACAGCATATTACTCATGACCCAAGTATATAAGTATGAATATTGTGTCAATATAAATTTCAGCAAATTTCTAGTACATTCGTGCTTAATGATATTTACATCTCTATTCGCACTTCGATTGGATGGCTTCATAGAATGGAGTTACTGGTCAATATTCAGTCCAATATGGTTCTGGAAAGGTATGGTTATTTTGGGCGCTGTAGTAGGAAGCTATGTCTGGTGGAGACATCCGCATGCGAGATTAGAAGGAGATGCCTATGTACATTATAAGGCAATGTTGATCACCTTGGCATTACATTTAATTCTACTGATGTTTGAATTATTAGTATGCGACAAGTTAGAGTCTGAAAGACATTTGTGGATACTTGTATTCATCCCTTTGATATTTATCTCAATAGTATCAATTGCTGTAAGTAATTGTTCTTTTTCATAACTTCTTAATGATTTTTAAATACTACTGATGAGATTATGTCGACGAATATTCTCAAGCTTTATCTTTGCAATTTAGGTTTGCATATGGGCTGTAAAACACGACCGGTCATTTGAGCTCGAATTATTTTGTGCAGTGAATGTGTTACAGTTCATTTTTCTGGCGTTAAGATTAGATAATTTTATAACATGGAGTTGGGAGGTTGTATTTGTGCCACTGTGGGCACTTCTTTGCTTGTCATTGGTGGCTGTTTTATATGCAATAGTATTTGCTGCCGTTTTACTAAGAACACCTCAGATCAATGCCCGACAGAGGCGGACCTCATTGAATTCAGCATTAGCATACACGTTTCTTGTTGTTCCCATCTTAGTGTTCCAGGTATTAGCATCATCTTGTATCTGAGTGTTACTATGTGAATCTAGATCAATTAAATATTCTCTAAAAATTATATCGCTAATGATTTAGTAATTCTTGTGTTCTGCTTTAGGTTCTGCTAGCAAACAAATTGGATGGAGATATTTCATTGAATTATACAACAGTTGCAATGCCACTGCTTGTATCGCATATGACCCTTATTTTTATGTCCTTTGGTGCAAAGGGTGGCAATAGATGTAAGAAATAATCTTATAGATTACTATTTTAATAATACTTTGTAGTGATGTATCAGTTTTTTTTTTATATTATATGGAACACCTTTTCACTATTAATTTTAATTGACATGTATGAAATCTTTGTTTAGGGTGGTTTGGTATCAGAAAGGACTTTTGTCACTTTCTGCTGGGTTTATGTCCGTTGCTTCAGGAATATGGTAATATTTCGTATCAACCGAGGGACGAACGAGATCAGCCACCATCTGAGCCAATGATTTCGGAAAAAGGTGAAAAGCTCATTAAGAAAATCGACCTAATGAAACCTGTTGTGCCTATAATCTCTATAGACATGCCCGACTGATTGGTTTGAAGCAGGTATTTGTCTTGGGAATTTCTCCTCCTTTCTGTCCATGATAAATGTGATATGTGTGACAGAGTGAACTCTGAATTGGTATTGCATTTTGTACGTCTGATATTTTGCAGGGTTTACTCGGATATTTTATAAGTGTTATTCCCAACACAATTGGCTTATACAGAAGCCGGATATCGTGTGTAAAACAAGCAGGTAGTCGTCTAAATGTTAAGCGCGCATAATTAATTTAGTAAGTTAAATAAATATTTAAATATAACGAAGGAAAGTATTTGTTTGACGTGAATATACGCAATCAGCTCATCGTTTAGACTTTGCTTTGCTCTTAGGCCTTATTAATCAAAGAGACGGAATTATGCAGATATGTGTGTCAGCTGGGATATAAGACTGAGCATCTCGCATCTCTAGCATTGTTGGAACGTTGAAGAAATGTGGGGAGAAAAAGAAGCGTGGAAAAAGAAAGCGAGTATATTTAGGCAAGCAGTGTTGCTGTTAAAACGTTGCTGGACATCGTAATATTGAATGCCCGATCATTTATTATGTTACAATGTAGAAATAATGTACAGACTGTTATATCGCAATAACATCACATACACACACACACACACACACACACACACAATATATATATATATATATATATATATATACATATATGATATCATGAATATTGAATATTATACAAGTCTACCGTATGCGCGACAACGGCGAGCAACTGCTGGTAACATTGTTATTTTATATACATAATACATGCATATACATACATATACATGGCGTATGTATGTATGTATATATATATATATAAATATATATATATATATATATAACACTTAAAAATACTATTATAATCTAATAAAGTTTCTATTTTTTGGTATCAACGGCAAAACGATGAATTAATTTCTACGATACTGTTAATTCGAAGTATCTGTATAGCAATATCGCAATACGTATGGTATATATTGAGATGTATATAGCATAATAAATTCGTAAATATACACACATATGTGTATATATATATATATATCTCGATATTGTCTCTCCGAGACTCTGTGTTACAACGATCCAAGTATTTTGTGTTTAACAGCCTTACTACGGATTATTACTACGAGCGTTACAAACATTACAAACATGTGAACAATTATGTGCATTGTGGCTGTTTCGTCCGGTGTTCCAAGATCTTGTAATTTTTGTAACTTGTACAGAATAATCTGTGAGAAATAGAATAGTACGTCGTGAAACACTCTCTGTCTTCTCGATGTGTGTCTCGTTTGCGACTGCGAGCTCTCTTTTCTGTCATGGGACTGAAACCTCTCTTCGCTCACTCCTCAGGGCTCCGGTCACCATAACGGCACGTATTCCGGCACCCATGTCCGACCAAGGAGCGACGACACGTTCGCCGACACTCCGGTGATGTCGAATTCAGCGTCTTCTATCAGCGACATCTCCACCACGTACAGCGCCTGAAGACGACGCGCGCAGAGCGCGACGAATCTCGCCAACCCGGAACAGCTGCGCGACAGGATGAAGAGAGCTGTCATCATTGCTTTTCATCGGTGTATCTCTTTTCTTTTTAATACAAAAAAGGACACGAATTTCAAATCGGCATCGGTATGCGTGTGCGTACATACGTAACTTCGCAGTCGCCCAAGCCGACGGCGCTGAGCTGCGCGCAATTCTTAGCTATCGAGATCAAGAAGCGATCGATCGGACCGGACTCGTAAGCGGCGATCACTAGTTCTATCAGCCGTGGGCACTGCTCGCTGATTCGCGATATCGTCGCCTGCGACGGCGCGTCGCCTAAGTAGAGATGCGTCACGGGGAAGTGCGGCGTAAATAACAATCTTTCATCGTCCTCGTCAGCCATGTAAGACAATCTGCCAAAGCGAAAGAGGAAGTGCAGCTTTCTAGAGTCTCTCTGTGCGCCTCGCACACCGCGTCTCGGTTATCCTTTTGCCCGACTTCTCAGAGCGTTTACTTTTCTTTACAGTTTCTCTCGAGACTTTTATCTCTACCGACTTCTCCTGAGACTGTCGACTTTCATCGACAGTCTTCCGACTCAACGACTCTCCTCATTGTCACCTTACGCTTTTACTTACAGTATGACGTTCATATTGGGTAGACGATTCGAAAACACAGACCACGCTTTGTCGCTGATGTATGGAAGGGGCCTAGTTTCCGGGTGCGCTTCTATTCGCAGGGTCTCCAGGTGGATTTGTTTCACCGAGCATAGCGCTAAGAGCAACTCGTCGCTCAATAACGAGTATGATATGGACAATTCGCGGAGGCGTCGGCAGTAGTCAGTCAGAACGAAGATCCCTGAAACATGTCGGTGAATGATTCTCGGTTTGTCTCAATCCGTGCGAAATTTATTCAGCGTTTAATTTACTTCATTATTTTCACTGTATTTTGCCTCGTCTGTGATGACGACGAGATACATAATCGGTTTACCTTCAGCCGACAACCGCTGCGAGCCTCTGACCCGTAGAAGATGCAACGTCTTGCACCTCCTGTCGTCGTCGCCGTCGCCATCACGATGTTGCTCCCTTCTTCTCGCCTTGGAGATCGTCACCGCGGACTTGAATCGCTCGCCGTCGAGATCGACGAAGTCGTGAGGAACGAATCCTGCCGCGTTCATCACCGCGAACATTCGCTCTTAATCTATATCACTGTTCCCGCCGCCGCTGCTTCAACGTTGTGTTCGATCCCGCGCTAGAGTCGCGAGGCACTATAAATCGAGGACGTGCGAAACTCGGCGCCCTGCAGCGAGAATATTCGCGAGACGATTTCGAGAAACTGGTGTCACGTCCTTTCGCTCCATCGAAGACCACGTTCTTCCGCGAAACGGTCGGTCTGTCACGTCGCGACGCTGCTAGGAAAAAGCGAAAGGAACTCGCGGAAGTGGGGACTAGGGCAGACACGCGAGGATAGGTGCGTTAAGTAAAAGTAAAATCGCGAAGAAAAGGGTCAAGGACTTCGAGATCTCCGAGTCTGAGGGACTCGCTGCGTCGTGGTTGCACGCGTTGCTCACGTGTGCCGCATATCGCGAAGAGGTAACACTGCGTGAGGACACAAACACCTTCCTCGGCGGAGGAGAGCAATTCACAGAACATCGGTTGTCCTGAGCTCATCAAGGATGAGCTCAGGACCTCTAGACATTTTGGACGCGTTCAGGATGATACTCTGTGGTGTCTAATGCTGTGTGGGGGCATCTTCTTTTCGAGAAAGATAGTCCATCTTGCGTGCTACGATTAATTCCACCAGACTGCGCCGAGGAGCTTCCTTTCAAGCTCTTTCAGTCTTAGATTTTAAGACTGAAATGTAAGAATGTCAATACATCGGATGGAAATTACACGTCTCGAAGATGCAGAAAAATGATAACTTGTAAAAATTTGTAATAACCCAGACAGCTCAAATTCCTAAAAGATTTTTTAAACACTTTTCAAAGACCTCCAGAGGAGGGAAAAAATGAAACGTGTCTTTTGGGCACATCCTTGAGGTACTTTTTAAAAAAGTTTGTGCTGTCTGAAGAATTTCCAGGAACATAATCTCCACTTTTTAGGTATATACACATACACACATCACAGGTTCCTCCATGTGTAAAATTTTCAACACCAGCTACACACTTGTAGTCTCCTATGCTACGTAAGCAGTCTGAAAATTTCTCAGCCTAACAATGAAAGAAAATTTCTTTTGCTGTGAAATACGTTTTATTTTTCAATATATATAATCTCCTGAAACTTCAATACATTTATTCCAACGTTTCTCCAATAATTCAATACCATTATTAAAGTGTGATTCCGGAAGATCTGCAAAATATCCATCCACGGCTGCAACAGCCTCGTCATTTGATGTAAAACACTTTCCAGCCAGGAATTTCTTCAGGTTTGGAAACAGATAATAGTCAGAGGGAGCCAAATCTGGTGAATATGCTGGATGTTCAAGCAATTCGTACTTTAATTCGTTGAATTTTGCCATTGTCAAAACACTTGTGTGAACACGTGCATTGTTTTGATGGAAAATGATTCCTTTCTTCTTTAAAGCAGGTCTTTTCTCACAAATTTTTGCATCCAATAGATCCAAAAGGTTACAATAATATTCAGAGTTAATTGTTTTACCTTTCTGAAGATAATCGATCAACAAAACACCTTTGTAATCCCAAAAAACTGTTGCCATAACCTTTCCTGCTGATGGAACTGTCTTTGCCTTCTTTGGTGCACTTCCACCAGTTTCAATCCATTGCTTCGACTGTTCTTTTTGCTCTGGTGTATAGTGGTGGATCCAAGTTTCATTAACAGTTATGAAACGACGCTTGAAATCCATTTTATTTTGCTTAAAACGATCCAAACACGCTTGAGAAATACGCATTCGAATGCGCTTTTGGTCAATTGTTAGCAAATGCGGCACCCATGTTGTATAAAGCTTTTTCATATGTAATTCATCATGCAAAATATTTCCAATTCGTTCTTTTGAGATGTCTATGGCCTCAGCTATTTCACGCATTTTCACTCGTCGATCATCTAACACCATATCGTGGACTTGGTGAATGTTTTGTGGTGTTGTAGCAGTTTTTGGACGACGTCCTCCGCGTGGATCATCTTCGAGGCTTGTACGACCAGATTTAAAAAGAGCAGCCCATTTTTTCACAGTGGAAAGTGAAGGTGATGCATCCTTATACACTCTCAATAATTTCGGATGAATTTCTGTTGGTGTTAAACCACCCAAAACAAAGAATTTAATCACTGCAAGATATTCAATTTTTTCCATTTTCCAAAAGACAATGACACGTCAATATTAAACTGGTGCTACTCTACTCGAATGACTACTTGACAGATCGAAATAAAATATTTCATGGGTTCATATCAGGAATGCCACTTTCCAATACAATTATAGTTTGACAGTTTTTAATGCCATCTAGGTGTCAGGCCGAGAAGTTTTCAGACTGGCCTCGTAAGAGAGCACAGCGTGAGATTTCTCGTTTGCGAAAAATTATGATTTTATATAATATTCTTCAAGAAAGTGGCGAGATTTTCGCTCCTCTTTTCTTCTCTTTACGACGAAGCGACGAAGTTTCTTAGGCACCGCAGTGTCTTTCTCTCGTATTAAATAGCGTCGTTACAGCTTGTGCCGACTATTTACTTGCTTATTTATTAACAACTCGTTCCTTTCACCGGTCGTTGCACGTGCTGTCGAGCTCACGTGCCGTTGCGGGTCACGTGTGTCTGCCTGCGCCTTTCATACGCGTTACCTTCTTTATGTGCTGAAACGTCGGCAACTGGCACACATACTTTATTCCATTTACTCGGGGCCATGCGGCCCCGATTCCTTGATGATTCTGCCGTTCGGAGAAGAATGCTATGAGAAGACATAAATAACATGATATTAATATTATAAGATTAATTTGTGCATTTGCAGACTACAAAATTCTTTCAGAGTTGCGAAAAAACCACTCGATACCTGCACTCGACGTTGAAGCAAATAATTTGATAATCGCGCACAAGGAAGAAGGTGAATAAATCGGTATATGAAGTTCGTTGGAATGAGAAGTGAACACAAAAAATGCGATATAAAAGACGATTTTTTTCCATGCAGAGAAGTATTTTCGGAATTTATGAATACTCGTAAGTAATGTCTGTATACATTCACAATTGGAAAGAGATTACATTTTAAATCGGAGGCAGAGAGCCTGTTCTTTTACTTAAGTTAAGGTTATGTCTAGACGTTTGGATTTCAGCTGAACAATTCAGATTTCATCGTCTATGTTCGAAAAACTGTATGGGTAACAATAAAAATATTTAGATTATTAAATTATTGCTCCCCAATCAATCGACGCATTATTCAAAAAATATACTTTTGCAGATTACATTTTCAGTTTCTTTTTTTCCTTTCGTTTTCAACTTTGAGTATGTATAAAAAATCTATTTTTCATAAAGAATATTAAATTTTACTTTTCGCGACAGTTATTTGGCGCTTTCAGGCCGGTATTCATAGTCAGATCTTATATTTAAGACTATCTTAAGTTTACTTTCAGATACCTCATAGCCCATGAAATGTATGAATTTGTACATGAAATGAATTTGTACAGCATCTAAAGATAAACTTAAGACGGTCTTAAATATAAAATCCGACTACGAATATCGGTCTATGTCTATGCTTGAGCCTATCAAAACTTGTGACCTGTTGACGCATGCGTAGGACGTTGCGGAGGGATTAAATGCTCCCAACATTGGCGGGAGGTTATTCATCCGGCGTTCCAAAATCTATCGAGAAAGTATTACGGCTGAGTCACGGTATATACACGTGTACCTAGATGAGACACCCATGATTCTGCAAACGTTTTAAGGAGAAATTCAAGTCCGTCAACGACGCCCGCGACAAAGTCGTTGCACGGTAACCTGAATTTACAATTTTTCTATTTGGTTGTGTATCCGCGCGGACAGATTGTTACGGTATGGCTGATATGGGCCTAAGTTTAGATGACATAATTAAAAAGTCGAAGTCATCAGGAATGCGAGGCAGAGGAGGGTAAGACAAAGTCCGGCTGAACAGTTGACTGGACTCGTATTAGCGTTACTCTCTCTTTGCGGATTTCTAACCCTCGCAGTCGCGTTTTCCACGAGAGAGAGAGAGGGAGGAATTTTGTCACTTTCATGTTAAAATCGCCCCTTATCGGATTTTTCGCTCGGCCTGTCTTATTCGATGGTCTCGCTGCGAAATCACCGGTAATTAATCATGCGAGAAATTGCGGCTTTTGCATCTGATGCAGGTGCAAGGAAACTTTGTCCTTTGAATTTTGTTAACCCTTGCACGATACTTTTCGTACAGATTGCTCAAGGAAAACCAAGTCAGATTTACAAAATGTCGCGAAGACACGTTCGTTGCTTCGTCTACATAGTATTCCGTCGCTGAGTACTGAAGATAGGGCCGATGAAAGCCGAAGGACGTCGGTCAAGTTCCATTCATTAACATTTATGTTAATTTCTTATGAATGCAGGATACGCAGGGGTGTCGGTAGAGGCGCACGGGCGAATGGCTTTATAAGAGGACGTGGTTCGTCGCATGTAGTTACGGATGCACGGTTCAAGATAATACAGAAGAACCGTGAGAAGTTGACAGATGCCAGGGACAAACTGGCAGAGATAGCGAAGCAGAGTGACGCCAGACTCAAGTTAGACAAGATTCGTGCATCTCAATATAAGAAGATAGATGCACAGCTCTCAGGGATATCACGCAAGACTGGTAGAAATGGCAGACTTTCGCTGTCAACTAATAAAGCTCCGCCTATGATGCCACATGTATTACCACCGAGTGTACCGAACAATTATATACCACAGGTAGTGGTGGGCTATAGACCACCTCCTATGTCTGATTCACATTACTTGGGAGATATGAACATGGATTATAACGATGGTAAACCACAAAGAGGTCAATCTGGAAATTTGTTCCGCACACATGTGCTTTTTTACTTGAGAATGCTTGGATGTGGGGATTAAGTACTCTGGTAATGTTAGTTCGCTTATGTTGACCTATATTTCCAGATTATCTAATGGAGTCCTCTTCACTGAGGAGAACTGTCAGTAACGAGTACGCTCCGACACCGCCGCCTCCACCTCCTGTGTTCAATATTAAGCCGAGTTCTCCTTATACCTGGGTGAAGCCTACAAGCAGTAACGCAACTAGAATCTCGTCTCGGAAATCTGAGATGGAGAGAGAGCGAGAAAGGCAACGAGATTACAAAATGATGGCCACAATGGTTGGTAATTTTATGGGAAAAGATCAATTCTTCTCATAGAGATGTTCTATGTTGTACTCTTATGATTTTTTATCGGTCTGAAATATCACTGTTTCTTCACCGCAGAGGAAAACTGCTTCCCCTCCATACAAGGAAGACTGGAGTTTTGGTACAAAATCGAGGTAACGATTCGCGACAGTCTTGCAATCAAGTATATACAGGGTGGCCCCGGAATGGAGACGGAAACAATTCTAATAGGAATTACAATCTCTCAAGAGTAGATTGTACAGCATTCTGTGCAATTACGACAGCTGAATGTTACCTGTATTCATGTTATTTAGGACTAGCTAACTTTTTAAGGAAGCATTCCTCAACCCATGCTTATAGGAAACTATTTGTTCAGAATTAAATTTCCTATAAAATCTCAGTTTGATTTGAACGTTCGGGGCCAGCCTGTATTGCATTGTAAAGAATTGGCCAATCGAGTAACACGTTTTGCGTGACTATTTGCAGAACGATCCTAGCAGAAGAAACAACGGATTCCAAGTATTATGATTCCAGAAGTCTTCGAGAAGTAGGGATTAAATCGCGTTTGGACTCGTCTCCCAATAAGCCCAGAACCATGGGAGTCTTGTCTCGACCAAAAGCGAGCTCCAGCTCGTCGACGCAATCGACAGGATATCGAATCGTGGTGTCCAACTTGCAAGCGAACGTTACGCAAGAGGATATCAAGGTAGCACACGATAGACAAGGCCTCATGCACATTAGTAGTTCCTAGAGTGCGTCGTGATAATGAGAGATCGTTCTCACGATTGCCTTGTAGGAGTTATTCGAAGACGTGGGAGAACTGCTCGTGTCGAGATTGGTGCGTCCTGGCACGGCGGAAGTAATCTACAAGACTCTGAAGGATGCGACTAAGGCAGTTGAGACTTATCACAATCGACAGTTGGACGGCCATCCTATGAAATGCCTTCTTGTTAATCCACGACCGAAAAATAATCCGACTGGCCCGGCTGTTCGTTCTCTCACGGAGTAAGTAACAAAATCCTTCTACATGCGACGGAGTTTATCGAATGTTGAGAATCCTGTGGCAGATGAGATCCAAAACGTGAACTCGGTTATATTTTGCCGAGCATCGCGCGAAACCGCGCGTGTAATCCTTCATACGAGGTCTGGTTCGGAAAGAGTATCCGACCTATGACTATATACATATATATATATGTGTGTGTGTGTGTGTGTGTGTCTGGATCTATTATAAAGTCTTCTCCTTTTGGAGGAACCTTTGAGTATCCTTGTGAGTATCCTCGCCAAACGACGCTGCTTCAGAGTCCTTCGGTCGACGCTTGTACGCAGTAGAAGAAAATGCGACGACGCAACTGCAGGTTATTCTGTTCCATAGAGCCGAGTTCAAAAATTCAGAAAGTGGGAGCAGCGCTAGGAAAAAAGGTTGTAGCTTCCAAAGGAGAATGTCCTTTGACATAAGTCGCCATTGCGTGATCTAGCAGCTCTTTTCTCTTTATATAACGTAAGGTCGGATATTTTCCGGACAGACCTCATATATCTGATACATCTGCAAAAAGGACCTACATGAATAGTCGTTCAAACTTGAAACTTGTCTCAAGCGAGACTCAGATTTGAATTTAGAGTCAGAGAGATGTGAATTTTTTCGTTGAATTACAAATATAACGTTACACGTATATGACTCAACTGAAAATGTCTCTCGTGAGGCAAGCTTCAACCTGAAGTGACTATTAACACGTATCTGAGGCTTTAAATTAGTCGAAGGGAGGTGCAGCCAAACTTCTTTCGTCACCCCACGATATCTTCTTCTCTGCAGATCGAGGCGCAGCGTCAGCTCGAGTTATGTACAGCCGAGTTTAGGAGCGGTGCATCGCGCGCTATTCGACGACTCTTAATCAAGTGCATCTCTCCGGATATAAATCAATATTAAAAAATAAAATTTATGTATATGTAATGGACCTCTTACACGCGAATACATACATACACACATATCCACACACTCACACGCATACATATACACAGGTATAAGTTTAATTGCTTCAAAGTTTAGAAGCGGAGAATATAGGCGAGACACGAAGCGACAGGGAACACGGCTGTTTGCGCTTTTTCGTGCGTGCGCTTATGCGCCTTCGAATCCAAATCTGAATTGCAATTATATTAATAAACTTGTACCATTTATTATCACTGTATAATGAAAGGCAGATCTACACGATCGGCCAACGCTGGAACGCTCGCGTGTTAGATTTTTATGATCTTCCTAGGAAAGATCTTCTTTACAATTTTGTGTACTCCTTGATTGTTCTTTCGTTATCTCAGACACATGTAACGTTTACGTTCTTATCCACAATACATTGTATACATTTTTATCGACTATATATATACGCACTTACTGAACTGTCTGTCGCATAGAATGATGGGAAAACCGCGGCGCGTTCTAGTGTTGCAATATAGGAAAAAACTTATATTAGTAAAATGGTCAAAAAATTAGATGAACGACAGGTGCAAGTTGCTTCTTGTATATTTAATATAACGGAATAAAACGGTATTCATTCATCCAGCGACTCTGTCGTCGATGTCTCTTTCAGGCGCGCGGTCGATCCTTGAGCGAACGTTGACGAGTTTGCGGACACGATCGGCCCCCGGCGCGAGTGACATTTGTAGTTTTAAGTTTTTAGAGAAAAAGGAAAGAGAAGTGACATGGACGGACGGACACATGCATTATTCCGAAAAATCGAAACCCAGATAGTTTCCCGATAGAAGTCCTGCCGAAATCCCCAAATACCGAAACAGTATCGCGGGATAAAGGACAATCTCGGCGGAGTTGTGCTTCAGGAGATTGTTTCAGTATTCGGAACTCAGTGTTTTGCGATTTTCCCGTTTAGAAAATGCTCGCATTCTTGAAATTTCGATACATTCTTCTTTCGGGACAGTGTGCGTCTACTGAACAGAGAACCCAGGGAAGACGATATAATTAGCTCGACAGCCCGCACAGAAATTTTGTCCTTACGTAGCTACGTGTATAATCTTAAGTCTGATCGTACATGTCCAGATGAAGAAAGAAAGATCGCTGTCGAGTAGAAGAGCACTGTCTCCAACGCGAATGTGCATAATTATGATTACATCATACCGGCCGTGGATCCGAGTGAGGGGCGCATAATGAGAAAGGGAATAGCGACTTGAGATACGATAAAGAATTTATTTATTTATACATAAAACGATCACAATATTCATACCTACAAAATACAAAAGCTAACACACCACGCATGCTGCTGCTGCCGACATGCACTACGAGTCTCACACCCCTGCGGGTATAGTAGGCGTATATTATCGAGAAGTAGTACGAGTTTCGGAGACGGAAGTTCGTATTTTGACACGGAGAATAAATGGCACATAAATAAGTTCTCCTCTTCTCCGTAAACGAGACTACGAGACGGCACCATCATGCTGCGGCGCGACCCGGGCCGCTGATTAACGCGCTGTCGCGCGTTAGCTCCCAGGTTCGAGCGACGAGCGCGTGAGGAGCAAGGGAGGAGGAAGGGTGGGAGATGAACGCCCGAACCGGAAGCCGAAGGCCCGGATATCGCAGCGACCAGTGCCCGCGTCGTACCGCTGCACGTCGTCGATTATTTACATCAAGTACGAAACAATACTGAATTTCACTGCTTTATTTATTTGTTGTGTGTACGTGTGTCTGTCCCTCTGTATACGTGTGTGTGTGTGTGTGTGTGTGTGTGTGTGTGTGTGTGTGTACGCGTGTACATTGGCCTTCAAGATGGTCGGGACATTTTTTTCTGGATACAATGCGGGACGCAGCCGGTGTGGCCTGATTCCCGGAAATCAAGTTCTCTCATTGGACAGCTGCTGCACTTGGGATCGTTAGATTAGAAATCTGAAAAATCTGGAGAGACTCGAAACGGAATGAAAGTTATCAACATTATGACTTCCCTCTCAGGGAGCGCGATGCAAGTGTAACTTGATACGTATTGCAGACTACACACTTCCGTTGTGGTTTTCCACTCTCACTTCCAGAGCGAGAGAAACTGCCGTATCGACGAGATGTTACCGCGAGCCAGAGTTTACCAGGGGACGAAAGTGAGGAATGCTTAACAATCTGAAGATTTTGGACCTTGGACGCTGGACGTTGAACGTCGCGGTGAAATCTGGCAGTGTCCCAGCTGTGCTCCAGACTGCATCCGGAGCAGAATGTCGAGACGATTCTCAGAGCCAATGTATGCGCGCGCGTGTGTGTGTGTGTGTGTATGTGTGTGTGTGTGTGTGTGTGTGTGTGTTGCGTCCGGAGGATACTTAGCGACATGTGCGCTCAGCTAAAGTCGAAGATTACAATCGGAGGACAAGGCGCGAGAGTACAAAACTCCAGCGCGAGTCGCTCGCCTATGCGCACGGCCGCCGCGCTCTCCGACTGCGAGGTCGCGTCTGCGGCTATGATTTAACTCCTACGATGGTGATGATGATTATGATGATTGGCTTTGGGCTTGTTGGGCGTGCGCAGCACCTCCGCGTACGACATTTCCAAGCGCTTGAGTCGGGCCACTTCCTCGGACGCGCTGCTAGGCTTGTACTCGCTGTACTCGCTGTAGTTGTTGCGCAGTTGCTGCTGCTGCTGCTGCTGCTGCTGTTGCTGCTCGCTGGAGCCGCGGCCATAGCCGTGTTGCTGTCTCCTGTCCCTCGAGCGGTTGGAGTAGTTGGCGTTGTGGTGGCCGTTCCACAGCCCGTTGCCGTCCGGCTCGGCGAAGTTGAACGGCTTGTATCTCCTGCGGCCACCGCCGTTGGCCTTCGGTGGCACGAACTTCGGGTTCGTCGTGGGGATGACGTCCGGTGTGGTCGGACGGTCGTTGCAGTGCGCCTTCTTCGCGGCGTTCTTCTTCGCCGAGGACTTCTTGCGGACGTGCACGTTGATGGACAGGTAGTCCAGCCTGGTGGCGTGGTGAGCCGACCGTGGTTGGCCCCCCGCGGCTTTAGGCTTGTTGTCATTCTTCGTATTGTTGGCTGGGCTGACGGGCTGCACCCTGAACACCGGCTCTGAGACCACGGACGACACGACGGAGGACATGACGCTCTGATTGTCGTCGGTCGTCTCGCTGTGCAGATCCTCCTGAGTGGTCGATGACTCGGCCGGCAGTTGCGACGTCGCGCTGGAGTCGTCCAATAACGGCAGCTTCTCGCCCTCGTCCTTCGCCTCGGCCGCCCGCTTCAGCACGCTGAAGATCTCGCTGAAGAGCTGCCGGTACTCCGGCGTCTTGCGGAACCTGCTCTCGAACGGGCTGTTGTCGTCGTAGATGCTGAACTTGCAGTCCTCGCCGTCGGCGATCGAGCACAGGAACGAGCCCGGCCTGCCGTCCGTCTGCGTCGCTTTGTTGCTCGTCTCGTCCGAGAAGCCCGACGACGACGTCTCCGCCTCGGAGAAGTCCGTCGGCGTGGCGGAGAAGCTCTTCTTGCCGGGCGCGTCCGCCTTGGCGCGCGTCGCACCCTTGGCCGCCCCCGGCTCCGCGGCGACCTCGGACGCCGCCTCCGTCGCGCCGGGGCAGAAGTTGTTGAACTCGCCGGACATCTCCAGCTCCTCCTGCAGCGACATGCATGCCGCCGGGTTGCTAGCGGGATCCTTGCGGCGGGGTTGACAGTGTCTCTGCACCTCCAGCAAGGCCTGATACTTCTCCACTAGGACCCGGTACGGATTGGCGCTGTCCAGCTCGTCCGCGTCCTCGTTCTTGCTGCCTGCCGTGTTGTCCTGTGTGCAGGCAATTAACCAGTGTGTGCAATTGGAAACTATGCAACGCGCTGTGTGCGGCGGACGATACGGGCGTTACGCTTCGACTCTAAACGAAACCCGCGTGTTTTCTCTCTTTCTCTCTCTCTCTCTCTCTCTCTCTCTCTCTCTCTCTCTCTCTCTTGCTCTTTTTTTTTCTCTCTGGGTATCATTCTCGTTTTCACTTGCGTTTGTGCGTTTATACGTGCGCCGGACTCGAGATCGGGGGAAATTCATTCGCACGTGTGTGTGTGTGTGTAGCGACGAAAGTGATCGGCACTTGAATTTTCCCGCAACGCGGGTCTTTCTCTCTCTCTCTCTCTCTCTCTCTCTCTCTCTTCCTTGTTTCTACCTCTCTCTTTCTCTCTGTTTCTGTCTCTTTCTTCCCGGCACGAGTCTCATCGGCGACTCTTTTCGTTTTACCTGAGCTCTCTGTATACTTGCATTATATATGTGTGTGTGTGTGTGTGTGTGTGTGTGTGCGCGTGTATGTGTGTGCGTATGTGTGTGTGTATTAGTGAATCGTTAGAAATCGTGTTAGTACGACCTAAGTATACACGAGACGTTGCGCAGAAACGGTGCACACAGCTGGAAGCAGAAGAGCGGAGGACCTGCCAGATTTATAGGATATCAAGAAGAGAGCACACAACAAGAGTTCCGTGAGAAAACGTGTTTTTATTCACTTGTAGCATCTTATAAATCTGGCACTTATACATTGTACAAAGTAATCGGACAGAGTAATTCGACTAGACACAGAGTAATTCCAATCACAAGGGCTCAGCCGCGCTCAAGTGTAACTCGAACTATGTAACATACGTGGACAACGGCGACGTGTAAGCACAAGTATATTTACATCTACATACGTCAGAGACACTCTTTCTCTCTCTCTTTCTCTCTCTCTCTCTCCTGATATCGGCGAGAAGCTATCAGCAAGTGAGTGCAACACGATCCCCGGTAATCTTTGGAGGTTCATCGATCAACTTGCCACGATCAATGTGCCAATGTGGGAACAGTCGCGAGATTAATCGGACAGCTGATATAAATCCAACACCACATGATACAATAACGCAAATCTAAGTTCTACAGCCGCGGTAAACACGCGCGCGCGCGCGCGCGTTCGAGAGAGATCGCTCGTTATTACTCGCGAGCATAAAAAAGGGCAACCGACCCTTCTGAATCCGAAGTATAATCGATATACAATCGCGCGAATAAAAACGAATAAAACAATCGGACATCCACCGCTCGTATCAATCGTGCAACCAGAAGAAGAAAAGAGAAACCAAACCTTGGTGCAACGTTAATCAATCAATGGACGAAATCAAAATCAAACGTAAAACCCTCCCCCCTCCCCCCTAACCGTCCCCCTAACGCGAGAGAGCCGCAACAGACATTTTCTCGTCCCTGGTTAATAAAATCTACGCGTATCCTGCGCACATCAGCATGCTGGATTCAAGCGAAGACTGCGAGGGACGCGCATGCGCATGCGCGCGCGCGCGCGCGCGCGCGGAGCATGCAGCTTTCCGCCGCCCCCTCTCGTCTCGTTTCTTTTTTTTTTTTAAAGCATCTTTAGCTTCTGACGTAGTATAGGCAGCAAGACTTTCCGGAAGTTGAGCAACGGTATTCGGAAGGGTGCGAGCATAATCGGGACGACGCAGCGGTCTCGAATTCTCCGGCCGGCCGCGGCGAGAAAATAAAACGACAACAACAACGGCACTTTCCACATACAAGTGAACATCCTCCACAACAGCGAACTACACCGTTTACGTTCTGCCTTTGGCTTGGATTTTGCAAACTTTGTCGTCTCCTAAAGGCAGATAAAAGAGCGATTACTGCGTGCGTGCGTGCGTGCGTGCGTGCGAGCGAGCGAGCGGTCGTTCTTTGTTTGTTTTTCGACAGTTCGGTTCCGAGTTTCCCTTCGCGGTTTCCGCGCGCATGCGCGCGGGCACAATCGAGTCCCCCCCCTCCCCGCCCCGAGGGAGAAGCGACACACGGCGAAAGCAACGGACTCGGAAGAGCAGCAGGACAGCAAGACTCGAATTCGTGCGAACATGGATGATGCACTTGACTAACGACTAGGGTGACTTTTTTGACTATGCAACACGGCCATAACTCGACGAGAACACTCGACTAACGGCTGGCAAGAGTGCGGATCGAATATGCGCTAGCGGAAGAAGGAACAAAGAGGATATATATACCTGCACCATCAGCTCCGAGTCCCGCTGGTTCTCGCCGATCAACGACTCGGCCACGCTGATGTCGTCATACTCTTCTTGGTCCAACATGATCGAGAGCTCGTCGTGTGTCCTGGTGTCCATGCCGCGCAGACATCGGCCGCACAATTGACCTCGTCTGCAAGGAGACATCTCATCTTCATGGGAGCCAGTAAGCGTGATTCGCGAATATCTCCGACGACGCGCGGCATTTCGCGCCTACAAAGCGGGAACTCAGCGCGACGTTCCACGTTGGACTCGGTCTGTGTTGAAGGATTTTGATCTGCTCCTTGAGAGAGACATCGGGAAGGGTCTGTTCTTTCCAGTCAGACTAGTGTATTGCGCTTTGAAACTTCCTTGCTTCCCTTCCTCTTTATCGAGAATTTATATAGACTTATTTCACGCAGAGCGCCACCTAGTCCGGCTGAGAGGAACAGACCTGAAGTGAAACTCCAGCATTCAGCTCGCGATTTCTGGATTCGACGCCTGCATTCGGATCCTCGAAGCTGCGCAGCAGCTTCCTTTGAATGAAGCGCAAACGACCAATGTCTCCGCGGTCGAGGAGAGACGAAAAGACACGCAGAGACGGGATAGAGTGCGAGCATCCTTACCTGACCTCCTCCAGAGTGCTGATCTCGTCCTGCAGATTCTTCACATCCTGCGCCTTGTTGCGCCACACCGTTAGCTGTTCCTCCAATGCGCCGTTCTCCTGCAACAGGGTCGTCAACTGCTGACTGAGCTCGGACACCTTCATTTGCTCCCTGACCCTCTGGTTGCGAGCGTCCTGCAGTTGCCTCAGCAGATCGTTCATCTCCTCGTCGCTCGCCACGCTCGTCGTTGTCGTTGCCTGTCGAACGCTCGCGTCGATTGTCGTTTCTTGGAAGGACTTCGGCGAACTTGGGGCAGCTCTCTGGCGGCAAAGAGAAAGCACGGCACGTTGAAGTCCTTTGCTCTCTGTGATTACACGCACCGGGAGAAAAGGGTGTTCGGCCCTTCTTATGACTGTAATTGTCCGGCGAGGAAATCGTTGGCAGAAATCGTAGCGTAGTTTTCGTAGCAAGCGTCGGTGACGATAAGCCTGTTCCGAAATCAGTTGCGGAAATTTTGATTTTGGTCCTAAAGTTGGTAGGTCTTGAACCAACTTGGGTCCGTAATTGATCACGCTGATCACGCTTGGACGTTCCGTAGCCATGTATTACTTCAGGTTTACAAACCTGGTTTTAGCTTTACTTTTATAATATCAGATGAAGAAATTTAGATCTTTCATTACTTATCATCTTGATAACTGATCGGCTGATCAGGAACGTGTATCTAAGTCAGTTTTTAAGGACTACCAACCTTGTAAACCCTGTAGAGCAAAATTTCCGAAACCGATTTCGCAACAGGTCTCGTAACTCTGCGTGCATATGGCCGCCATTATTCTTATCTTGGAGCAATAAGAAGATATCGAAGCTGAAAGTGACTGTAATTTTCGCGAGGTCAGGCATTTTTTCAGGCAAATGTCGATAGGGAGTGTCAGCCAGACGATATGACTTTACACGCGTGTAGTTGTTGGCACCTTTTTTAGGCACAATAAGAAGACACAGCTGGTGCCGGAAATGACTGTAATCTTCGCGAGTTAATAATTTCCCTTTCTCTCCTGGTGCAGCCTGTGAGAGAACACACTGACTGCCATTCGACGGAGCCGGAATCGACGAAGGCAGTCAGCGCGGGTCGAAAGGATTCGCGTATCACGTCGTGATAAAAGTTTCGTTCGCGCATTCACCTGCTGTACGCTGCCACCTTGCGTAACCGAGGTTTTCCAACTGCTGTCCTGCTGTTGCGCATTGTTCCGGGACGGGCTCGCAGCTTGCTGTTGCCGCAGGAGAGCCTCGCGTTGCTCAGTCAAGTCGTCGATCTTCTTCTGCAGCTCCTCGCACTTCACTTCCAAACCCTCGATGGTCATGCATTGGCTGCAACGGGGCCGTTGCAAGGATCGCGTTGCAGGATTATTATTAGTGGAGAAACACACACACACACACACACACACGTCGCGCGCGATCGAGTCCAGCGTACACAGTTAATAACGCGAGAGACAGAGAGAGAGAGAGAGAGAAGGAGAGAGACTTATTATCAGGAGAAGCAGATCACGTCGGTGAGATTAGAATAGAGTTACCGCGCGGGCGAATAATACCGAATAACTTTCCATGAACTCTAATTGTACCGGCTAGTAATGAATTATGAATTTAGAAAGGTGAGTTCTCGCGGTAAGAACGGTTCACACGGCCGAACGCGAAGACGGAGCTAATGAGAGACGAGCTAGTGTACGACCGAAGCGTCATTATTGAACTAACGTTTCTTGTGCCGCACGACCCGCCGAAATGTCATGCTCGTAATGCTCGAGTGAGAAGGTCTCTCCCTCCCCCGGCCTAACCCGAAAGAATGTACGAGCAAGGTGCTGATGATTAGTCGCGATTGGAAAATCTTGGTCTTGGTGAAGCAAAGTCGGCGAAATCGGTGAGCGGAAAAGAGCGACCGGTCACACCGCGCGTGCGTGTGACGGCGAGGAATGAGCGATCGATCGACAAAATCATTGATCGTCGATCGGCCGTTACAGTCGGTAATCGCGAGTAAACTTTGGTCCGACGTTAATTTTCGGCCGGGCAAGATCAGCCTCTCGATCGTTCAACGCGGAGGCGCCGAAAGAGAGGGAGGCTCTCCTCGGCGCGGAGGGACGTTTTACCTCTTGATCAGCTTCTTGTCGCTCGTGTTCTCGATCACCAAACGATGATTCGCGCGTTCCAGATCTTGCACGCTGACCTCCAGCTGCTCGTAGATCTTCAGCCGCGAATTATTCACCTCCCTCAGCGCGGCGGTCTGCTTCTTCATGTACTGCGGGAGCGAGCGAAGGACATACGCATTTATTCTTCACTCCTCGGGCCGGGCGGCGCGATCGCGCGAACTCGTCGCCATTTGAATTCTCTTTTCCTTTGTCCGACGCGACCCGTGACACGTCGGGTCATCGTCGTTTAGTCGTCGCGCGAGAGCATCGCGCGCCGCTGGAAAAACCGGCGCGAGCGACGCGGCGAAGTGATCGACGCGAGTCGAATAATCGCCGTGCGAGTTGCCGCGAGACACGAATACCGCTCGTCAGGTGAAACGAAGCGTTTCGCAGATTGATGATAATTTTATTACATCGTTGCAATCTTGCGGGGAAAAAAGACGTACGTCTACGTCCTTTCCCGCGCGCGCGTGCTGTTTCATAAAATTACAGCGCGATTAAGACGCGAGAACGCTCCGTTTCACCCGAGAGGCCTGATCGCCAAACACAAGCCGATATTACAAGATTGTAATAACCTCGATCTCCTGCGCCTGCTCCTCCACGGTGGACTGGTGCAGCTTGATGATGTTCTCCAGCTCCTTATTCCGTTCCAGCAGAGTCTTGCCGAGCTCCGCCGCCAATTGAAGATCTGCACAGACCGCGAGAGAGCCGTATTTCTACATCAAACACTTTTTTTTATCTCGATCGGAAGTGCTCGGCGCCGCTCGTGAGAGAGCGCGCGCTCTTACTCTAATCTATCTTAATCGCTTCGAGATATTCGCACGCGCGCGCGCGCGCGCTCGGGAAACAGAGCGAAAGAGGGAAGAAAAAGAAAGACAGAGAGACAGAGAGACAGAGAGACAGAGAGAAAGGGAAGAAACGCGGAGTACGCGCGGACCTGCGGACGCAGGTCGTTGCTTTCCGCGGCGGTATGTTTCTGCTCGCTCGCGGCACTCCCTTCTGACAGCGGGGCTAGGGCCAAGGACCTTGCCGGTGAGCAGACGCGACCGAGCTACCGGGAGCAGGCCGTCCGCGCGGAGGTGTTAGCCGTTGCGTCGACTCGCGACGTGACGCGACGCGGCCAGGTATCGCCAGGTGTGACAGCGATCGACAGTACGTTCGATCGGGAAGAGCGCGCACAAGACAACAGGTCCGTAAACATGGCATTTTTCTCGCCGCTAGAGAGAGAGAGAGAGAGAGAGAGAGAGAGAGAGACGGAGGGGGGGGAAAGAGACGAGCGTAAAAATACTCTCTAATACCCGTATTCATAGTCAGGCCTTATATTTGAGGCCTCATTATATCCATCATCAGATGATGCACGGATTATTTTATTGGCTACAGAGCATCTGAAGATAAACTTAAGGAAGCCTTAAATATAAGGCCTGATTATGAATACGGGTGTTAGTCACCGATTACGACCGCTCTTCACGCGCGATCATGTGCCCCACCCCCCCCTCCCGCCGCCCCTGATATTATCACTTCTGCTCGAATGAGTTGCACCTTGCCCAGCACAGCACCGCACGATTCGCCGACACGGCGATTGCATTTTTCACGGAGATGGGAAGTTAGTCTCTTCGTGTACCCAGGGGTAACCGTCCACTGCCTTTATATTCCCCAGGGTGCGACTCGTCCGGGTTAGCGCACCGCCACTGTAGTGGCCACTGTCCTCGTCTCTCCTGCTTCGTCGTCGTCGTGGTCGTTCATTATTGCCGTACGACGCAATCGCTACCCGTCTCCGCCTACCTTCGCGCGTACCTTCGGGACCTTGAAGACACGCGAGCTCGATGGAGTAGTCCCAGCCGTCCAACGAGTTCATCTGAGTTTGTGGGTCCCAAACGACGTCCACGCTCCGTCCGCTCATGATGCGCACGAGATGGGTCCGTCGTCCTTCTCGTCGTCGTCGTCGTCGTCGTTGTCGTCGTCGTCGTCGTCGTCGTCGCCGTCGTCGTCGCCGTCGCCGTCGTCGCCGTCGTCGTTGTCGTCGTCCTCGGCCACCAGCGAGGCTTTAAATGTCGCGCCGGCGATTATAGATCGCTCTGCTCGATCGAGACGAGCCGGTGTCAGCACGGGGAGACAGGTTATCGACCACAACCGGTTCCCTCGGAGGCGGCCGGTCTTCTGCGGATCGCTAGGTAGCCAGCCTGACCCAAACGTCGCGCGCGCGCCCGTCGAGCGGTAATCCAACTCCCTCCTTCTCTTGGCGCTCCTTCCCCTCTACCCCGTTCTTCTCTGCTGGGCCCGCTGCACCAGCACGGGTCCCTCTTGATCTCCGTCCTGGTCGCGGCCGCCGAGTGTGTCCCACCTAGCTGCGTCGGCCACTTTCCAGAAGCGGTTTCGAATTTCGGACGGTGCCCGGTCTGCGATAACCTGGCCGAGTCCGTCGGACGCGGTGGAGTGATTTCGGTCTGATCGAAGCGGAAGGAGGATCGGTTTTCTAACTTGATCGTCAATCATGTGCTCCGTTCTGTCTCGGGCTTCGGCAGAAGTGACTGAATATCAGGAGAATACCGATCGAGACCGGTCCGCAGAGTATTTGCTGATGAAAACATCGCCGGGCGAAGAGAAGAGTGGTTGGTATAATATAAATAATAAATATAAATAATGTAAATATAATATAAAATATATAATACATATAATATAATATAATATATATATAATATAATATAATATAATATAATATATATATATATATAAAATATATAAAAGAATATAATATGAACAATAAATATAAATAATAATAAAGTATGATATAAATAATATGTAATATTATACGTAGTACTTGTATATTGTAGGGACGTAAAAGTGATAAGTCGGGGATGTTGAAACACGGCAACAATAATCAGTGTCAGGCACTGGTCGATTAAAAACTCTCAATTACCTAAAACGGCCGGCGAATGAGTAATAGAAGCTAACCAATTAGCCAGGCGCGTAATCACGAGTAATTTAATCAGTTTCATCCGCGCAAATTCCATCTCCTTTCTCCGTGCTTGTGACTCGTATGCATGCGACCGTGATGCATGGTAAGCGGAAAAAGCAAGGATATCGAGGAACAGGATGACAAGTCAAGTCCTCCGTCTGCCCTTCTAACGGTGGGGGTGAGACACCTCTCGGCGCCGCGCGCGGCGTGAACAGGTGAACTCTCACTTCGAGGGCCTCTACTTCCTTTCCCTCTTCGGCCTCTCTACCCGTCGCTCGTCTCCGTCGTCTTCGTCGGGACGCTCTAACGCGATAAGAGAAGGTGTCCCACTTCCGAGTCTTTCGTCACGCACGAGTCTTCCCACGGAGAGAAATGGGGGCTGTAGGTTGACAGGGAAGGGTGATCCGACACGAGGCGAGCGAGCGAGCGAGCGAGCGGCCCGGCAAAAAATCTTCACGTCCATTTCGCGCGCTCGAAAAGCCGGACAAGGGGATACGAGGATACGTTTCTGCTGGAGGTACGTTCGCGGTGCCCTTGCGAGAGGCCGCCGAAACGCTTTTGACGGGCGGACTCGTCCCGTGAGGAATAGCTCGAAGGACCGGGAATGACGCGCGAGAGTCTCGCTGCGAGACCGGTTATCTTCCTTTCATTTGTCTCCAGGCTGCAATATGAATTAATTACAGCGCGATGGAATGATAGCGATTACGCCGCGCTGCCGTTGCGTATCAATGCAGCCATTTGCGTTACGTCGCTAGAACCTTGATCCACTTGAAGCATAATGGCGGGTGCAACGTTCAGTTACACGCTCAGGATGCTTGGCTTCGGCTTTTTGTTAGATGCGCTCGAGAGAGCCACGCTCGAGCGCGTTGATCGCCAAGCTGCTTTTCGCTGACTGCTTCCACGCTCAACTCGAGTTTCGATCCACCGAGGTGAAAAAAAAAAAATAACAGGTGTAATTCGTGACGCGTGTATTCGTTATAGCTCGTGTCTCGGTCGTGTAATTTAAGTCTTCCACAATTCGACTCACTAGGAAGATTCGCGAAGTGCGTGTCTCCGATCTCGACGAGACTCGGCATATTTGTAGAGCAGCCGAGAACAAGAGACCCATATTTTTTTTTTATCGGCAATGGCTTCGATTTAAGGGGCGAGAAAGTTTTAGTACCTTTATGCTACCTCGATAATCATAGATAGATAGCAGATAGAGAAAAACTTTTTAGACAAAAATTGCGCAATTTTTTATGCCGTGCAATTTTTCTTCACAAAGCTTTTTCCTATCTGCGGTAATTATCGAGAGTCAGGTTGAATTTCTTTCATTGGCAAGTTTTTGAGTGTACAATCATATTTGTTGCATAATGAAATTGTGTACTGCTCAAAGTTTAAGCGTTTCACTTATACTTGAAATGTGCATCTAACGCGGGTTATACGCAGTTATCTTCTACGTCTCACAGGTCATTTAGCGACCATCTCCGGTACTGGCCGGTGTGTTAATTATTCACGCCGTATCCCGCGCTAGTCTATCGCTCGAGCGAGTCGAATCCGCGCGATCAGATAGCGCGACTTTCGCTGCAGCGGCTTCCGAAAACGTCGGGGGGCAGTCGACCTAGTACCCTCGTTACTCGCGTAATCGCAAGAAACGTGTGCATTATAGCCGCCGTCCCGCGGACAGCGTAACGATCGACGAGCCGAATCTCTCAAATTCTACCCTTCCGCGAGCCGGCTCGCCGACTTCGGCTTAATGACAGAGCCGGCGGCAGAGCAGCCGTGCCGTGCTCGTCGCTCGTGCGCGAGTGTGTGTGTGTGTGTGTGTGTGTGTGTGTGTGTGTGTGTAACCGTCGGCTTCGCGACATGTCCTGCTAACCCTCGGAAAAATGTGTCAACGATGCCGGCGGGCGACGAAACCGGCGGAGCGAGGGCGACGTTCGTCGGCGACGCATCCTTGTCACTTGCTCGCGCTTGCTCGCTCGTGAAACCGGCACCATGTCCGAGCGAGTCGGGTTCGCGGGGTCAGGCAGCAGCGAATAACGAGCGCTCGTCTTCCTCGTCATTAGCGCGCTCGCGGGACTTCATTATCCAGCGTGACTCCGAGGACTCGCCTCGCGCGATTCGCGACGGCGCAGCGGTGCCGCGCCGCCTGCGAGACTGACCTGCGCGGGTCCTCGTCCACCCGCGAGGATCGGACGGGGGCACGTTGCCGATGGGGGCTAACGTGTCGCCGCGATTTGCTACGCGTTGTTTGCGGTGAAAGTTACTTCACGTCGGCGCACGGACGTGAAGTGTGATTGCGTAACGGTATTTAATGCCGAAGCTCGGCTCGAGCGTCCACTGTGTGTGTTTTCCGGCATGGATGAGTCGCGACGCTCCCTTGGTCCCCCGTTATCGACGAAGCGGCAACGGAGATTCCGCAGCCGGGCCGAAGGGCGGAACACAAGCGGCCCGAACGAAGGAGAACGAGAGAGAGAGAGAGAGAGAGAGAGAGAGAGAGGGAGGGAGGTTGTACGACCGCGCAGTTCCCGGGAATTCTCATTAACCTTGCATTATTTTAACGTTTAATTGACGCTCGCGTGGGATACTCACGTGTCCATTTAAATGGACGTCGGAGAGCGCGAAAGATGCGCGCCAGAGAGACGTGCCGCGCCGAGAGAAAAGTGTTTGGTACCATTTGCCTACTTTCACACCACACAATCGTATAGTAAATATTTACTTATTTATATTTATTATTCAACATTTATTAA